TCAATTTCTGACTTGTCATGAAAAATTTGAGGTTCTTGTGATCTGTCAAAAACTCTACTGGATGAGGTGTGCCTTGCACATAATGCCTCCACTCTTCCAATGCACAGATGATAGCTAAAAGTTCTTTGTCGTGGATATCATAGTTCCATTCTGCATCATTCATTAATTTGCTAAAAAAGGCCACCGGGTGCCATAGTCCGTCTTCTTCCAATTGTGAAAGTACACCACCAGTAGCATAGTCAGATGCTTCACTCTCTATTTTTTGTTTCTTTTTTGCATCTGGCATAACTAGTACTGGTGCAGAAGTGAAATTGTCTTTAAGGGTTTTGAAGGCCTTTTCTTGCTTATCCGTCCATTCCCATGGTACATCCTTCCTGATGAGCTCATTCATGGGTCTGGCAATGTTCGAGAATCTGAGAATAAATCAATGATAAAAGTTCGCAAATCCCATGAATCGTTGGATGTCTTTGACACAGGTAGGAGTGGGCCATTCCTGAACTCCTTTAACCTTGACTGGATCCATGGAGACATGTCCATCTTTGATGATCAAACCGAGAAATTCCACTTCCTTCTCCTCAAAGGAACACTTCTCCAGTTTGAGATAAAGATCATTGTCCTGAAGTCTCTGTAGTACTTCGCGTACCACCTTTTGATGTTTTTCTACATCATCATTGGTGAAGACCAAGATGTCATTGATGTATACTACAATGACCTTCCCTTCCTTGAGATCTTGGAAGATCTGATCCATCATAGTTCGAAAAGTAGCAGGAGAGTTCATCATGCCGAAGTACATTACGACTGGTTCATGATGTCCAAAAGGGGTTCTGAAGGCAGCCTTCCACTGGTCTCCTTCTTTCATCCTAATATTATTGTAACCCCATTGAACATCCATTTTTGAAAAGAGTTTTGCACCCGAGAGATGATCAATAAGGTCCTAAGAGCAAGGAAGAGGATATGCATTTTGGATGGTCTTCTCATTCAGCCTCCGATAGTCCATGACGGGTCTGAGTTTTCTGTCTTTTTTGGCAACAAAGAAGAAAGGAGCTGCTACTGGAGATTTGGAATCTCTCAGTTGTCCTAAATCATATTCTTGTTTGAGCCACTTCTCACATGCTTCATTTTCAACAGGTGAAAGAGGATATGCTTTCGCATTTGGAGGAAGATCATTTGGATCCTTGAGGTCTACCTTGTGATCCTACTTCTTAGACTCTTCTTCAGAGAAGACTTTGAGATAGTCATGGAGCCATTCTGGGACCATCTCTTCAATGGGCTTCTTTTCCTTCTTCTTTTCCTCCTGTTGAGCTAACTCTGACACAACAGAGCTCTTGTATCTGATCCACACATTTTGTGATGAACCCTCATCCTCGACCTCCTCCATCTTGACATGTCCTCACAATTTATGTGACAAAGGTGAAGAGTTGAAGCCTGTCATCTTAATCTGATGATTGACAGGTCCTTCTTCTCTTTCCTCATCTTCTGTTATGACTGTTACAGGGACTTCACGTAAGCTTCTCGGCTCCACTTATTCTCTTTTACCTATCTGCTATCAACGCTATCCAGTCGCCAAAGCGACTTCCATCTAGCTGTTCTCTTGGCTTATCTGTACTGGCTTATCGTTCTTGTGCCACTTATATGGTTTACCCTGTTATCTCTGACTCATACCCTATGCCCTTACCTGCATTGTCGGTACTACCCTTGACCCTTACCGTTCAACCGGTACTTCTACTTTTTGTATATAAAGGACTCCGTACGCTGTAGTAGTCCTTAACTTGAATCTACTCAGTATCATCCCAACGCCTCAGGACAGAGGGATAGCAAGACAGCTAGATAGCAAGCTCATTGCTTCTATCAATCTACATCTTATCCTACCTTAGACTCTCCGTCTAGGTAGTCATACAATCGAATGATGGCCATCGCACTAGATCGACACTCCTTGCGGGTATCTAGCGCGGAACCAACTGAGTCCGTAACAATGACTAGCGTTCACCGAATGGTAAAGACTAACACACAACCACTAGGATTCGGTCAAGAGGGATGATAATGAACAAGATAGATTTGAGCATGAACGTCTAGGTCTACCACCAGTGTGGAAATGAAGAGGTTAAGTCTAAGGAGTACTTACGCTAACTAACCTACTTATATACATAACATTGAAGAGGAGATATCTGAGTATGAAAGAAATCAACCAATGATAAAAGAGTCATACGATGCTGCGGATGACCAAGCATGACATCATGATATATAAGCAATGAGTCAGATGGTGACTAAATAGAAGCCCAAGATCTGACTGGTACTTCTTCTAGAAGTGAGATTGTTCTAGCCCATGGAGTTGGGAAACCAATCGGAGAAATGGCGGGTGATATGTGAAGAGGTGAAGGTGTGACAGGAAGTGAAGTCACGTGACCGGTTCAGTAACTAGAAGTAGCCGAAGGAAAGCCGAAGAATGAAATATGATTCATGTTTGGAATTCATGACATGTACCTGTCTAATGTGAAAGTTTAATCATGCCAAGACCGCTAGGATCGTATCATCATGTTCCCTGGATCCAACTGTGAAAGGCAAAAATGATGATCATGGTGCAACAGTGCGAGTGTGAGACACACTCAGCCATTACATACACACTCCACAATCAGTGTATATGGTCAACAATTTCCACAATCTCCATAAATCTAGTAGGGGGGGTTTACTTTGAAATGTTTGACCTTGTGAAGGAAAGATGAATTTTTAAGTTGACCGGTGAAGTGGTCGTGTCCTCGATGTACCATTTTATATGTGAACTGGTCTATGAATGAAAAGATGTCACACAAGCCAATGAAGTGAACTGTGGATCCATAATGGTTGAGACAAGTGTCAAGGTCATCACTGACCATATGAGCACCAAATCCTTGTGCAACGCTACAATAAGTGAAATTATCTCTTGTGTGAACTCTCGCAATGAGAGGCTTAGAGTGAGCGAGAAACAGGAGCTGATAAGAAATTATATATCTCAGTCTCGGGAAACAGACTCAGTAATACGACTATAGTAGTACCTAATAAGAAAATATATCTAAGGGCATGTTAGCTCTAGTTGTAACATAAAGCGGGGACTTCGACTTACATCTCAGTCTCAGGAAATGGACTGAGATGTACAGTCTGACAACTTGTAGTTTTAAGGTAGTTAGCATAGTGATAGGTAATAAACTGTAACATAGGAAATAGACGGTTACTTATTAGATTCTGTGACCAATGTCACTTGGTTGTAGGTTGCCCAGTCGGTGTGGGGAATTCCCCCACTGTAGGTGTAAAGCCCCGTCCTTTCCGCACCGTCTCACATCAGTTCCGCATATTCCGCACGTTCCACATTTCCCACGCATCGTCCGACGGGTTCCGCATTCCCGCGCATCCTTTGGAACCCGCCCGCACTATCCGATATTCCCGCGCATCATCAGACAACCTTCGCATGTCCTGTCCCCATCCTTCCAGGTCCATTGGTACACTGTATCTCTCTTCCCGTTGTTCCTAACATTATCCGGATCACACTGACACATGCCCTTATGGCACGGACCCCTATTCCGGAGTATTGCGCCCATGTGCACTGCCTGCCTTCACTTCCGCTTCCTGAGAAGTTTACTACCTGTACCTCAGTGTTCCTTGAAAATAATCTTCCCTTTAAGTAGTGGTACTCAGGGCTTGGGTGTTTTTTATTGAATCCCATCTTTTACCTTCCCACTTTTCCTTCACCTTACTAGAGGACTGCTTTGACTTATGCCCACTATCAATCTAACCTTGTGATATACTTCCTTTCACTTGACCTGCAAGTTCCGACGACTCCTTACGTTCCGCATTGTATCCAGTTGAGTTCCGCTTCATTCTGTTCCATTCCGCTTGGGTTCCGCTTGAGTCCCGCTTGTTCCGCTTGAGTTCCACTAGTTCCGCTTGTTCCGCATTTTTGTGGATCCTCATCCTACCTGCGGTAGGGTTGAATTGGGTCGCTTAGACAGAGATTAGCACTCCCCAGTAGCAATCCCCTTTAGGGTCGAACGTGCTTGTTCTCAAGTGAGGCAGTAGGCAGCAAAGACCCAACTTTGTAGTAGATCAATTTCTCTCTGCTGCACTTGTTGTACCCACATCGGTTAGTGCTCGCAATGTCTCACTCTGACATCTCCTGTTCAGTCTTCGATCCGGACTTCAACATGAATGAGTACAGTCGAAATATGACCATTAAAGTTTTAGATTGTCTGGCTTGGGATGTTTGATTCTTGCAGTTGCAGGGTAGGTGGAACTTCGTGAGCTGATAGTTGGAACTGCTCTGTGACTAGCTATAAATTGCTAACCTCCAACATCGTTCATTCAAAAAGGAATCTGCAAACACTAATGTGAGAGGCACATAGCACACTTGGTCGACTGAAGTAACCATGAGAGTTGTTAGTGTATCAGAATACTTGTTGACCAATAGGAGAGTTACTGAAGGAAATCCTGGGCCTGGATATACCATTCACCTGGTCAGGTGTTTGCACTTGCTGAAGAAGTCACACTGCCAAGTAAACCCCAAATTTCTCCACAGACATCAGCATTTTTGGCAGTTTCCCACAGTAACCCACAGTGGGACAGAGCTCACAGTAAATTTCTCCCAGCATCAACATTTCCCCACAGAAACCCACATAGGGACAGAGCTCACAGGATGTACAGCTACTCACAGCGTTTGTCAGTAAAATACTAGTACTAGGTAGCTAATGCAGTAGTCACAATACCTCGAGCGCTAGTAGTTCAAGCTGTACTTAGAATTGAAATTTGAAGTCAAAGCACATCCGCTAAGTCAAATGTCAAGACAAAACAAAATTGTATCAGCCCATGGGGTCTATTCCTATGCATATTTAGCATATAACTATCACATAGGTACGTACCACAGAAAACCTATAGGATCCTTCTACAGAAACAAAAACATAAAAAATCGCATTTTTGATATTTTTGATGTTTCACAGTATCTTACCCTTGTACACATGGTCCACTCTGCTCATATCATCAGTGATACATATATAAATGCTTTGTATGTCCAGGATCAGCTCAAAATAGGCCGGAGTTTTGAGCTAGTGTATATACTTGCTATTTCTACTGATAAGGGGCCCATGCCTTCAAATCACCGAAGTCTAATGATCAGACACCTGGACTACATTTCAGATATATTCGGCATCATGGATCTAAAGTTTCAGAAACATCCACTCAGAATTGAGAACTGGGGAAGTGAAACAGACAAGAAATTGACGTTTAAGTTGGACCGGGTGAAATGGTGCGGCTCACTTGTGACATCGGACTTCTAACCTCACTGGTGCACCCACATCGCGCATACTATGTACTTAGCACCACCTGCCATGGTATGCCTTAACGCTATCATACAAAGTCGTATTCCTCTTCGTCCATGTCGTCCAAGGGCCAGTGCGCCGCGATCTGAGCCCGTTCCTCCGACTCGGCCGCCGCCAATCCATCCTCCTTCAGCTTCTTGCTGAGTGCCATGGCCTCTTCGTAGTGCTCGGCGGGCACCCAACCCTCCGGCCCGAAGCCGATCACGTCCCGGCACGCCTCTAGAGACTCATCCGCTTCTTTCTGTTCTGCATCCAGCTTCATTGTCTCGCGTACGTCATCGGGGTCGAACACGACAGGACACGGCGGGCCTCCCCCCGTGAGCGTCTTCCAGTTCTCTGTTGCTTGTATCAGCGCAACCTTCAGCGCGAGAGTTTCGCCCTCCCACGGGTCACTGGCGTGGCAGAAGAGGCGGCGGCGGAGCACGCCCATGGGATTCGTCAATGCCGCGTAATGAAGCTCGTTGTACTCCTCCGTGTTTTTGACGTAGTGGTAATGGACGAGGCGGCGACGGTAGAGTTCCATCTCTCCGCTTTGCTGGGTTTCGTCCAAGTCATCCAACTTCTCCGGTAGCGAAGGCCGCATCATAGATTGCGAGCCAATATCATCGTAGTTCTGTAGCTGTTGGGGTATACCGGTAAGGAGAAACAGGGGTAGGATCGAGGTGTGTTGCCAGTCGATCAGGCCGACGACGTGCAAGTTAGAGTCGGGCGACCTAGAAACGATGATATTGCTCGGCTGGAGGTCGGGATGGCGGATGCGGAAATGACCGAGGGACGGGTTCCTGGGGATGAGTGACGACGCAATGAGGAGATAGCGGTCCAGGTTCTCGATGTGATCTGACGGCGGCTGCTCCTGGTACTTGTAAGCTTCCCTCCTTACGCGCTGGAACGGCAACAGCGGTCGACCGAACCGCCGTAAATAAGCTAGTTCGTTTTCGGCCCCTCTTACGAGGGCTGCTTCGGCACTTTCGTCTATAGTTATCGGTTAGTGTAAGGGAGTAGTAATAAAAAAAAGCAGTGAGCGGCCTACATGGTCCTCGATCTAAGTCGAGCTGTGATCTCCTGCCATACCATAAACGCAGACTTGTATCTGGGCCGACGCAGAAACGCTTGTCCTCTAGTGTGATGCCCGGCCTAGTAGGCCAAGAGGTGCTCCCGGCTGCGTTCTCCAAGTCTTCAGTATAGTAAAGGCTTCCGCCAGCCGGGAAAGCAATCGACATCATCTTGGACTCGAGTTCAGCAAGTTGGCGTGAGATTGAAATGATTTCCCCTTCCCCTAAGTCAAACCATATGTCGCTTAAGTTGGTGCCTTGTACGAATTCCATGAAGATATACTCAGTCCCTGCCGCGTTGTTCGGCGTAGGTGAGTATCCGTATACCTCAGGTATAGGCAGCCCAAAGGAACGGAGTAAGGCCATAGTAGCCACTTCACTAGCGAAAGCAAAGTACTTGGGAATCATAGCAGGGTACGGGATACGCGCCACCATTCGGAAGCCACAGCGCATGGTAATGAGGAAGGTACGGTTAAACCCACCCTCGGCTAGTTTTTCCAGGCGGACGATATCATCAGGACTCCGATTGACGGCCTCCGCTGCAAGTCGACTTAGCTCATCGACCTTGAAGACACGTCTGCGCTCTGCGTGGCGAAGGTCATCGTTGAAGCTGAACATATTAAATTAGGGGTTAGACATATACCCCATAGAATAACATGTATGAGACTTGCATCCACCGCCCTGACGTATATTCAAAAAAGTCGCTACGAAGATGCGCCATGAGAGAGGCTGCATAGTTTGTTTTTTCGGCCACAGCTCGACACTTACGAGTTGCATCGATCGTGCAACGAGTTGTGTGTGACGGTTGCCTTGATCGAGTGTTAGAGGAACCAATCACGACGTTCGTAAAGAAAGTCCAGACCTAAGGCTACGAGTCTTGGCTTAGATGTGATTAGAATGTTTCTGGTGATACTTGCGCGAGACTCTCTGATTCGTACTTGTGCCGTTACATCTAGATCTAGTTCTAAACTTCGACTAACGTCACATTGTGCCTCGTTTGACTTGCGAGTTGGAGCCGATCATCCATCTCGTTGCCAAATACTATATTACTTAGCACCACCTACCATGGTATTGCATCCTCAAGTTAAGCTCGAGAGGAATCTTGTGGCTTGCGATGACTACTTGTCTGGCAATGGTGATATTCCGATAAGTTGAGGATATCATCCCCTTCGAAGATCATGGTACGAGCCTGCTCATCGAGAGCAACGGCAGTTACGCGCTGGTCGTGATTGGCGCAGTCTTGGAGGTCTAAACTGAAATATCTCAGGTGCAGCTTCCTGTCGCATGTTTCCTCATGTTTCAAACCAGTCTATACACATAGCCTGTCCGCATATCCCTCCTACCACCTCAGTACTTCACTTCCTCCCCCTTCATTAGTGCTGTCAGCTTTCGCACAAGAATTGTCTCGAAAGCTGGACTTTCGTCGTCTCCGAGCAACTTTAACAGCAACATGTCATATAACCCATATGTCGATGAGGAGTCTGGCCGTTACCCACCACGGTCCTCCACAAACACCCTCCAGCGACGCCAAGCACAAAGGCAGTCACTGAATTCTTATTTCGAGCAGCAGCAAGCGCGACCCTCTATCAGCGCTGGTCGCCGTTCACGCAACCCTAACTCCTCTTCATTCAACTCTCCGCGCTTTGTTGATCGGACTTTCCCTGAGCCCCAAATCCCAGAACCTGCAGTACCGCCGTCCGGAGCGCCTGCTGCGCCAGGACCAGACTTCACCGACCCGTTCTCTCAGTCCCATCGCCGAATATCGCGAAGCAGGCGCCCGACGCTCCCGGCTTACGAGGCTCCAATCGCTCCTAATGACAGGTCTCGTGGTCACGCTCGCGACGATTCAGGTTCTATGGATGACGAGTACCAGAGATACTCGCTGTCTTCCTATCAGCACCCCTACGACATCCCTCCCCCGCGAAACGCATATACGGCGCACGATGATATGCGGCATGTTGACTTTCGGAGCAGTGAGGGAACGTTGACGGATATCGAGGCGCAGTCTGCGAACGGCAAGGATAAGGATGGCGAGACGTATGACGACGTCGGGCTGGATGATGACAAGAAGGACGCGGACGATGACGATGAGGACGACATCGACTACTGCGACGTGAACGACCGGGACGGGAGAAACCGTGGTCTGTTCTCCAATCTCATCGACCTGTACGGAGTTGATACCGAGGGCGAGAACCTCCCTTTCCAACGCCGTCGGTTCGCTCAGCGGGAAGATGAATACGATGAAGAAATGGGCGGCGCTCCCATGCGAAGACAAAACTCGGATAATTCTCAGAACTCACAGCTGCTGGACCCGGATGATCCTACTATTACTGGTGTCAGGAAGAAGTGTCTCGACGACTACGAAGACGAGAAGCGAACGGCGCTCAAGCAAATGGACTATCGCAGGCGCAGGAAGGAGAGACAGAAGGTCAAGATCGAGTTCAACGTTACTTGTAAGTTCACGTTTTTGTCTCTGACACTCGCGCTTAATACAGGGTTTCAGCTATCATCCACCGTCACAACTTCCTGCTCAAGCTTGCGAAGGCACTGATGACGTTTGGTGCACCTTCTCACCGCATTGAGTCCCAGCTCCTTGCAGCAGCGCGTATCCTCGAGGTCGACGCCGAGTTCATTCATTTGCCGAGTGTCATCATCTGTTCCTTTGGCGATAATGACACGATGACGTCGGAGACCCACTTCATCAAGTCCGGTGGAGGTCTTTCCTTAGGTAGCTTGCACAAGGTTCATCTCATCTACCGTTCCGTGGTGCACGACGAAGTCAGCGCGCGCAAGGCAACGGAACAACTTGACGACCTATTGTCGGCGAAACCGTTGTACTCGTGGTGGTTCAGGTGCTTCTTGAGTTTCTGGTTGTCGGTGTTGATATGTCCGCTGGCGTTCGGAGGCTCGTTCATCGATATGGGGATCGCCGGGGCTGGCGCCGCTGTATTGTGCTTCTTGCAACTCAGGGTTGCTGCGAAGAGCGCTATGTATGCGAACGTCTTCGAGTAAGATCTCCCGATCTGCATTTTCATCATGACGCTCATTATCTATTAGGATTACAACGGCGATGTTGGTATCCTTCACAGCACGAGGACTCAGCAGTATCAGAAGCCAGATATTCTGTTACACGGCCGTATCGTCGTCTGCGATCATCGGTATTCTTCCCGGTTATTTGATCCGTAGGTGCTTCTTCCTGAGCCGTTTCTCTCGCTGACCTTTTTTTTAGTGAGTAGTTCGTTGGAGCTGGCCTCTAAAAACATCGTCTGCGGTAGTGTCAAGATGGTGTACGCCCTTATCTATACCCTCTTCCTGGGTTTCGGTCTGCAGATCGGGTCAGACCTATACCTCCTCTTTGATCCAACCGCACGGCGCCACCTCAACACGCTTGCTGCCGACATCTCTACGAGTGCTACTATTGTCGGCACATTCTCGGCGGACAACTCCACGAGTGGCAACTCATCGCTCTCCTCAGGGTTGGGGCCTGTCTACGGCACGTTTACCTTCACGAACAACACGAACGTGATGCAGACGGACATTATCGATGGGTGCTATCGCCCTAAGCACTTCGCCTGGTACCTTCAGCCGTTTCCCTTCTGGGCGCAGTTCTTCATCGTGCCGTTGTTCAGCATTCTATCGTCCCTCGCGAATCTACAACCCTGGCGTAGCAGGCAACTTCCAGTGATGGTAGTCATCTCGTGCGCAAGTTACGCGAGCAACAAAGTCGCCAATCACTACATCTTCAATCGGAGCGATATCGTGAGTGCCATCGGGGCTTTTACAGTGGGCTTGCTGGGGAATGTGTATTCAAGGAAGATGGGTGGAACGGCGTTTACGAGTATGGTTACGGGTGTGCTGTTCCTTGTGCCAGTGAGTGCACTTTTTTTCTAGGTTTATTGAAGCCTGCTAACGCTTATGGTCGATTTTATAGTCGGGTCTGTCGCAGGCGGGAGGTATCACGGCAGATGGAAGCGGTGTTGACATTGGAAGTGCGATGATCGCCGTCACGATCGGTATCACGGTTGGGCTGTTCATGTCCCAAGCACTCGTGTACATGTTCGGGACGAGGAAGAATGCTGCTGTATTCTCGTTCTGAGCAGCTGTAAGAACCTTGCGATGTCGTTTATTGCTGCAGGGCAATTGTAGAAATTTGTACATAGACTGATATTATATCATTGCCTCGGTCATTTTGTTTTGCGTGACACTCGGCTTGTGTACACTTATAATTATGGTGATACATCTTCGGTATCCTTCTAAATCAGCATACACCCATCTAAAACATGACAGCTGGCGAGTTCTCCACGTTCTCAATGGACGTCTTGTGCCCGACAAGCGACCTGATGTTGTTAACACCATACCTGTATCACGAGCTTCAGTGTCACGTCCCGATCATTAAAGTAGGAGGGTATGGAACAACACAGCAAAGGAAGAAAGGGAAAAACTACTCACCGAATCATAGTAGGTCGTTCGAGTCCAATTCCCCACCCGTGCACACGCACATCAGGTGGGAAGCCCATGGGTGCGAGCATTTCAGGGCGGAACATGCCACTGTTCCCGATCTCAACCCATTTTTCAAGGAGGGGGTGCCAGGCGAAGATCTCGAGAGAAGGCTAGAGGCGGCAAGTCTGAGTCAATACCTGGATTATGATCCATACTAGAAGTAAGATAAATGTGGAGATAACTTTCAAGGTGCGTGAAGTAATTTTGGGAAGTCGAAATGGAGAGGAGAGTAAAGACGAACCTCTGTGTACGGGTTGTACGCAGGTTTGAACCTCAGATTCGTCATTCCCATCTTTCTGAAGAAGGTCCGCATGAAGCCTGTGCACGTGGTGAGTTATTAGCAATAGTCTCTATGGGCAAGAGAGGTTGAAGGAAAACACAATAGACTTGGACTACGATGTGCAAGATCCAAATCAGAAAAGAAGATTGCAACCCACCAATCAAATCCGCAAGTGTTAGGTTCCGATCTGCCACGACGCCTTCGACTTGGTGGAATTCCGCAAGGTGCGTAGCATCCATCGTCTCGTTACGGAATACGCGGTCAATGCTGAAGAGTTTGGCTGGTCTGAACCCATCGTCACCCGGGCTTGCAGCTCCAGATTGCGATTTTGAGGAAAGGTCGCCGTCGACATCTTCGCCTCGACATTTGGCTGCGAGCTTGTACAACATTGCAGCGGACGAGGCAGTCGTGTGCGTGCGCAAGAGGAGTTTGTGCGACTCCTCATGTGACCAGGGCGTACGGTAACCGACGCTACCGTACCCGCCGTGCTCATGCACGCGTGCTACGCGGTCATAGTAAGCGGATGGCGGAGGGAGGGACGTCGAGGGGTCTATAAGATATCGGTAATTTTTTCGAGAAATTGGCCGAAGGTAAGAGCAGCAGGGACATACCAGAGAGGTAGAAGGTATCCTGGAGTTCCCGTGCGGGATGTAGTTGGGGCACAAAGAGTGCATCGAAGCACCAGAATCCAGACTCGACGAAAGTCCCTGTGGGCATTTCTTCAAAACTGTGACATCCGTGATCAGTATCAAGTATCTCAGATTAGACGCCAGGTGAAAAAAAAATCACGGCGACATCTGCACTAGGAACTGGAACGCGCACCCCATTTCCAAGAAAATACTACGGATCTCCTCGCGGACTTTAAGGATAGGGTGGAGAGCGCCGCCGGACGTGGGTATCCCGTCTGCGTCAAAGTTATATTTTTTGAAGGAGGAATTTTTCCAAGAGCCGCTATCGGTTAGAGCAATATGAGTTTGACACTACCACATTAGAAAACCAAACCCACGAAGTGAGCATATCAACCGTCAAATCAGTCTCCGGTTTTGCAATTGAAGTACTGAAGTTGGTGCCCTTATGCACGGTGAACCATTGGCCCTTCCTTCGAACATCGTCAGGTTCAATAATTTGTGTTGGAGGAACATGAGGAACCTTTGTATGATAAGCTTGCGTTTTCGCAGTTCGGCGAGTGCCTTTTCACCGGCTGCGAGTGTGCCCGACGATTCTACTTCGCACAGCTCAATCTTGGTCGTATCTTTAATTGTAGATACCTGTCAGCCTATTAATCGCGCAGTCACGGAACATGTCAGTACAAAACACGCACGGCCTTGACGAAGCCATTCCCCTCCTTCGCGATCCACCCACTCTTGAAGGCGCGACCCTGTCCGACTTTTGCAGCATCGTCTCCAACTGCTTTCTTGAGATCCTGCGCGCCGAGCGGGGCACCAGCACCACGTTCGGGGAGGGCAGCCCAGACGCGAGCCTCATGCGAGCCCTCACGCACGATCTGGACCCCCTCGGGTGTAAGCACATGAGACGAAACTTCATGGGTTTCGTATGTTATCATCTGCGTGTTTGTTCAATTCGAGATCACGGACAATGAAAAGCAGACTAGCCTCCCGACTGAGTAACGAGTTCAGCACACCAAGGATGGTGATCTGTGCATCATGGCTGGTCGCTGGGCTAGATTGGCCAGGGATTGTTAGTGTGCGGGTGTCTGTTAAAGTAGACTGGGTATGAAGGGTGTCCAGGATTAGCTGCTGTAGTAGTTCTGCCATCGTCGACGTTCGCGTTAGATCAAATCTATCGAGTCAATTAGAATATGTAATCACGTGCCTACACCAACTCTAATCCCCGCTTCGATGAGCAGCGTATGGCAGCAAGCATGGGATGCTGCCCAGCCTCGACTTCATTCCATACAAGATGCTCTTGCATCTCCAACATTTTCTATACCGAACCCTCGCATCATCCGCGTCGGTCAGCTAGACGCTGAGCTCCTCGATGCTGAACTTGTGCACATACTTACGGAGCCGGTGTCAAAGGCTCTTGCGACCGTCAATGTACGCCTTCTACGTGGTAGTATGATATCTGCTGATGCAAGAACAGGCATCCATGAAAGCTCGGCTTGAGCCTGAGCTAGCACTGCTCGTCCAGCTTGTGCTTTATCGCTTCTCGGTGTGGACCTCTGGTGCAAGTTATGGTGCAATGCTACAGGGCCTGCGGTATTCCGTTCCAAGTTCCGTCTCGGACTCTAGCTGTGAGTGAACGTGTCTCTTGTCGATATTGACGCCTTCATGATGTGTCACAGCCAGACCCCCACGACGACTATTGATCATCCACGGTGCACTCACTATCCTTGTTCCCTACTTCCGTAACCGAATCCATGCATATGCACTTTCGCGTGCATGGCCAGATGCCCCTGCCTCTGATACCCGTCGCCGCGCTTGGGGTGCCTTGATGACCCTCGAGACCGCACATGGTGCATTCAGTCTGCTCAACTTCGTCGCATTTTTATGGAATGGGAGGTGCGTTCTGCAGTGTATCCCATTGTTGGATGTGTTAAGAACGTATTTATTACAGATACCGGACAATTGTTGATAGATTCCTAGCGATGAGGCTTGAGCCTTCACAAGCCCTTCTCAAACGCGACGTTAGTTATGAGTTTATGAATCGCCAGATGGTCTGGCACGCATTTACAGTACGTCATTCTTTCATTTGACTTCATTGCAGACTCATTCCTCTACGAGCAGGAATTCCTCCTCTTCCTCCTCCCACTCATCAATCCTCGCTCCGTGGCGCGAAGGCTCACATCAACCCTTTCGTCCCTTCTCCCTGCTCCTTCCCCTACGCAAAAAATACGTTCACCGAAGCGCGGAAAGTATTATGCCCTCCCGCCAGAGCAGTGCGCCATCTGTGCTGAGAACGCTGCGCTGAACGTGAACCTCAGTGATGCTGCCGGCGCGCTGGCATCGTACACTCCAGCGTTTCCCACGTCATCAAACAATGATGATGGGGAAAATGATATTGAAGGGGACGGAGAACCACCTATACCCGATAACGACACCATATCTTGCTTCCTGTGGACATACTTATTGTTATGCTTGCCTTGCTGAGCGCATGCTCCGCGCAGCCGATGATGGCTCACGCGGTTGGACGTGTCTGCGATGCGCGGAAGAAGTGCGGAGTGCAGACCGATATAAGTTGGAGGGTGAAAGCGGAAACCTTAGGCGAAGTTCCATGTTGGGTGGGACTGAAAATGAGAGCGTGGGTGAGGGAGATAGAGATAGGAGTGATGCAGACAGTAGTCAGGGTGATGAAGAGAGTGAATTCGAGTTTGGCAGCGAGTTCGGGAGCGGGACAGGCAGCTTGGGGAGCTACGCTTTTACAGGAAGTGAGGCCTGAGGCGTCGCTGCAGTACTTCATATACCATTGCGTGCTCATCTCACATGGAAAATGAAAAACTCGCAAAAGCGAAATGTGAAAAAAATTCTGTGGTCCCGATATGTCCCAGGGAGGATTCGAACTTCCGGCTTCGCAGATTATGTTTCCACAATGCGATGATTTAACCACTAATCGACAAGGACCGAAATTGAATCGCTAAATTCAATACATGACTAGTACTGGCATATTGTGTCTGCCTGGATAAAAAAATAAATTACATAGGCCTCAGAGGCAGAGCAATTGAAATAAAATAGCGATAAATAATTGGTATCAATACATTCTTGAGATCAGGGGTGGAAGTCTCATAACGAGGACCAGCCTCCGAAATATTCTAGTTACAGCTCCTTCTTGCTCCCAAACATCTTTTCCAAATCCATAGTGCTCTCGGGCCTAATGGCCGCGAACTCCCACTCTCGCAATCTCCGGCCCACCCTCACACTCTCGAACACCCACTCAGGGCCGTACCACATGTGCGGGATTACGCTTTGACGTGAGGTGTTTGTGAGTCTTCGAACCCGAGAGTTGTTGCGACGTGAGAATATGCGTAGCGCCACTAGGGGAATGCCTGTGAAATTCAATGAATAAGACTTTGGAGATCGCAAGAGTGAGTGAGCTTACAAAGTGACCCCACCAGCGCCAGCCACTATCCGCTTCATCTCTATGTCGGTTGTTCCCGCAAGGTAGCCATTGATATAGACGCGTACACCACTTAGCACACCGCATTTACCTTCTGTTTCGTCTATTTTCACTGGACGTAAGTCGCGTGCGTTTTCATGCTTCTGGACCTCTAGCTTCTCAGAGCGCTCGTCAATGTACCCTCGACGGTGTCCGCCACCACGCGCTTCGGAGCGCTGATGTCCCGCCGCGGCCGAGGTAATATGGTCTGTCCCACTCGTGTTAAGATGATTTTAAAAATTAAAAATGGGAGGGGGGGATGGGATGGGGAGAAGGGGGAGAATGAAACGCACCTGAACGTTCATATATATTCGAATGAGTAATTGGGTTTGATTCGTCCGCAAGGGTGTTCAGCAAGTGCTTCGTAATTTTCCCAGCAGAGGGTTTGGAAGTACCGTCTTTTTTGAGAGGGGCCATGAGCCTGCCAAATGCCACACTCAGTGAAACATATACGACGACAATTTAAAAGTTACGCACTGGCGCAAGCGCGCCTTGTCCTGTGCCACAGCTTCTGGATAGTTTGATTTCAACATCGCATCTGGGACGTTCTTCTGGGTTTTCAATTTGGATATAGGGTATGGAGTGAATCGTGTTGAGTTTGTACATTTTTCCTTTTCCTTGGACGAGCGTGCGGGCTTGATTACAGTTACAAATCTATCCATGGTGGCCGCTTGTCAAGAGTCATGAGTATGGTTCGTGTTTCAGGAGGTTTTGTTCTATTTTTGTCACGCGTCTTCATAGCCTGGTCATGTGATCTCTGAGTAAGTAACGCGTCAAAAATGTGGTTACCACATTCAAGTTATCCCGGCCGGGCCACACTGTGTTATCTTTTATAATCTTAGCTGATGCCAATCCCTTTTTGTCTCACCTTCCGATCTATTGCTGTACATACTCAACTTTCTCGTTTTTACGGACGCAGGATGTCCACCGCACTTACTCCGACTTACAAGGATGCCATAGACGCACTGAACACACTTCAAACTAACGCTGCTATCCTGGAGGCCGTGCGTGCTGCAGGGGTCAAGCTTAATCCTAATGCTATGCTTGAAATGACCGATTATCTACGCAGGGTGGGACTTGAGGTGAAGTTTCTGTCAACGTCACAGACTCGTTTATGAAGAGGTACCGCTACAGCCATCCCAGCTAAACGATTTAAATGTCATACATATCACGGGTACCAAAGGGAAGGGATCTACGAGCGCCTTCACGGACTCGATATTGAGATCAGCCAGGCCAGACTGGAAAACTGGTGCGTCTTACTTTCCCAGTTCTACGAGAGTGTCCCTTGACAAGTAACACAGGCTTGTATACTTCTCCTCACCTGGTTGCTGTCCGTGAACGTATTCGCATCAATGGAGAGCCGCTCTCAGAGGAGGACTTTACTCGTTACTTTTTCGAGGTGTGGGATTTACTCCAGAAGAATACCAAGGTATGTAGTGTCCGTCCCTCGTGGCAATAGCCGTTCGTACTAGACAAGCATCCCATCAGTGCGAAACCACCACCACCCCCTTCATGCCAAACTACTTTCGCTTCCTGACGCTCATGGCGTTTTACACTTTCAAGCAGCTCAAGGTATGCCACAGATACTGACCATTCATGTGTCTAATTTCATGCATCAGGTCAATGCGACAATTCTCGAGGTAGGAATTGGTGGACGCTCCGACAGCACGAACATGGTCCCCAAGCCAATTGTCACAGGCGTTACCGCTCTCGGCTATGACCACACAAGGCTTCTTGGGGACAGGCTCAGTCAAATTGCAAACCAGAAGGGTGGCATATATAAGGCGTGTTTCTCTTCCAGATCTACATTATAATCGTTTGACAGACAGACTATAGGAAGGAGTTCCTGCCCTGACAGTTGAACAACCTGAGGAAGGGATGTCTGAGCTTCGCGATTGTGCGGTAGAACAGAGGGTAATTCACCCTCTCTTAAATCTCAAATCTACAACTCATATATTTGCACCACAGGCATCTCAGTTCACAGTTGTCGAAACCCTCCCTTCCACGATTCAATTGGGCATGTTTTTTGTTGTTGTTGTCTGGCCGCCCTCCTGACCGCGAACTTAATCCGTTATCGCAGGTCTTGCGGGTGCTCATCAGAGAGCGAACGCTGCACTCGCGGTACAATTAGTTCACACGTTCCTCAGCATCACAGATCAGTCATACTCTCCCGCGTCAGACCCCAACACCAGGGGTGCTGCTAGCACAACGCAGAGTGGATCGGTGATAGAGCCATTGCGGTCCCTTCCTACGTCTTTTCTGGACGGCCTCAGAAATGCCCATTGGCCTGGTCGTTGCCAGACAGTACTCGATCCGAAGCATGAGGGTTCGAAGTGGTTCCTTGATGGGGCACACACAAAAGAAAGCCTTGCGTGCTGTCTAGAATGGTTTGTAAGCCCAGCAGTCGGACTTCCGGAGTGTGTTTTTTTCTCTGCATTGGTTTCAATATCATAAACATTGATATCGGGTTCTAGTTCCCCGGCTTCTGACGGGCATCCAGCCCGAGTGCTTATCTTCAATTGCACCAGCGGACGTTCAGGAGATGATTTTCTGAACGCCATCTTGCAAAAGACAGAGGAGCAACTGGCGAATCATGGCAGCCCGGAGAAGAAGGAAGAATTCTTCTCCAAGGTCATTTTCTGCAGTAATGTGACCTATGCTAGCGGCAACTTTAAAGGCGGTAAGTGTTGTCACCCTTCTCAAATGCAAGCTCATATGCGCATCTGGCAGACCTTACCTCCATGGCAATGTCTACAACTGATAATGACAATCTCAAAACTCAGAGAGAGATTGAAGCAGCCTGGAACAAGCTTGTCCCAACTTACTCTGGCACAGTGCATGTTCTACCGTCCATCGAGGACGCCGTAGATGAAGCACGTCAAACGCTGAATGTTAGCGTGCTGGTCACGGGCAGCTTGCACCTTGTAGGTGGCGTCATCGAGGTCGCAGGCTTGGCAGACAGAGCTTTGAGCTTGAAAGCATGATTATATCCGTCATTCACGCTCGCCCTCTATCTAACTTAGCATATTTCCATCTCGGGTTTCGATTCCCGGCTTTCAACGCGCCGGCCTTTCGGTTTATTGGTACATCTCATAGAAGCACTTGTTTATATCTAAAGCAACATATGTAGCTATATCACCACCCTTCAACAGGACTCTAGTAGTTTGTAAAGCCTGATACTAGTCCGCTATGCTACAAAAGATCTATGTGATGCAGCTGGTGGAGTTGCAACAAGGGCCTGCCACATTACAATGCAACTTCAAAAGTCCATCTTATCTCCAGGCAGTAAGATTCTCTTCGCCGCCACGTGTATTCACCTCCACGCCGACACTGCGGAACCCACTCGTCGGGCGTGGGGAGTCGGGCAGCAGCACCGGCTGCATAGGCATGGTATACTTGACATCTAAATCCTCCAGAATGCTCTTGAGATGTTTCATGAACGCAGTCCTCCGCGTCCAGCGTCCTCCCCAGTCCTGCCAGTTCGGGCGATCTGAAGCAGAGATCAGGCCCCACAGTCGGGCTAGGTACACATAGACTTACGTTCAACAGCCACAGTCAGATGGATCGCATTTTGAAATTCCATCTTGTCGATATTCACCGCAGATCCACTCCATTCCCTGTTGTTTGCTGTAATGTAGGCTTGGATGCGTGCCTTGAGTTGCTCAACGAGCTCGAGGGGTGTATTGTACGCTATCATCAGCGTCGTGCTCTCCCACATGCTGTTCGACCGGCGCAAATTATGGACAAGCTTTGTGCTAGACAGTAAGGAGTTCGGTGCGATGATTTCTTGACCGTCAACACGACGGAAAGTGGTAGAAAATAGACCAAATTCTTTGACAATCAGGTACTGACGGAATGGTGTGTTAAAAAAAATTGATGCGAGCTGTTTGCGGGAAGAACACACCTGGTCGTCAATCATGACCAAGTCGCCGACATCAAAGACATGAGTTGAAAATATGAAGATCATCTGTTTAAAAAGGAGCGAGCTTGACGTGGATAATAAACGAATAAGAAGCTTTGACTTACCGACTCAAACAACGTCTGTGCAGAGTGTCCGAAGATGAACGAGAATCCGAGAATGATTGTCGCAAGAGGAACAAGCGAGGCTAGCGTGTCGCTCCTGTTGAAAATGAGGAGACATGCGAAGAGAATACCGAGCAATGCAATGCAAACAAGGACAGCATCCAGCTTGGCGACGGCTGAGCCAACGTCCTACAAAGTCATGAGCAATAATTTTCGAATGAAGTCATGGACTCACTTTCAGACTGGCAGTGAGGGCCTTACGCTCTCGATAGATTCTCTGTACAGCTTCCCGCATTTCTCGCTTGGTGATGTCACCATTGCCATCTTTGTCAAAAATAGCAAAAGCCGCATGCTACTGAAAATGTGAGATGGATGAACTACTGGAATGGAGTGACCTACCGCCTCAGCAGTCGAACGGAAAAAGGGGTAAAAATCTATCAAGAAATAGTGTTAGGCCATCTTCTTTATTATCAACTTACCATACCTTCAACGACAAGATGAGAACGTCCAGGGCTGGTGACACTGAGAGCATCAAAGAGTTTCTTGGCGAGCTTCCTAGCAGAATCCAGAGCATAGAAGTCGCCACCGCGGTGGAGCTTGGAATTCTTCAGCGCGACTTGCCCAATAGCACCAGTCAGCTGGTCAACAACAACTAGTTGTCATGTACCTCTTGCGTCGTCTTTTTGTCTGAGCGCGACTGGTATGGCGCTTTTTGTCCGACTGATGATGTATTTCGTGCTCGCTCTTCTCTTGGACAGGCGTAGCAGGTGTACTGGTCTGCTCGCTGGCTGGTTCATCTGTCTCATCTCGACGGTGACCCTTGCCGTGAAACGCGGACAGGTCGAATGCAGTCCCGAAAGAAGCTCAAAGCATGTTTGTGCCCTTTCTTTGCGTGTGGACTTTTCTTGACAGGAGCGGGCTGCGCATTCGATAGATGGTCAAGCGCCTTCAGTCCCATCCGGTTCTCCGCGAGACGATCCGCAAGTGCACGTTGGTGGAAATTGATGGCAACAAATCGTAAAAACAATTTTTCCACAAGCAGGATGATACCTGCAGTAAAGAGAGCCTGTTAAAAGAGAGCGACATGCAGCCATTGTGATAGAGTATAAAGGAGCATTTTACCTGCATAACCCGGTTGATAACAACCCAGTACGAGCCAGGAGGTTTGTAGAAGGTCGTGATTGCAGATAGCGCTATCCAAGCCCACGATATATCAAGTACGAGCTTGAGCCATGCCGAGACAGCAAGTGTCAACTACACCAATGTATTCAGTCAAATTGGCCTCAAGAAATCCGAACAGCACATACTTCAATCTGCGTTTTCAAGCGCTCAACTTGGCCCCCAAATAAGAAGATAACGTAGATCGCAATGCGTGGAACTGGCATCCACAAGCAAGTATGTTGCGCAAGAGGCCTGCCCAAGTGATCGACAGCCAAAGGGACCAAGCATGGACTTGCAACCGAACGCTTTCCTTGTCCTTGAACCTCAACTCCACTACCAGTAGCGGAGTTATGAAGAATGCAGCACCAAGAACGCCGACTAGTAGAGTCCTGACTGGCCTTGCAAGCTTCATGAAGCCGAGCCAAAGTGCTCTACCCCTCCTCGCCTTTTTTCCGGTTTCCGGATTCTCCGCTTGACTAGTGACTTCTTCTTCGTCCCAGTCAAATTCATCTGAAGAGTTTGTCGAGATCGTATCTGAATCACCATCTTCTTCTACATGGGTATGGTCCGGTGTCTCGGGCTGATTCCCATTTTCATCCCGGGGAAAACCATGCTCTATGGACTTGGAATGGTCGAGGGGAGTAATGCCGTCTTCAGGGGAGCGACATTCAGGCATGATCAGTCATCAAAAGCAAGTAGCAACGAAAAAAGCAACTAGGTGGTGAGATACTTGGAAGACAGTTTGGCGCCTTATTAGTTCTTAATAGGCTTGATAGTTTTGCCAAGGGGTGGAGCGCACCACTGACTATATACCTTTGTTACGTAAGGCCCCCGCAGGACTTTAGGCGTTGTTGTGGATTGGCAGGTCATGGCAGAACATTATAATCTGAATCTTATGCTACAAAATGCCACGGAAATGATGGAGGAGTAAAAGACGCGTCGAGACCAAGGTGAAACAATTACAAGTCCAACCTTGTTTGAACCAGCGCCAACGTTTGCAATCAGTCCCGGCGTGTTGCCAAGTAAGCGGGAGCTATTTATGTGCGATGTAAAATACTTGGCGGTTTGAGTCGGAGATAGTAAAAGGGAATATTATTCCCTTGAGCGATTGATTCTGAAGGTGCTAATACTGCGATGCAACTGCGCTGCTGCTGACGATCATGGAGAGGCGGACGTATGGATGGGGAATAGCTTGAGGAAAGAATCTGCATCTGCATTTGAAATGACAACTTGGGGAAAACTCGAACCTGGGGTCGCTAGAAGCAAGTCGCCTGATCCACACATTGATCTTATAGACCAGAGGTTCGAGCATGTAATACAACGAGGCCTAAGTTGGACTGCAAATGGCCGAGGGCACTTTCACCGAAAGCCTGGGTCTGCGGTGGACCCGACTGTGCGAGAGGATAGGAGTCTGTTCGACGAGCAAGCATGCTGGTCCCAAAGGCTTGAGTACAGGGAACATCACTCCTGCCTCCCTGGGCCCGAGCACCTACGACGGAGTCTCCATGCTGCATAGAAGTGTCAAGGACAGCTCGCGCTCTTCCCAGTATACTACCGCGAGTTTCAGGGAGAGACTTGACGGTTCCCAGAACTTGCGGGCGTCTGCCTCTCTTTGTTCGGGAAACCTCGTCGACAACCGTTTCCAAGAAAGTGGCCGATTTTTCGCCTTCCGCAGTTTTCTGTTCACCCCTCTCAGAAGCGTTCTGGTCGGAGGATGATTGAATCTCCTTGCGTATAAGAATTCGAATTGTCTCATCCGAAAGGCACTTCTTTTTTGCGCAATTTTGAATGTGAACAATTTTTTGGCTCGCAATCTTCGCCGAGGTCCACTCCAGGCTGCAACTGACGCAGTTGGTGAGAGATGCAAGTTGTGTATCCGAGAATTCGTTGGAGAAGCGGTGAACATTGGGACGCTTCAGCCTGGCTTTCGTAGTAGAGGTTGATTCTCGAAGCGTTTCTGTTGCGGCAGCACTACCTGAACGCGATAAACCTCCAAGGTTGGTCACCTTAGTTTTAGAGGAAAGCGCTCCGAAAGCAAAGCGAGACAGTTTCAGGCGGGATTCACCCTCGGAATCGCTAGACAGCGGCACTTCCAGGGTCGCAATAGGAGGTGGGGTGGGACATGTAGAAGGGCAGTTCGTACCCAGCTTTTTCTGCGCATCATAGGGTCCATGAGTGGTATCGGGGGCATTTACCCGATGTTTACGTTGGTCAGGAGCGATGCCTGGACCTCTTCAGTGACCCGAGATTCAATAGCTGATGTAGGCCTCACCAGAAGCAAGCGATGGTACACCGACCACAACATCATCGGTGACTTCAAGTTCCGGGGAAGAAGCCAGCTCCGTCAGTGGACTGCAGCTGGAACCTGAGAGAACATGAGCATCAGGGAGACACTGTCAAGTTGGACGCTTACTGCCGACGGACCCGCCGACTTGACTCTGAGCGCCTACAGTGGTTGATGGACCAGGAGGATAGGGTTCCGAGTCGGTTAGCTCAATGAAATCTTGGTCTGCCTGCTGTAGATCCAAGCGCAAACGTTTCTTCTTCCTTGCCAGACGTCCTTGCTCCCTCTGCTGCCTTTTTTCCTCCCTCTCGGGTTCGGAGTCTTCCACAAGCTCGTCATCATGCCTACGCTTGAGAGTTGCTGGCATGGCGTAAAGTGAATCACAATCAAACCTTTATGAAGGACTAAGCCGCGTCAGGGCGCTTGGCACGCGTTATTTGTGTTTATTTGTCACTTAATTACTGACTTCCTTAAAACGTGATCTGATCCAGACTTCCAGTGGCACTGCGTCTTCTTGGGGTTGAGATTATCCGATCCTTTGTCGATAGCAATGAACATGGCCAAACTATCCAAGCTTGGGCCCGTCACCGAGGTCGTCGATCCGCAGGAGCTGTATCGAGTCATCACTCAAGCGTCGTCTCAAAACCCAGCCGAAGTTCGCGCGTCGAGTAAACGCGTCGAGGAATTGTTGGACTGCTTTGGGACTTTCGATGGTTTGCATGAGATCGCCGCCACCCGATCAGTACCGCTGCATGTGAGGAAGCAAAGCATCATACAATTCAAAAACAAGGCGTTGAATCACTGGAAATCACGGAAGTGCGTGTTTCATTCAAGACACTGACGCGTTGTCTATTCGCTAACATTAAACAGGCTTTTATCGGATGAGCACCGAGTTAGGATCCGCGTACGATGCATGACCTTTTTTGACGAGGAAGATGATACGGTAAGTATTCTGTCTCAATGTCGCTTTTCGCCTTTATTTACGACTCACTCCACAAGATTGCGGAGTGCAATGAAATAATCGTTGCGAAGATTGCTCGCCAAGATTACCCCATGAACTGGTACCTTTGATTTCATCTCACAGGGTTACGCGTTAATTTCTAGATTAGGTCTTCGCTGCTAGCCGACATCATGGACGTCATCCGCACCAATCTTCAAGTGCTGTGCGCTTCTCCCAATAGCGACCCGCGGTCAATTCTTGCCCTTCGCAGGGGTCTCGCACTTCTTAACTGTGTCCTGAAGGAGTTCAGTGGCGTCAAGATGTTGACCGGCGTGAAAACAATGGCCAATGCATGTTCCTCATCATCTCGTTATCAACTTCACGGCCTTATTCTACATTAGATCATCGATCAACTTCATGAAGTGATATTCGCCTACTATTCCCAATTGTCGGCAATGATTTCTGCGCTCGTGCCGCCAGCGCTTGGCGATCAGCGCACTGCCGACAATCTCATCGTGGCTCATCTCATCTACAAGTGTCTTTCAAAGATGGCTCTCTGGCTCTGGCCCAGACTCATAAAGCCTGAAAAAGGCGGGTTTGAAAAACTCGAGCCTTGGGTTCGTTTCCCTTGCGAGAAGTCTATGAGCGCGACTGATAGGCAATAACTATACAGTTCTTGCAACTTTTCCAGAGTTCGACCGGACAATTGAAGATACTGTCTGAACTTCGCATCAACCTCGTCCTTGCCTTGAGAGAATCTGGGGCATCAGACCGTATCACACTTTTGTCTATTGACAGACTGACCCGTCATGTCCGCGTATTTGGAAAATTTTTCCGCAGACTACAACAGCTTGAACCTGTAAAATTTGTTGAGCTCCCGACAGGTAACGAAATCGTCCTTTACTATTGGGATAGAGTTGTGCAAGCTACCAATGGTCCGCCGGAGCTGATCCAAGGTTTCTGAGCTTAATTCCGCCCTGATGCTCGTTTTACTCATATTTCTGCATAGACGCCCCGACGGCGGTTTTCCCGGTGCGTTTTCTCCTCCAGGCAATGGTCCTTTTCAAGGAAAATCTCGCGAGATGGACGCCGTTTCGCAAAGGTGGCCCAAAAACCGAGACTAGTATTGACTGTCTTTGGGAATTGTGGTCTTTTTCTGACGAGAGTCGCCTAGCTCTTTCGCAAGAGTTTGTTGAGGATGCCGTTCGGCTTCTCGTGACGCGCTTCATCCCCTTGAACCCGGCAGATCTCAAGGGTTGGATGTCTGACCCGGAAGAATGGGTCAATCTAGAAGACAAGGAAAACGATCAATGGGAGTATGAATTACGAGTGCGTTCCACATGTAGATTCCCCTTGTCGCGAGTCTCACCTTTTTAGCCATGCGGTGAACGCGTCTTGATGACCCTTTCGTCGCAATACAAGGATTATGTCACGCCGCTACTTGAGACAACCTTCAAGCAGACAATTGGTGAATATACAGTTCACACGTGTGCCTGTACTGATGAGCCTATTTCCAGCGCAACCGACTGTCGATTTGGCAAGTGTCATACAAAAGGAAGCCCTGTACTGTGCTATTGGACGTTGTGCGACTCGCCTAAGAGACGTCATTCCTTTCAATCAATGGTTGGAACATAATCTTCTCGCAGAGGCAATGGAGACGAACCAAAAGTGAGTTTGATTTGTCGTAGTGCCAGGTCACATTCACTCATGTTACACTAGCTATCCCATCATCAAGCGCCGTATAGCCTGGCTTATTGGAAGATGGATTAGTGACATGTGTACACCAGCCAATGATCCAAAAGTCTGGGAAATCCTGATCCACTTGCTACGAGACAGAGGACCTGGGACGGATTCTGTCGTTCGTCTAACTGCCGCCACAGCCTTGCGGGAGTGCGTTGACGTACGTTTCTTTTTCGTTGTTCGCGATCCATGTTCACTCTATATAGACTGTCGATTTTGACATTGATGTCTTCACACCTTTCTTGCCTGCAGCAGTCACTGAACTTGTGAGGCTTATGGGCGAGGCGGACACGATGGAAGTGAAACAGCGTCTAGCCAAGAGTCTCAATGTGGTAATCGAACGTGCGGGTTCTCGAGTGAGTTTTCCGTGCAATATTGTAACACATTATACACATTTGTCACCAGATTACGCCACACGCACAAATGATTTCGGGAGGTATCCCCCAGCTGTGTAAGCCCCTATCGACACTTCCTTAATCAGGCTGTTTGTTCAACCTACCTTAGGGACCGCTGCGGGCGAGGAGTGGTTATTCAAAGCTCAACTTTTGGTCATCGTGACAAGCCTAGTGTCGGTGAGTTAGGTGCAGTTGCATATCGCAATACCATTCATGCATATTATGTATACAGGCGATGAAGGAGCAGTCATATTTAACCCCCCTTATCGTCCCACTTGTTCGAGAAGGTCTTTCCCAGGGCGTAAGATTTTTCTATATGCCGACGTGCTGCGTGCTAACGTGAGCGAAGGTTGCCATCAACCTCGATGAAGACGCGCTTAATCTTTGGCTAGCTGCCGTTCGCAACTCATCATCGTTGAGCTGTGCTGGCGGCCCTGGTCTTATCGACTTGGTCCCTCTAGCAGTGTCTCTGTTGTCGAACAATCTAGATCTGCTTGGCAAGATAGTGTCTATAGTCGAGTCGTGTTTATTTGCCGACGCTCCTGCCGTCTTGCAGGTACCTTGTTTATCACTCACCTAAAGGCGCCACTAAGTTTTTAGAGCTTCTCCTTTTCGCTAATGGAGGCTTTCGTAAAAGCGCTCACGGGCCAGGCTATATTGACCAATCAGAAAGACATACTGATTTGTCTCCAATTCCTGACTCAGTTAGCTCCCGCTGCGCTTTGGGGAAAAGCTATGCACGACGCTGGTTTGTTTAGTTACATTGTTGACCTTCTTAATCACGACGAGGTGAGTCATGCATCTGGACTGATTGAATGCTAAAGCGCATGTGCTAATAATTTGCTTAGAGCTCGCCAACCCTGCTCACCGAATGCATCTATTTACTTGCGAGGATTGCCATGGCAGACAGACAGATGTTCATGCAGCTTGTATTGGCAACGCAGACCGCGAATCTCCCAGAAACTAAAATCTGGGAAGCAGTACTGGACCATTGGTGGCGGCAGGTTCGTCCTTATATTGTCATCGAGTGCTGTGCTTGTTCACATGCTTATACTCGCATGGCAGTTCGACCACATGTCGGAGCCTCGTCACCGCAAACTAGCTGCTCTCGGCATAGCGTCTCTCGTATCAACCGGTCGTCCTGAAGTGCTTGATCGCTTACCGACCGAGATTTTCAACCTCTGGACAGACGTGTTCTTTGAGGTCAAAGAGAGCAGGAACTTGGCTGAAAATGAGGATGCCAGGTAAGTCTGTAACAACGACAAACATTGTCAGTGCGCGCTGATGCTATACCGCCAGCCCCTTAACACTTCACTGGGACCTCGATCAGGTGCCACAGTCATACTATGCGGATTCTGAGAACACCATGGAGTTTGATCGTCGGAAAATGGTCAGTGATTTTTGAAATGTCGATGTTCCTCTCTCACCCCACATATATTTGGCAGTTCCTGGACAATGATCCTGTTCGCACCATTCAGCTCACTAATTATGTGGCTGCGGCATTACAGGAAGCCGAGAGGACCTGTGGAGGCGTAAATATTTTCAATCAGTACATAAGCAAGGCGGATCCCACTTTGCTCAAACAACTCCAGGACGAACTTCGGGGCGAGTAAGACAGAGATGAACGATCGAGAAGGGACACCTTATTATACTCTCATCATTGCTAGTTATTTGTACAATTGAACTGAATACTTTCATGTTTTCTCGTCATCTGAATTGATATTATGGTTTCTCATTTGAGATGACAATAAAATCCAAGTGCATTGCGTATGTAGTAAAAGTTTATCTTGACCGAAGCGTGACGGCAATTGGCTTGGGTCTTTCCATCGCCGTCGGAACACGAATATTGATAAGGGAGTGCGTCCTTGATATATCATCGGTAGTGTTCTCCAAGGTTGACCCGAGTGTCTGGAGGTCCGAAAGAGACGAAGAATTGGGAAGTTTACGGGAGCAAGTACAGCCAGGGAAACAGTAATCCTTTGATACAGGGGGCGTCGGTCTGTTTTGACGGGCGGCTAGAGAGAAGGGTCGAGTCATAGATGAAAATACGTATGCGACGATGATATGCAGCGGGAACGGAGATGGACTTGAATCAATGTCGCGGGACCAAACGTCACGGTCATGCGAAGCCTGAGTAAAGAGGGCAAGGAGAATGATGGTTACCGCATATATGAAAACTGCTGTCGCACTGAGCGTCTGGTCTCTCACAAGCAAAGGACGCCGACATACCCAGAGCTGCGTTGAGCCATATAAGCGTTGCGAGGCACAGGTAGGCGGCATGTGCAGCAGGTACATCTGCGATATTGAGGTTGACGGAGAAAAGACCTAGTACTATGTGGAAGAATTAATGCATGGTCTCGCCTCGTGTAAAATGTCTTACATATTTCGAAAGGTAACAAGGCAAAAGCCCACGTGGCCTCTACTGAAACGAGCTGCGGTTTGTATACCACCTTTGTAAATATTCTGCGTGGGTGAGCTCGGATGTACAACGACTAACAGCAGAATGGGCTCACGTCCACAGTGAGCCGATGAATGCGCCTGTCGAGATGGCGATCATAGCACCGATGTTGTTGGACTTGAAGTATCCGGTCCCCCAAAGAAAGAGGGAGAACACAAAGCATGCGAGAGAGAGCATTCCGATCAATCCTAAAGAAATAAGTGGGTTAGAAGCTGTATATCCAATTGCGTCTAAATAGAAAGCGACCCATTGAGAACCTTCGGGCAGTCCTAAAGCTGATGGCCATCGCGCTCAAAAGATGACTTGGAAATAACGAAGTGCAGACTGGCACAGAGAAGTCGGAGGATATCAACAGACAGGCATGATAATAACAGATCATTCGAAACCTGTCTGATACCAGTGAACGTGTGCCAGACATAACCGGTTCAAACGCAAACGCAAAGGTTCACGACACTGCCCTCAGGCTGAGGTCGGACACTCCAATGGTCCAAGTCTGAACAAAGTCAACGATCTTCAAAACCTAGCTGATACGTATAGAGACCCTACTCTAAATCTCGATGACCTCGAGCCGATGCTGCCTGTATCATACCGGGGCCGCAGGCAGCGCCAGAGAGCAATGTGCCTCCCAAAACCTTCGAGCTTCCCACTGCTTGTTATGTTCTCGCGTTGAAGCGGCCCCGATATAAACAGTGTTTTTCTAGCGGCTTCGGGATGAACACCACCTCCATACAGGGCTCCCAAGTTCAATATAGGACCTCTCGTCGCCCGCCTGAAAACTCCCTTCGGTAATGACATATTCGACGGCGCTTAGGTTTCGTCTTGGGTCCATGAAAACATCGATGCTGTCTGGATTTAGAAATAAATACAGTGACTCTAGAGGGAAATCACGCTCGACTGTTTGCTGTGAGGGCTTTGGTAGTATCGAAAGATCCTGGCTAAGTCTTCATCTCAGTTATAGAAGTAGAGATGCCCATCGGCGAGGGGATATTCTTCCGTTATAAAATTGATCTGGTATAGAGACTGTTTTGAAAGAATTGACGTCGAACTTGAACCATGCGTGGGTTCTGTCCCTCAGGAGTTGTAGGCGTGTAAAAGTAGGAGTGTGATCGTCGAAATCCGTATTGAGTGAGCAGTTTAAATGATATACTGAAGCCCCGGGGACAACATGCACTTCTGATGAAGGGCCTTACATACCTGTAAGACGATATCAGCCAGTACACAGGTCCATCTAGGACGATGGTAACGCCATCGATGAGTAAATTGTAGCTCACCGTTGTGCAACAAAGAATATCTCACCAAGGAAGGAAGCTCAGAGTCAGAATGTAAGATCGAATTTCTTCAGTAAGAGACAGGAAAATTGGTTTGGTGTTCTTCTCAGCTGGTTCCACATGGTGATGTATCGGTCTGGACAGCGCAGGGAGCGAAGTAAGTACTAGTAAGTACCTGAGCTCAGCAGAGTTCAGCCTTCTACTTGTTTGTGGCGGTGCAATGAGTGTACGCTTTACATCATAGCAGTACCGTTCTAGCAGTTCAACGTAAGTTTGAAGATGTCACACAGCTTGCTCCCGACGATGAATGGTAGGTTCCTAAAAGATGTTTAGTTTTGTGACTTATTTGCCTCAGGTGAAACAGCTCAGGAGAGCAAGTTCGAGTCTGAGATTGGACAACAGAGTTTATTCTGTGAGTAGTTAGTTTGATGATGACCGTTGAAAGCGGGCTGATGAGTGAATACAGACCACGGTCAAGCAAAAGATTTTGTCGACCTCCATGAGCAAGTGGAGGTACGTACGCTGCCTGCTAGAGCTCCACCTGCTTCCTGAGTCATTCAACACCTCAGACAAGCGTAAATCTTCTGGATTCTCTAGAATCATTTCTGTCTACATTTCAAAAAGATCTTTCTTCTGTATCCGGCCAGATATCAGAGCTACAGGAAAGGAGCAAAGACATTGACAACAGGTTGAAGAGTCGACGCGTGGGTTCTTCACCGAGATGGACGGGATGACGATTTGATGCCGTGACTCCAGAGAATAGAGAAACCGCTTTCAAGTCTTCTGTCAGACCTCACGATACCTCCCTCACTTGCAATTGCCATCTTAGACACCGATGTCGGAGAGCCTTGGATAGTGACTATCACTGACTTTGAACAACGGCTGGATGGTCTGAAGGTTCGGTCTCGTGTCAAAGCTGCCAGGGATCTTGGAGATGTTGCGGAAGGGCTTCGCATAGTAGTGCGTGGATTTATTGCTCATTTTTTATATCTTTGTCCAATACTTTTGCAAGGCAGCTACCAAACTACGAACGTTTTTTCTCGCATTGCTACAGCCGGTTCGAACAAGTGTCACAACGAACTTGCAAGTTATGCAGACTTCGATCTTTGTGAAGTATAGAGCATTATATGCATTCCTCCAGCGGCAGGCGCCGAACGTTGCCAACGAGGTTCAAAGGGCTTACACTGGCACAGCCCGCACGTACTATGAGACTGCTTTTCGCCGTTATATACGCAGCCTAGGATGGATCAAGGTTTTTATGTCATTTATGTCTGGATGCAGTCATTAAACAGAACGTTAGGCAAGGACCCCAGAGAAACCTGAGCCCATTATCTCAGGGAATGGAGACAACGGTGGGCTAGACCAAGATCGTCTTGCATTTGCAAAAATACAAGGATCCAGTGTCATTCTTGCTTACATGGCAGATGATAAGACTCACGTGAGTGCTATGTGTTCGTACTTTGATAACCAAGCCTATTTTGAGGACTCCTACATAGGAGGAGCCTATCGAAGCCATTCTCAGGTCCCTTTTCCTGGTGTTGATGGATAATGCCACCGCAGAATATGCATTTGTCACAGCATTCTTCCGTTCTGAGTCCTTTGCGCCTCCTCCTGCGAGGGAACCTAACAGCGCCCTGTTTTCACCCTCTGCCACGCTTTTGTTCCCTGATTGTGGCTTTCACGATAGGAGGTCCAATGCTGGTTCCGAAATGGGTACGCATGTTTCAAGATCTTTCAGCGGTAACGGGCACAGACCTCGTGATGCAACAGCACGACCCAGCATTATGGACAAGGCTGAGCGTGTGCCGTTAGATGCTATATGGAAACAAATCCTAGATCCCGTTCTAGAATATTGCAAGGTACGGAATCTTGTTTCCCCTCGTATTCCCGAGGAACCGACGATCGTCAGACTTTCGTGACCACCGTTCTTGAGCCCATCCCGCCGGCCGTGCCACTACTCACGATGATCCGACTCACGGAGGCTGTAATTACAGAAGTGCAGAAGAGAGATTGCCCGCCTCTGGAAAACTTTTTGTTCGCCATGCGGTTGCAGATGTGGCCTGCGTTCCAGAAAATTATGTCTGAACATTGTGATGCTTTGAGGAAGCTTGCTGAAGGTAGTGCGGCTAGCTACTTCAGCAGAGCTGCGTCAACGACGGATGTGTCTGTTGCGAATGTAGGTTTCCTTGATGCGAATCATCTGCCGGGCTGATCTTGATAACACAGATTTGCAACAGATACATTGTAATGTTTAATTCCTTCGTCATCCTGACTGACCAGGAAGAAGAGACCATGATTTTTTCCAAGTAACCGTCCAGTTTTCCTTTGTTTTCGATCTCACACAATGCTGCATAGTCTTCTTCGTCTCCGACAGGAGCTTACGAAATTGATTGCTCGTCACACGGAGAACATCAGCGACGACGTTGCTAAAGCTACCAAGCAGTCGGCAATGTACGAGGTTCTTTTGCAAGGACTAAACGTAGGCTACTTCCCAGCGCCTTCAAAATTATGTTCTGACGGCTTTTTCTTGTCCAGAAAGGGACACATCTAAGCACACACCCCAAATCTCAGAAGGAGCTAGCTTATTGGGCGGAGAAAGAAGAAGAGGCTCGACGCCGAATAGTGACCATTGCTCAAAGCAGGCGTATTGGTAAGAGATAAGTAGCGTCGAGCGATCCTAATTATTTCCCGTGCAAAGTCCATTTTTGTGGGATCCGATGGATAAGTTACATGTGATTAAATACGATGCGACAGATCATGATGGACATACGAATCAGAAGAAAATGTAAACGGACACTAACGAGAAAGGAATGTCGATGCCCTGCAGGGAAGATCAGGCAGGTGATCTTGCGCAGCACATGATCAGGTGAAAGGCACGTAGCAAATCTGATTTGGACAACTCACTGGAAGGAAGCCTTCAACAAGCTGCTTCCGTTCTGTTTTCCAATTCCCAACCTGTTCAAAACGTCCCGTACTTCACCCGCACTACTTGTAACGGCACGCTTCTTGGGTCTCGACCGACTTCGCGTTAAGGCAAGTCGGCTGGAGCGAAGATCAAGAGAAGGCGAGTGGTCGAGGGTAGATACCGAAGGTCGCCTGACAAGAGCCGGGTTGGATGCTCCTGCACGTCCCTCAAGCGCCTCGCGCAGATCAGTCACACCTACCCCACGGACTGACCGTGTCAGACTTTGCAACGAGAGGTTCTCAATAGCCATAAGAGCAGGTGATAACTTCAATAACGGTAAGCCACCTTCCGTCAACTGTCTGTGGTTGTTCGGTCTATCCGCTGCAAGGTTTCCAGATGAGTTAGATAATTAACACTCCAAGGAGTCCGCCTTACAGTCTCTGAGAGCTATGTCTACCGTCCATCTGACCGAAAAACGGCGAAGTAGCCCTTGGCGGTCAAGCCCTGTTGCTTCTTGAACAGACTTGGAAGACACTAATATCGCCAGTGCCTCTTCGGCATTAACGCTTGACCATTGCGATACTTCTCTTTCTCCCTCGATAGGGGGGAACGTAACTTCTGTCTGTGCTGGTCGAAGCACCCCAGGAATGAACTCTGAGAGCGGAGGCAGGGTCGGTGCCGCTCCCATTGTGGACAAAGCCTGGTTTCGTTGACGATCAATAATCTCTCCGAGAATAAGATAATATTCAAAGTGACTGACTTTTTCAGCAAGGCCCACCAATTCCGGGCATTCCCAAACGCGACCGAGCACGAGCCAAACACGAGCCAGTAACTCTTGTATCACTTTAACTCGTTGTTTGGAAGCATCATTGGTCCCATCTTCAACTTCGGCGGTTCCATGCAGTGCTATGAGCATTGGGAGACCAACAAGAAGGCCGCGGGTCGGGACTTCCTCATGGATAGCAGATAGTACGTGGAAAATCAGCGCATAGTCTGACAGGGATGCTGAAGCAGCCGCTGAGACCTTCTCAGGCACGCTCTCCGACAAGCGCTGCGCGTTCGAACTTTTACGTGTTCGGGCCAGAAGGGCTGGCGATCTTCGGGCAGGGGAAGAGTTTTGTGGGTCAGTGCTATGTCCATCGGTGGGACCTGACTCATTAGGCGTAGGGGCCGTTACTCCAATGGAAGGGATGTCACCACTTGTGGAGTAGGCGGGTGAAGGAGTTGAGTTGAATGAAATGCCAAGAGACGAAGTTGTCGCCAGTATAAAGAGATAAGCATGCGTGGCATGGAGCGATCGCGTCGCCGAGTCACCAAATAGAAGGAGGCCAATACTGTTAGCTTGGTGTGTTGGGCTACCTTCGATAAGAGGACGAGGACGTCTGACTCCATGTTCATCTGTCATGTCTCCACGTTTTGGAATCTCTTTGCGCAAGTAACTGACGAGAGTGTGGGCATAATCACTCCGTACCGAGTAGTCACCATCACAGATAAGACTCAGGGTCTCATGCCATATTTCTCCAGATACTCTTGTCCGTCGAGAAACGTGAGAAGGAGGGCTTTGCGAAGGGACATTATTTTGCGGAGTGGCGGTGCGGGATAAGGGAATGTGTGGGGCATTTTTATCATTCGAGACCACTTCGGAGCCATCAGCAGCATGCATGAGACCTACAAGACCCGCAAGGAGACACCGGATAGCCTGACTTCGCCTGCGGTCACCGGGCCCCTTGTCGCGACCAGTAACTCCTTGCATCTCAACGGTTACAAGGCGGCTGATCAACTCGCTAGCAAGGTCTTGAATCTGGTCAGAATAGTAGACGTGGGCGCCCAAAGAGGATATGCATTCCACAAGCGACGGAAGGAGGGCGTCGTGAGGGTCGATTGATACACGCCGGAGGACCAAAGTGATAAGGTTTGAAATGATGTCTGATGTGGACAAATTGACGAGAGGTACGGGGGACGTGAAGACCGCAGGAACCATAGCAGCTAAAGCTTTATGCTGAGCGGTGCATATTGGTGAGTCCTGTATCGAAAGAAGCTGTTCGACCAATCGAGTAGGCACTGCATAGCGATACTGGTATTGGGCCCATTCGCACGCCCTCTGGGCTAGCCATCGACATTGGTCAAGTTTCTCCCAAAGTTTGAGATCGCCTAGACCTTCAAATGTGGCCTGCATCAAGAACCCCATTTGAGCGCCATTAGAGTGTTGTATCATGTGTTGTAGTGCTCTTAACGATGTATCTAGAACATCGGAAGAAGACGGACCGCTCTCCCCGTCTACGTGTGCATGAATGGAGGCAGCACGTCTTTCAAGGACAGGCCGTGAACGGAACTCCGCAAGATATATGGAAGTAGCGTTGCTTTTGATAGCCTCCGCACTTTGGTTCACAATAAGATGCATGTTCTCCCTGTATATAGAACGAAGACTCACCACTCATCTAGAACAGTCAGGTCCGCATGCATAACATGGAAAAGTAATGAACGAGATATGATCGAGACTTGAGGCTTGTATTGGCTAGAAGAGCAATAAAGAGCTTCTGAATTCACGGCGCCTGTGAGAGCAGCCAATCCGACTAGACGAGTCCTGAGCAGACCGATAAATGACTCACCAGTAATGGAAAAGAGCAGAAGACTCACCTGTTCCTTAGCTCGTGATCGACCGACTTGACGTCGGCGGTGGATTGCTGGGCAAATTGCCGTAAGACAGCGAAGTAATCTTGGGCTAAATTAGAATCTGCTCCGATGACATGGCCGTCCGTGAAAGTACACCATGCGGTAAACTGCAACACGAGTGAGTTGGCCTGAACGAAATGGGCAGATTTAGCACTAACCACGCTGGCTGCTCGCGCTACTATTTCGAGGTCAGAAGAGAGGGTATCCAGCGTGACCTTGAGGCACGCGACCAAAGCCGGGGATAGTAAGGATATATCGCGTCGACATTCTACCGCCAGCGCTCGCAAGACAGAAAGTGTAATAAGTAAAGATCTGGTTGAGAACTATGAAGGTCTTCAAGGGACTTTCGAGGGTTCTGAAGACGTACGCTCTGGCTCGAACATTTCCATACTGAGCCTTGTGACATCCTGACTTGACACGTTTTTCCAGTTCGCCCCCTAACTTGTTTATTTTTCCTGGGCGATTAGCAGCATAGTATGTGAGCTTGGAGAGCTCCTGTGCATTCGGACGATATTCAGGGCCAGAAGAAACCAATGCAGATGAAGAAGGATAGCATGCAGCAATTAATGACACGTGATTGGGGGTGAAGAGATGCATCTGAGTAAAAGTAAGTCCTGCAAAGAGAACCGCTCAAGGATTGGAAGAGGAGTCTGGCGATTAGATAGATATAAGTTGAGGAAGGTAGTACATCATTGAGGGTCAAGGTGGAGCAGTAGACCCTGGCGGCAGTACTTTGAAACATGTAGGCACGAGACGGTGAGAAACTCAGGGCGTTCCCCGGAAGGGTGATCAGCCCCTATACATATCAACTGTATGGACTCGATTGTCCATCGATGTTGAAAGGCTAGAACGTTTTCGATCGGAGGCTAGAGCTTGTGCGATTAAAAGACCGAGACTCTTTCGAATTTTGTAAGTTACATAGAACAAGACTAGAATCACCTTCATTCGAAACGTCGATCTGAGTAGGCAATATGGCTCGCAAGTCAAGCCTATTGAGTATGTACTAGAGCATTATGCAGAGAAGAAATAGCACTGATAGTCGCGCTATTATCTGGATGAGTAAAATGTAAACCGTTATGCGCAATCATCATGTCATGGTGTCGTGCCATCTCGAGTCTCCCCTCGTCTTCGCTCTCCTCGCCAAGAACATGAAACTGGCTCCAATCAAAGCCAACAGGATCCACGACAATATCCTTTAGACTACTCAACGCCTCCAAGTGGGACGCCTGCATCACGCTTATCCAGCGTTTGCTGATCATCCAAGTGGCGATGCCTTTGGGAGGGATAATGAGGCCTTCCTTCGGTGAACCGTGGGATCGTTCTCTCCGTCCGACACCTCGCCGGGGCTTTAGAGAGCTATCTGCTTTGTCCAAATCGTCTAGTACGTCGAAAAAACGCTGTAATCGGGCGCTACGCCAAGGGAAACCCCGAACGCGCAATAAAGTCGTACGAGAGCCATCAACCGGATCCTCTTCGATTTCGGATTCCTCGGAGGACATGCATTCCACTTGTAGCGCGCCATCAAACATGATGTGCTCAAAGGCTTCAAGTTTATTTCGAGCGTCTGAACGATTGCTCAGTTTCTAGAGCGTCATAGTCAATTATCGGATTTTTCTAGTGAGCGGAATCGACCACCTCACCGTCTTCTTACGGCTTAATCTTCTCGATCGCATTGCCTTGACATCTTCTCGCTGTTTCTGGTTGCTAGCGACGGAGGTGTCCCGCTGAGCTCTGAACTTCTGTCTGAAGGTGACAAAAGCCTGATCGAAGACGGATTCCAGAGATTTTTTGTTGAAGTCTTTGTCGGGAACATGCTTGTACAGATGACGATGGGCTCTAAGATCCTGTAGCACACGCTCCTTCATCCTTCCATTGTGGACAGACTGTTTGGGTGTCTTGTCCCAGACGAAACGAATAGGGTCATTGGAACCCAGTCCAATACCTTCGGTCTGACCATCAGGGAGGTGTTTGTCATCCTCGAGGTGCATGACGCGCAAAAGATGACTACGCATAGCATGCTTGATGATTGTCGTTAATATAGTTCTGCAGATTTTTGGTGCAAGATTTACCTGGATAGTAAGACAGCGAGTATCATGATGATTCTTTCGTTTGATGGGCCGTTCTACAAGTGAATACTCAGAGCCATCACTATCACCTTCATCACTCGTTGCATCAAGCGTCGGTCTCTTGCGCGGATTAGATGAACTGCCTGGCCGGGATGATGATGGATCAACAGTGATAAACCGTGCTGGCTTAGAAAGGAAGGGAGGCGAAGCGTGCGCTGAGCTTGCGGCGTCGCCAATAGAGGGACTACCTGCTGGCGGTTCTGCATCAGATGACACTGACATGTGCCGTAAAATAGAAGGTGGCGTGGGTTGCGCCAAATCTGGAGAGGCATGGTTCCATGGGATTGTAGTCAAGTGGGTCATCGCAGGCGAGGTATTTGGTGTAGGGCTGTTGTTCCATCACTGGAGGTGATTGTGCTGAGGTCGAAGCCTTTGGTGTCCCAAAGGCAAGTTTTGCTTTGAGTGCACCGACCTCTTGTTGCATCTCGAGCATCCGACGCTCCATTTCGGCTTGTCGTAGGGTATACTTGGCTTCTTGCTCTTGCTCCCATGCAAGTCTCCGTTTCTGCTCTATCTCCTGAGACTCGCGCGCTGAATTCAAATAGTTCATAACAATCTGGAAAGGATGAGCGCTGCTGGACGATGCGTTGGCAGGCCGGCCGGTAGAATTTCTAGACAGCGATCAGCTTGGTCAAAAAAAAATATGGCATTGCCTACTGAGGCGGCGTCGTAGGTGCCGCAAAGGGCCTCGGGGGCTCCGAAACGGCAAGCTCAAGCTCGCTGTGGTGTGGCTCATGGGCTTGAGTGGGCTGAACGGGCTGGAAATGGATTTGTGTATTAGAGGATCTGGGCCTCGGTTGCGCAAAAAAAGGATTCAGAGCCTGCGACAATTCACTGGTGGGCATGAGGCCGTGGGAACGTCAGCACTTGCTCGTCGCCAACCTGTCGGTCCACAGACGCCTTGAACCGACCTCACAGGCGTAGTAAATATTGACACTTGTTATAATTTGAGGCTGTTGCACAACAGAGCCAAACAGAATCGCGAGACGCGTCAGCTGTAGTAGACAATCATATCCTTCACTTGATTGTTCACTATCATGGAAGGCATGGAAGGTCTTGCAGAAATGATGGGTGGTCAGCTCCGTGGAATGCGGGGTCCTGCACCAGATTCGGCAGTACCTGATAGGTGAGTTCTACTTGTGATATTGATCAATGTGTTGCCTCATGATCGGTACAGCGGAGAGGTCATTCACATATCGTCTCTAGCGCTATTAAAGGTGAGGCTTGTATGAAGACCGCTATAAGATATGCTCATCATTCGTAAGATGTTGAAACATGGCCGAGCTGGTGTTCCTATGGAGGTTATGGGCCTCATGCTCGGAGAGTTTGTCGATGAATATACCGTGCAAGTTGTGGACGTTTTCGCCATGCCGCAGTCTGGTACCACCGTGACCGTCGAGTCGGTTGATCACGTCTTCCAAACTAAGATGCTCGACATGTTGAAGCAGACAGGACGGTCAGCGGTGTATCTACCTTAACTTAGCAGTGCGCTGATGCACATGCACGTTCAGGCCGGAAATGGTGGTAGGGTGGTACCACTCGCATCCAGGCTTCGGATGCTGGCTTTCGAGTGTTGATATCAACACACAAGAAGTGCGTCACCTCGCACATGACATGCACTTACAATTGATTTCCTCTTGCAGTCCTTCGAACGCATGCAAAACCGCTGTGTCGCTGTTGTTATTGATCCTATTCAGTCTGTCAAAGGAAAGGTCGTCATTGATGCATTCAGATTAATCAACCCTCAAACCGTCATTGTCGGTCGCGAACCCCGGCAGACGACATCCAATATTGGTCTCATTAATAAACCGTCGATTCAGGCACTCGTGCACGGATTGAATAGGCACTACTATTCAATTGCTGTGAACTACCGGAAGACGGAGCTTGAACAGTCAATGTTGATGAACCTTCACAAGAGAAACTGGACTGAGGGATTGAAGTTGCGAGACTTTTGTTCACACAAGGAAAGCAATGAGAAGGCTATAAAAGTCAGTCATCTTATCCATATTCGTCTACCTTCCAATACTGACTATCCTCGTCCCTGAAGGCCATGCTCACGCTATCTGAGGCATACAACAAATCCGTGCAAGAGGAATCAACGCTGTCCGCAGAAAAGCTGAAGACACGTCATGTAGGGAAACAAGATCCAAAGCGACATTTGGAGGAAGCGGTAGAAAAGGCAATCGGGGACCAGGTGGTGCAGAACCTGGGTACAATGTTGCTGGCTGAGCTATAGATTTTTTTCTCGTCGGACTTCTTTTGCATTCGCAGGGGTGACATTCAGAAGATATCTACACTTCAGGCTTACAGCTCGCGAAGTTCTGCGTGCGAAGCCTAAGAAGCCAGGAGTCCAAGTCAAGAACGACCCCGCAGAGAAGAGCCTTTTCCGTTTGGTCACATGGCTGTGTAGTATACGCCACTTCATGATGACGCTTACCCATCGCGGCGATGTGAAATTAAGTTCGACCAGAAGGTTTTGGACTTCGAGATAGATAGACAAGATAGACCTATTTCTGAATTGCCAGTACACTCTGGCAGCAAGACCCTCGACACCAAGTGGCGTTCCAGGGACGAAAAAAGAGCTTCGAATGCCGCTTGTGTGAATTGGAATCCGGCTCCGTCTATCACAGGCAGCGTGAGGTCAGTCAACAGCGGTTGGGCTGGGAGGCGTTGGCGAGAGCGAGATCTCGACTGGCGGGTTGTTGAACGATCACGATACACAAACAACTACTGTAGCTGGTCACGGTGATGTACTACTTAGGCAAGACAGTGTTCCTTCTTAATATTGGTGCACGGGTGGACTGCGGGTTTAAAATCATATCGTGATTGTTCACTGTTTACAGGCAGTGGAGTTTCGAGCAACGGTGGAGCATATAGTATGTAAACGAAGAAGAAAGGAAATTTGCTTGTTGCTCAGCTGGCTGGACGATTGGTGTCGGTTCGTTCCGAGCACCGGCACCTGGCACATTGATTCACGGGTGAACCAAAAGGTATTGGTAATTGAGTAAGAGCGGGCGTGCTCAATTGGCAACTGGAAAATATGAAGAGTGGAGTGATGAATTAATATTAATTCCAAGGAAGCCTTGCAGAACTGAGCACGGGTATGACACCCATCATCTTCGCTCGACGAATGGCTTTGCCTAACCTCCGCTGACTTTTTGTTGTGAGACCAGTTTCCGCGCGGTGTTTTATTTTTCCCATTTCTGTGACGAAAGAGCTCATGAGGACGTCATTAGAAGCCTCTTGAAGAGGATCGACGCCGAGCTGGTAAAAGATGTCTTGTTTCTTAGCTTGCTTGCTGCCAGGACCAATGAGGGGTCGTTTCGGAAATGGCGGAGGGCCCTTGAAGCGGTGGTCATGTGAGAAGTAATGAGGTCTTATGAACTGAGATTGCTATGAGTGTCATGAGATATGAAACGAAGATTTTTGTTGACAGACCAGTTTAGAGTCAAACCTCCTGCGTACGCCCTGTTGCATCCATGGTGCATTCGGGTTGGTGGCTAAATAAAATTTGAGGGAGTTGGAAAACTTGAGATAATATTGTAACGAACCTGCGGCCGGTGGGCTTGACTCAGAGAGCTCATCGAGGATACTGGTCAATTTTTTCTGGTCACTCTGTAAAGGAGAATGGAAGGATCTAGATGTAGAGGCCCTGGCGCATGGAGACTGGCGGGAAACGGCACGAAAAAGCGATAGCATGAGGCCTATATGTTCCCACTACTCTTAGTAGTAGTGATGAGCACTGTGATAAGTCAATTATGTTCACAACGGGAATTATGTAATTGCATATATCTCACGGGATCGGAGATTGCCTAAAGAGATTATTAGTGGGACCCCAGTCACTTTGAATGATGGATGCAAGTCTGAAGCTCCGTAGAGTTACCTGTGAACGATTTCAAGGGATGGGCGTCGTCCGTTTAAAAAGCGAAATGAGACAGATAGTGGGATTTATAGTAGTAGTGTGACGGGCAGTGGATAGTATTTGAATGTTCTAAACTGTTTGTAGACAAGTTGAGCTTTGGTTTCACTCCTGATCACTCTCCACCATCACCTCGAACCTCCTTTTCACTTGCCGATTACAATCTCCCTCATGTTGACTTGACCTTTAATTAAGTACCTTCAACTCATCTTTCTTCCCTTCTTTCACTTTCTCAGTCAGTTTATTTCTCTTATTTATTTCTTAGTTCTACCAACTTACGAACCTCCTAGTATCTCCTGGCGTTCTATTTCCAGCACCCTGGCCTCGTCTGACAAGTGACAGGTCTACATGTCTGATTTTGCCAGCCTTCATCGTCGTCAACCCCCTAGTCCCCTCGTATTCGCTCCCGAGTCTGTGCTACCACAGCCAATTTCACAGTCAAACAGTAGCACCTATGGTTCAGGTTCAAATACCGTCTCAATGCCTTTCGTTAGACGACATGTTACTCGTCGTCTCAAGACGGCGAAGGCAGACTGCGACAAAGAATTGCGTCGTGTAATAAACAACATCACCGCTTTCTTCGAAGAGAGACTTCGCGATGGCGGTGACCAAGAACGCGACATCGATCGTGACTATCGGGATCGGGATAGGGATTTCGACCGTGACTCTCAGTACGGTGATGCGGAGCCACTTCGTGAGGCCTTCGTATACCACTCTTTCGATCCAAGGCCTGCTTCACAGGCCGATACCTATTCTGACAGTGGCTATGACCTTGAACAAGAAAGTCATCATCATACTCGACAACGTGCGTTTCCAGAGGACGACAGTACAAAGCTTCCATCTCTGACTCATCGGGTTTCTTCGCCCGGTCTCCTTGTAGCATCCAACTCTTCCCTCAGTCCCTCTTTACGCAGGCAACCCACTTTGCCACGCGAGAAACCTGTTTCCACTCCCCCTTCTAGTATTGCCGTTCCAAGCCCCATTGTTGCCTCTGCCACGCTCGCGGATGTTGCCAATCCACGCAGGCAGTCTAATGCGATGCCTCCCACGGCATGGCCCGCTCAGAGTATATCCTCCCGTAGACTTTCACGCAGCGTTCATATTCCCATCCGCCCAGTTAAATCTGGCCAGAGTTCTCGCTCAACCTCCCGTTCCAGGTCCCCACTTCCCCCGGCTACAACACACAGTAGCTTTTCTGATGTTGTTCCCCCGCCTTCTTCCGTTAATCGTCGCTCTTCTCGCATACTATTGGATGAACCTATTGATCCCATCATGACCGCGCTCTATGACCTCATTGGCGTGGCAACAGATGTCGCCGAGATGTCAACAGCCCAACTCACAGCCCAGCCTAAAGTTTGTGAGTCACTCGTTCAGCGAGTACAGACTATTGGTAAGGCGTGGGATGACCATCCAGACTGGCACGGACGGAACTGGTATGTGCAAGTCCTACTTGCCGTTGCCAGCCTCAGCCGTGTAGTCGAATGGTGGGAGGCCGAAAAGCAATTCTGGAATTTCGATGATAATGAGGACGAGCAAGACGAACCCCTTATGTTTGTCCTGAAGCCACCGGATGAACATCCTCCCGCGCCTACACCCACTGCCCGCAGTCGTCAAGATGAACTACGCTTTACAGCCGAAGATGAAAGCCGACTTCGGCTGACAAGACCGATGAGCCAAGGGAGGCGCTCCAGAGATGAAGTTCCAAAAGATATTTCATTTTCATCTGTTTCGCCAGAACAGCCGGTGCGGAAGGCCGTTGAACACAATGAATCCGCACGCGTACTGGCGACCGAAAGATTACGTCTGCAAGCAGAAACCGCACAGAACCAAAACATCGTTCTGGAACTAAGTTTGGACGGTGACCACTTTATTTGGGTCAATTATGCATGGAGAGTTGTTGTCGGGTACGCAAATTGTTAACCGTGATATTTGGCCTTTTGACCCATTCTGTCTTTAGGACGGAGCCATCAGAACTTCCTGGAACTAGAATTTCACATCTTCTCGCTCCCGCAGATTGTGGCGTTTTCCGGGATGCGACGTATCAATTACAACAGGATGATTCGCATACTGTAGAGGTGCGCTTCGGGCTTCAAGTCGAGCCTGAGGGCGACCATGATGCTTCATTGTCTGGCGTTCTTTACCAGCAAATGGAGGGCAAAGGCATGCTCATGATCGATCGCGAGGATGCTCAACCGTCTCACACCATGTGGGTTGTTAAGCCAGTAGGCTCCCCACGGTGGGACTATCCTTCACCCTCCATCGTCCTGGAGTCCGATGAAGTTGGAGAGGAACCTGTCGTTGAAGAGCCACCGAAAGAACCGCTTGCCAGCCGCATAGGACTCGAGCCACTGACACCCTTTCCATTCACGCAGCCGATTTCTACCGAGCCCATATTGTGTCGCATATGCGAGTGCCATATCCCGCAGTGGTACTTCGAAAAACATAGCGAAACCTGCGTCGAGGTGCACCGTCTTGAAGCCGAGATTGTCGAGTGCAACGAGTCTGTTGGCGAGCTCAAGAATACGATTCGAGACATTATGGCTGCCATGGATATCCCTTCCCCCGCTTCACCTCCCGAATATAGGGGTGTTCCCATTTTCACGCACACGAGTTCGCCGAGCATGCCTAGTCCACTGCAGTTGTTCCGTAGGGACAAGATGCAGAGGTTGAGCGTGAAGAAGGCACAGCGCAGGATGTTGGAGTCGCTTGACGAGATTCTCCAGGTTGCGTCTGAGATTTCAATGCCTTCTTTGAAGGAGGAGGAGTCGAAGGAACCAATTGAGCGTCAGCGGTTGCTGTCGCCAGGATCAGAGCGGAAGATGTCCCAGATCCGCACGTGGTGTCGCCCGCCTGTCGAGGATGCTGCTCTCTCTCAGCTTGCTGAAGACGTGGAGCGTATCATGAGGCAGAAGGTGGACAATGTCGTTCGGATGCAGAACACCATCAAGTACTCCGAGAAGATCTGGCACGAATGGGAGGAGAAAGTCACCGAGAGTCTAGCGATCGTCGAGGCGGGTGAGAGCAGCGAAAGTGAAGAAGAGGACTACAACGATGGTGTTGATTCGTTGACTTTACCCATTCCCGAAGACGTAGAGGCACCAGTCGACGGCGATCGTCCCACGAACCAATCTGAGGAGCTACTGTCGTCAGAGCCCACGCCCATGGCCTCCGTGTCTCCTATGCTGATCGCTACCCCGAGTGCTAGTCGAGTCGCGGTTTCTGCCCCTGTAGCTCAGCATGTTCCTCCGATGTGGCAAATTATCAGCAAGATGCCCACAAGGTCGTCCACACCGTCATCTATATCTTCTCCTCTTGCTTTGGCTGCCCCGATCACGGCATCACCATCTCTCGACGACCAGCCCCCTTACATGGACCTCAACGACACCACTCTACCAGAAAATGCCACCGTTAGAACCCGACGATCGGCCAGCAACCTTCTCGAGCCGCGTCTTTTGGTTACCCCGCCAATGTCACCCAGTATATCCCCTCGAGATGCACCCGTCACAAGACGCGGACATCGTCGTCATTCTACGGTGAATCCCATACTCAGTCCCACAGTATCAAGCGTTCCTCTATCTCCTCGTCAATCTTCTACAGCTCCTTTATCAAGATCGACGCCGACTTCTATCAAAGATTTTGACATCATCAAGCCTATCAGCAAGGGCGCTTTTGGATCTGTATTCCTCGCGAAGAAGAAGGTTACTGGAGACTATTACGCTATCAAGGTTTTGAAGAAGGCCGATATGATTGCGAAGAATCAGATCACGAACGTCAAGGCGGAGCGCATGATTCTTATGAAGCAGGCCGAGTCGCCTTTCGTCGCCAAGCTGTACTTCACATTTCAGAGCAAGGAAAACTTGTATCTGGTTATGGAGTATTTAAATGGTGGCGACTGTGCCGCACTCATCAAGTCCTTGGGCTCGCTTCCAGAAGAGTGGACAAAGCAATATATTGCTGAAGTCGTACTGGGGCTTGAGTATCTCCACCAGCGTGGTGTTGTTCACCGGTATGTTTTACAAGACGCGTGGAGGGCACGTTCTCATCATCATTTTCCCAGTGACTTGAAGCCAGATAACCTTCTGATAGACCAGCACGGTCACTTGAAGCTGACTGATTTCGGGTTGAGTAGGATTGGTCTCCTCGGCCGCCAAACGCGCGAACCCATGGGCATGGGTTTGCGGCATCGCACAAGATATGATTCACGTTCACGACCACCCTCAATTGACTCCGGTTTTCTCTCATCACCGTTGCTTTCAACCGAGCTTATTGGTGGAGGTTCGTATTTTAGCCAGGGAACACATCCGGTGCCACGCCAGGGAATTTCGCCTTATCAGCTTTCTACAGATGACGCAAGCGAATCCGGATCGGAATCTTTATACAATCATCATTCACGCCGGAGCAGGGCTGGTGAAAGTCCTCTGCAATCATTTGCCACAGAACTGACGACAGACTTGCGCTCATACTCGGGTGGTCACACGCCTCCTGGAGAGCAGAAGTTTGTTGGTACGCCAGATTATCTTGCTCCAGAAACCATTCTCGGTCTTCGGGGAGATGATGCTGCAGTGGATTGGGTTGGTGCCTTACGCCTGTCTTGAGCGCAGCACGTTGCTGATCCCCGTCTGTCACACAGTGGGCCCTTGGCGTTATAACTTACGAATTTCTGTACGGCATCCCCCCATTCCATGCGGAGACCCCTGAGAAGGTTTTCGAGAATATTCTTTCTGGACATATCGAGTGGCACGAAGACTGGGTCGAGTTCTCCGATGAGGCCCGTGACCTCATGCAACGGCTGATGTGCATAGACCCCAGTGTCCGTCTTGGCGCAAGTGGCGCAGATGAAGTTAAGGAGCATCCCTTCTTTGAGGGCATAGAGTGGGACAAGGTCACGTCTACAGAGGCGGCATTTATTCCTCAAGTTTCTGATCCTGAATCAACCGATTACTTCGATCCGCGTGGGGCAATACCTCAGTTATTCCACGAGGAGGATATCGCCATCTCGAACCCTATGGATAGTCCATCGCTTACCCTGCCTCCCCCAGCACAGCCTATATCACTGTTGGGCAGTCGCGATCCAGCTCCGTCGCCCGCTAGTGACGATTTTGGGTCATTCAGCTTCAAGAACTTACCGGTCTTGAAACAAGCGAATGACGATGTTATTCGCAAATTGAAGACTGATCAATTGGCCCCTATGACGCATACCTTGTCCGATCCGGTAGGCTCGCATAGCAGAAGGAAAAGCACCTCGCAGAGGTTCAAGAAGCCGCCAAGCGTAGTGACAGCTCTAGATCAGAAGTCGTTTACTCAAGGTCCTCCTTCACCGTCGACGTCCACTTCATCCATTGCTTCATCTCCTTCACGAGCAAGTATCCCTCCTTCGACACCTGGGAGCAGTAGCGGCAGCCACGCACGCAAGCCGTCTGAATTTGGAGCATTGGAGCGGTTCAAGCTGAACCATCTGGATGGCGTTGAGCGGAGGAACACGATGCCGAGCCGTTTGCGCAAGGCGTCCGTTTCTAGCAGTGTTGGTGATGGTTCTGGCTCTGATCATTGGCCCTCGTCTGCGGGACAAAGTTCGAGTCAGTTCGACACGCCTCCTTCGTCGGTCCACTCGATCGACTTGAAGAAGGGCCCGGATCCCACCGATCGTGCGGTGACTTGCTTACTCGCCGAGGATAATCCAATAACAGCTAAAATACTCGAGACACTGCTCATCCGTCTCGGCTGTCGTGTCGTAGTAGTTGCGGACGGGTCGGAGGCCATGAGCGTTGCCATGGGTGATATCAGTGAGTATTCTTGGCATCGATGCTGTGGTTCTATGTCCTGATTTTTTTTAGAATTTGACTGCATACTTATGGATTTACACATGCCAGTCGGTACGTGATGTGTTCCGTCTAGTTGATCCGTTTCCCTAACGTTAAATGCAGTTGATGGTGAGGGTGCGGCTCGATACATCAAAACAACCAACGGCAAGAATTCCAATACACCTATAGTTGCTGTCAGCGCCTACAGCACTGCAGACTCCAACGACAGCAGCTTATTTACCGCCTCACTCACTAAACCCGTGCAAAGAGCTGATCTTCTAGCCGTCATGCGGAGACTTGGATTCAAGACTTCAGCTATTCAAGGCCTTTCCACGAAAGTCACTGCATCTCGTGTATCATGAACCTTTTACGCTCTCACGTTTTCCATCGCATCAGATCGTTTCGTTATTTCTTTGCTGCAATTACTCCGTGCCACCCCAAGTGCCACCCATGCATATTCTTCGTCTCTGACTCTGCACAAGCACTTACCCACCATACATGTCCGCACCATTCATTTGTCCCTTTGCATTTTTGTACGCTAGAATGTGTTTACTGCCTCTGCTTGTATATCTGGAGTTTGTTCTGGATTGATCTTACTGCAAATACTATTTGCTTAGGCTTCTTAGTCTTAGTCTACCACATTGCAAACACGAGTATAAAGGTACGCTGGGCGGCATTAAGGTACTCGACGCGATTCAGATAAAGTGGTGTTACGAGCATGTAACGCATAGCCTGCATGAGGTACATTTAACAGGCTAGACGGCTTGGGCGTTAATAGGGGACACCAAATAAGATGCGAGTCCTAAGCGTGAACTAGGTACGAGGCTCGAGCGCGCTCAATGACTTTTCCGCGTGTTCTCGTTCTCTCACAACTATCATCCATCAGCGCGCGTCCGAATTCTTCACGCTTTTTGTAGCAGCAGCATATCTTTGCAGGTTAGTTTCAGATGCTTATTTTGTAGCAGGCGCTGTCCCCCGGTACTTATCATTGTCGCAGAGTCGCGGACCTTTTCAGGCTACCACAGCCTGGACTTTGGCTACTTTGCTGATTCTCTGGATCAGCACTACCACGATTTAGCTTGAAGGAGTGAAGGGCCCTTGAAATGCATTATAATCAGCAAAGTGAGCATTCAACAAGGCTCTGAATTAATATGGCGGAGTTAATGAGTAACATACAGCACCGTGGATGCCCCATCATACCGCATCTTTCAGTGTATCATCTAATAACGGACGAGCACCACCACCTCGACCCCGCCATTCAACATTACCCGGTTCTAATTTGGCACCTCAACTCCCCATAAGCACTTCTAGCTTTCCATCGAGGCCTGTTCCTACGAGTTTGACCCCTGGCAGACGACCGTCTCCTATCGATTTTGGTGTTCGGCAACAACAGCAACAACCACCGTCCGCGATTCTATACAATTCGCCCACTTCAGTTTTCGCATCCCCGCAGCATACATCATTATATGGCGATTATTTCTACCCTCGGCCGCATCACTCCTTACCACCCCCTCCTGTACCCCAGAAACCTCTGGGGATAGCTGCACCCTCGCTGTCTGCCATTCCACGCCCACCTGTTCCTCCGAAACCACTACTGGTATATCCTGCGACCCCACCGCGCAACCCACTCTATCCGCAGTCGATTCCTGGTCCCGTTCCAGGACCATCTAGCCAGCCGACACCCAGTGAAGAATCTCCCATCGATGACAATGATATCGCACTAGCGCTAGCGCTATCTGAATCCGAGGCGCGTCGGCAGGAGGAAGCCATTCTCGCTCAGGAGGAAGCCGACTTGGTAAAGGCTTTGGAAGAATCTCGCACCTTCGCCAGCAATTACAGCAGTTATGTGTCAAACAACTTCATTGACAGACGTCAGGATTTTCCTGGATGGACCCTCGACATCTTCTCAGTCTTCCTTATCTTCCCCTCTGGGAAACGCTTTCCTCAGTCCGCAGTCTACCACCACACACCATACCTCCAAGTTCCCAGAAGGCGAAAGCTTTCTCCACCTGATTACACCCAGTACATCTGAGAGTTTTTTTGACGAGGACGATTCTATTCCTAACACAGGTGTAGAAAGTCGAGAACCGGTTCAATCCGTGACTGATGACTCCCAATCAAGTCAAGAAAACCGAACTCCAACACCACCACTGTATACAAATGTTGTCTCGACCATCCTAAAACCAAAAGATTTCTCTAAGAATGCTGGCAGTGGTACTGCTGGAATGTCCGCTATGTCCTCTCCATCTGTCGAGTTGCCTCCAGCAAGTGATCATATTCGCCCCTCGCCGCGTTCAAATCCTGTATCTTTATATCCGATATCATCGCCACAGCAGAGTGCGGCTGAACTTCCTCCTCCTCCTCTGCCACCCAAGCCGTCATATTCACGCAGACCCTCTGCCGCGAACTCCGAGTCTAGTTTTTTAAGTGGTCACTCTTCATCGAGCGAACACGTCCCCTCGCTCTCATCCCCTGCAACGTCGAGCCAAACCGCACCGACAAGTCCACCTCTTTCCTTCAGATCGTCCTCTCACACAGATACATTGGATTCAGTCAACGAAGACAGTCTCGGAAGAAGAAGAGGGTGACGAGGCTGCTCGACCCGCGCAAATACTGACGGCCAACCAGTATGTTGAACCAGACATGCTGATGGGTGTTTGTAAGTACCTTCCCCTGTCGTCCACTCTTCCTAGCCTGATCGAAACCTGCAGCGATGGGTTTTTCACGACCCGCAATTTCGACGATGTTGTCACCTATGGCAGCAGCTATGCCCAATGTCATAACATTGCCATATGGGAAGGCGCCAACATTTCACATCCAGGCGCCCTCCTGGCGTCACCTGTTGAAGCTCATGGCACGATTGAGTGGGACACGCGTCGAGCCGACTCTAGAAGCTCTTACTGTTGCAAAACATGAGCTCAAGTTGAGAACAGTGATCCAGTTGGTCAAGGTAAGAACGGCTGTTTAACTAAGTATCAAAGCTGACTGGCACTGCAGGTCCATCACTCAGCCTCGGAATGGCGGACAGTTATCTACTTGACGACCGATATGCCAGTACCTCCATCTGTCACAAACTCGTACAAGTATACCAATGGCGATGTAAATGTACTTCCTTACTCCTATTCCCTTTCACCACTTCCGCAACTCCTCCGTGATGGGGCTGATTCGCCAATGGCAAAATATTATGTGGTTCCCGCGACGAATTCCACGCCATATCCTACGCTTCCCATTAACTTTCCCAACCTCGCGATGTACTTGCAATCGGCTGTCCAGGATTCCAGGAAGGCTGCCAACGACAGCTCCGGCGGCGTGAGGAAGTTAGCTCACAATATTGACTCGTGCTATCCCAGAGACGACGAGAGGCCGGCCAGTACGGATTTCTCTGACACCTCTCGAAGTCGAATGGCTGGAATGTTCAACCGCGTTATCAATCGCGGAAGAACCCCGAGAGGACGAGGAGGCAATGAAGAGATTTATGATCTGGTCACCCCTTTTGTACCAGACGAGTGGGGCTGATCTCACGATTTGTATATGACCAGTTGATGTTCTCATTTTGCACATCTTTTCTGATATTTTGACACAATACATTATCGACTTGCAAGATATTTCGCATGCATCTAGCATCGACTTGACGTTCATAGACATGTCGTCGTTGTGCTAAATATAGTTATAGTTTGGCCCTATGTATTATCATGACTATGGGATTTCATTTGACTCTAAGGTTTAACCTTCGAATTCACCTTCCAAGTCTCACTAGCACGCACCCACTCCCGTGCGTCAAGGACTAAATCATTACGGTCAACGTTCATGGCAGTCCCAGAATTAAATTCCCAGTCCGTGCCAGAGTTATCACAACCAATTCCACCACTGACTGCTGAAGAAGAAGGCATGTATCAACCATACTGAAAGCTGTATCTCAATGTTAACAAACGAGCAACGCGCTTCTAACAGATGCCATCATACACACGCGTATCACGAATGACGAACGACCGCTCCGGCGGGTGGTGAAGAAGTTTCACAACTACGCCTCCTTAGTACATCATCCCCTCGTGCCACCTAGTTCTTCAGGAACTGTCGAAGATGCAAGAGAGGCATTCTTAATTGAGCTATCGTCGTTTGAACTAGCTCTGAAGAAAAGTATGATGGTATGCGAAGCTGAGCGGAGACAGGTAGAGGAGTATCAGCGGGAGCGGGAGAAGATTGGTGAGTAAATTGAGCTTTGCGTGGAGGTGGACGCCTGAGGAGTGAACATCGCAGAGAAGGAACATGACGCTCTGCGTGGTCAAATTGAAGAGCTGAAAGTCGCACTGGAACATGCACACATGGAACGCAAGCGAAAGGTCGAGTACGACTCAATTGCTGAGAAGATCAACACTCTTCCAAGTCGTGAGGAGCTTGAGCAGTGGGTCACGTTCAATATACTCTGGTGTTTTTCTCATCAATGATTTAGGGCGATACTGTCGCTTGAAAATGACATGGCTGCTATAAACTCGGAACACGAGACTCAGGACCGAATCATAAGAGGCCAGAAAACTGCTTTAGATGGTATTGTCATGGACTTAGGCTCTCTTCGCCTTATGGGTAAAGATAAAGAGTCTGCCACATCTGGACTAGGGACACCCGCTGCCACGCCAGCTCCAGATGGTACAGAAGCAGATGACACCTTGCCTGCCATGCGTGATAGCTCACAAGTCGTGGATGGAGGATTGGATGAAGACGAGAAGGAAACAGGGGAGGTGGCAGAAGAGAGAGAGGATGGAGAGGATGACCAGTCCGTTGACATGCCCCTCTCGTCGAAGCTCAATCCCGCTGCCAATGAATACGTGCACATGTCGCATACACCCTCGTCGCTACGACCTCCAGAGGAAGAAGATGACGACATAGAGATGGGAGAGGTTGCGGAGGATCCAAAAGTGAAGGCGAAAAAAGCCCGAGAAGAGCTAGAGGAAGGAGAAGCAAGCGATGCAAGCAGTGCATTGTCTGATCCACCAGATGATTGAATGTACATTGCTACGTGTTTTCATACGTGTTCTACGTCACAACTCATAAAATCTCTCGCGCATGTAATTTTCCCGCTATAGTGCTCTCCAGCCAGACGTGCAATTGCCTCCATTATCGTCTTCGTCATTGGATTAACATCGTCGTTCCCCGGATACCTGGCCGAGAAATGATTAAGCACCAAATGTCTCGCTCCAATCCATGCTGCGAAAGCACCAGCCATCTGAGGGGTGGAGTGCCCTCTGGATTTTGTGCGTGCCTCTACACTTTCGAATGTATCTTCACTTTTAGTATTTGGATCCAAGGCTGGTAAATGGGCATTTGTGGCTTCGTGTACCAGCAAGTCCGCAGAAGAAGCTAACTCCGCTATTGGTGATGGGTCATATGTGTCTCCAAGAATGACGAGCTTGCGGCCGGGCCTCCTAGGAGGGCCGTGTAAGACTGTGCCATCCGCGAGTTCAACGCTCTCTCCCTGCTGAAGGCGACTCATGACGGACATCGACGTCTTTGTACGCTTAAGCTCTGGTATGTATTTTGCAGGATCCATCTTGCCGGGCACAGGTGCCTCCGAGACAACATAGCCAACGCACGGCACGGAGTGCAAGATAGGAGCCGCAGAAACTGAAATGATGGTATCGTGATATATGTCTGGCCATACACCGTTTGTCTGCGGGATGTTACGGCCATTGGGAGATTCGGACGCATGGAGGGTAAGTGAGGTATAGTCACCATCTGGTGGGTCGGAAGGGAAACGCAATTCGTGAACGACATAGGGCGCCCCCAGGAGGGTATGTGTATACTTGAGGCCATTTCGGATATATGCCCTGGTTCCTAAGGGTCCGTAAATTTCAATGGGACGCTGATGAGAGCACTCAGTGCCAGCAGAATTAGCGTAGTAAATGGACCAACATTATCCGAGTCCTGAACCATGTGTGTACGAGGATCCTCTACTCCATCAGCTGTTCCCCCAGCACCGTTCAACATACTTGCCAAGAGGGGCAACAAACCAAAGATGTGATCCCCTATTAGCCAAGTCAGATATAAAGCAATATTTATGTTAACGAACACAGACCATGGGTATGGGTGATAAAAATCTTTTCAATCTTGCCCATCTTTACTTTGGACTTTTGGATCTGGTGCTGTGTAGCTTCGCCGCAGTCGAACAACCAGACATCGCTATTTAATCGGAGAGCAAGTGCAGAGTGATTTCGCGTCAAGGACGGTTGCGCGGAGGCGGTACCGAGGAACGTCAGGTTGAGCGCTGAAAGTCCTCGTCGTCCCACCATGGACGTTATGTTATCACAGTCGGTGGCGACGAATCATTTGATCTCTCGAGTCTTGACTCGAATAGGAGCTGCTCGTTTGTGTTTAAGTGCAAAAAACTGTCCCTGGCAGGAATTGAACCTGCGGCGCCACGGTCTTGTGAGTTCCACAACGTGGCGATTTAACCACTAATCGACAGGGACTTGTTAAGACTAGCCAAAGAAAGAAATATAACTCCATCCCAAGGCGGCCTCATTTGACACCCGGCGCTAGATTTATATGATGATCGGTGATTCCACCCGTACGTCCACCGAATACGAGGCTCGTGCGCGATTTTGCTGAGCGACCAGTTGTGAACGTGTGGTTCCATCAAGAGCAGAAAGTCTGGGATTTCAGAATTTCACCCCCGGGTCTTTCGTACGCCCCTTTCGAACTCAGGCTGTTCGCCCATCCAGGGGTCCGCGGCAGGTTAGCGGCAACTTGGCAAGGACTACTGATGTGCGGAGTGAGAGCGTGATGTTCTAGTGAGCGACTAGCGTGGCTTATTTGTATCTTGATGCGTAAAGTCAGGTCCTCTTTGCATGCCAGCGCAACCCTGGCATTGGCGGCTAGTGTGCCAGTGAGTCGTGTTTGTGCTTTCATATTGGTGCAGTATGGTTGAAGGCCTTAGCTATTGTCTATTCTTCGTTTGTTGTCCGATGAGTTGGAAATAAAGAAGTCGCGATTCACGACGAAACAAAGCACCGTGTAAAGTCTTGAATAGCCTAGCTTGCGAGCTACTGGAAATTGTCGTGTACTATACGTACCAACCGTAAGGGAAATTGTCAAAGACGCGAAAGTCAGTCGACCGTTTTCACGGAGGGCATACACAGTAGCTTTCTCAACGCCTACCGTAGATTGAAATGAGAATATGGTGCTACATAGAGGGTACAAAACGAATTTGGGGGCGTGGGTGAGGGTATGGCTAAGAGTCGACGGCCCGGCTCACGAAGGAGTGACAGTTCTGGGCAGCTTGCATTCGATGCGGAGGGTACACTGCGCGCAACGCTCAACTGGATAGGCTCATCCTACATAGAGTCGGTGAGTTCCGAATTGCAAAGAGTGGGGCGTAACCAGCTTGCCAAGGACAAAGAGACACAGAACCGAACGCTCCGGGACTCCTTCCTTACAATATGGAGATATATGGGATGATTAGAATTACATGTCAGTATGCAGAGATGATAACGATATACAAGCAAATGGTAACAGATAAATAAGATATTCCACTGAAACTAAGGGATAAGTCCATGTGCTCGTAGCAATGCACCCCATCTAGAATTGAAGTTGTTGGTATAGGTTTTTCGAGGTAAAATGAATACGTACTCTTCCTTTTCAGATTCGACCTCAGCTAGTCTCCTTTTAAGTTGCCTGGAGGAAAGTCAACCGAGGAGAAATGGAAAAAGAAACAGAGCACTCACGAGTTCTCTTTCCGAAGTGCATTCCGCGATTCCTTCGTCTCACGAAGATCAGCCGTCATGTTGGTCCAGGCTTCGTCATCCGGGAGATGTGCGTCGTTATACATCGCATCTAGCTCCTCGTTGAATGCCTGAGATATCGATGAGCACTTATCATTTTGATGATACTGCGTGACACCGACCTCATACATGATCTCCTTCTCCGCAGTGGCATCTGCAAGAAGACTCTTTACGAGTTCGCATTGACGTTTCGTATTCTGAAGTTCCACGCGAGCTTTCTCCAATTCAGATAGTTTCTGTGCGGAAGAAGTCAGTCATGACCCAGAGAGATGTTATGCTTTCGTACCTCCTTGAAATCAGATACCACTTGCGTAAGACTCTGATGCAATGTCTCATGGCTTGATAAAGCGGAAGCCAAAAATTTGTCAGCATCAGCAACAGACTCGCCCAGCAGGCTGACGGTTGATGCACTCGGCGTGGCAGGTGGTCCAGGCGTGGATACTTCTAGTGCAAAACTCCGTGGTCGACTGCGAGGGGTACCCTCCTGCTGGCGTTTACCTATTAATTGCCTCATCTCTTCTAGCCGTTGCTGCGCCTCCCTGGTCTACGTCCACAAATATCAGTTGCAACGTTACAATTGTGATTAACAATAAATTCACGTACAATGGGTGCGGGATTAGTCCGCTGCGGAGTACGAGCTAGTGACTTATCAGGAGAAGGGCATCTCCATGGTTCATCATGACTCGCTGATTCATCACTAGTTCGAATCTCCTGCAGGTCCAATTTCATCCGTTTAATGGCACGATGTGATGACTCGACCTGTATGTGTCTATGAAGTTGTTGACAAGTTGACGGAATTGTGTACGTACATCATCTTTGGTAGACTGGGAGATTCGCAACAATTCGTCTGCATGGTCAACTTGGGCGGAATGAGGAGAGTGGGCAATACGTGTGGTTCGAATTTGAGGTGAAACTTTGCGCGGAGACACAATCCTCGCTGTGGTTTTGGACAGCGGAGAATTTCTCGTGTATGATTTACGGCTTGGAGTATATGCACTTGACCTGGTCGATGGCTTCTTCTTGATTGAGAGCGGCTCCACACTGCCTGTTGTTGAGTTGGGCGGCCTCGGCGTAGAATCCATATTCCCAGTCACAACGAATGGCTGACGCCTACTGCGTGGTAGTGGAGATGGGACGTCATCCTCAACGAGGGATGAATCATTGTGAAAAATATGTAGGTGTGCTTCCAACGCAAGCTCGTCATCCATGGATGGAAGACCGGGTGCAGTACTCGTTAGACTCTTCGGTGGCAATGGGGAGATGCTACGGGGACCAAACCGCCTGCCATCGCCGGAATGTGGAGAATTAGATCGCCCTGACCTCCTGTCCGGAGAAGTTGACGTAGGACGGGGAGTCGTCGATCGTTGACTTGCCGCGTCCCTTACTGTAGAGGCTCGAGACGTGGGACGTAAAGGCTGGGGTGGATCATCTGCATTGTATTGATGAGGTCCGCGAAAGTCGTATACAACATTCTACCCTACCTTCATAGATCGTCTCTTCTGTTGGTCTATCCAACGAAGGCGTCACGGCCTGCTTTCCGTGCTGATTCTGACTATTTCGTCGTGCGAGTTCTAGACGCATTGATAAATCTTGGTCAGATGGGTCCTGGCGAACTGGTAATTCTTCCTCTCCGTCGCTGTAGAATGATGCTCTGGGACTGTCCCGTGACGGAGACGTCGACCGTGATAGCGGAGAGGAACTATCATTACCCGGTGAACGACCTCTTTTGAACAATTTTTTGCGCGAACTCGAAGATTTGCTAGCATAGAGAGAGTCATCGTCTGCCAGGGAAGTTGGAGCAGTAGCTGTCGAAGTGGATCGACGAGAGAACTTGGTTAAACTGCCGTCGCCTGTCGTTGTTGTCTGGGTGTAGATGGATGAACGGCTGGCAGAGGACTTCGACCTGCGATGACTACTTATGGAGCCTCCGAAGAAATCGCCCTTGGAGGAGCCTGGTATTGCGTTGAATAGATTTCTCGAGATCGCATCCAGGCTAAATATATGCGCCCGAGACCTTGAGCTCACGGTTGGGGTAGCGGGACGGGAGTCATTGCCGGTTTTGAACTTGAACAGGCCGTATTGATGGACTACATGTGCAATTCTCGGTCATCACAAAAGGAAAGCAAGACTTGGGCACGAACTTGTTTGGACAATGCGACCCGGAATCCTTGCGGTCTGAACAATGTCTTCCTCCGATTCATCTGTCGGATCGCTGGAGGTAACTGTATACCGCGAAATTTCCCCTGCCATGGGTTGGATTCTGACCACCACATATGGCGGCCCATCCATCCCGAACGGAATGGGGTCTGCGGTGCCCAACGTGTCTATATGCATGACGATCTTGGTCTGCACACGACGGCAATGTAAATAGAATGGCCAGCGCAAAAAAATCAAACACACCTTTTTGGGCTCTTGCAAAAAGGCCGTTCGTTGATAAACATTAAAGTAAGTACGAGCCATAGAAACCTTTCCTCCCCTTGACTCTACCTCGCGCTCATCAGCGCACAAAACGACAGATTGTCCTGACCGAGTTCTATATTTCGCCTGAGCATTCCATAGATTCTCAAGGAACCGGTCCTTCTCAGTGGCAGTTCGAGTAGGGTCGAAGTTTATTGGTGCAGGAGGCAAGACAGTGGAGAGGGAACGGAACGAGCGACCGGACCAGCGATCACTTTGGTCTTGAGGTGGATTCTCGATATATATGTGGAAGTCTGAAAGAATGACCAGACTGAAGCGGGTAATCGACAAATGGTAACTCACCAGCACCACCGACGTCAGCAGCGACGATGTCGGGCAGATCAATGACACCCTTGCAACTCAAGCCACTTTTCTTCATGCCCGATGGCAAACCACCGCTCTTCGCAAGTCTGTCAACGTCGTCCAATCCAGCTAGTAAACGACCACTCTTCTCGCCATTGCCAGGTCGCTTGACGATCATCAACTTGTCATCGAAAAGAAATAAGGTACAATGCAGCACGTTAAGAGGGATGCTAGAAACGGAGGACGATGCGGAGACTGGGCCATCTTGCACGATATCATTGACATCAATGCAATCGATGAACCGTCGTGAAATTGAAATTAAGCCAGGAGGAAAACCATCTACTGTTGCGTTAAGGCAATGCATAATTGCTGCTCGCTTGGTTTGTTCGTCTGTTTCCGCAAGAGCGATCTTGCTGGCGATTTCATCGGCTTCTACCAATTTGGCGCGCTGTGGATCTTCAGGTGCCATGTACTTGATCATAGTACGAAAGAGTAACGTATATCGCGGAATACGCTGAACAGGATCCATGAGTAGCTCGCGCAAACCAACACGATTCCTGGTATCAGCGGTCGAATACTTGATCCGCTAGTAGCAAAGAGTCTGATTAGCATTCCAAGAGGGTCGCATCAATACTTACATCAATATATGCGGCAAAACCAGACGATTTCTTCATCATCTCGCGTTCAAATATTGACTGGGCTTCCTCTCGCTTGACGTAGTACTGTCTGTAGTGCTCGAACCCTCGTAAATCTTTGAAATGTCGCAGGGCAACGTCCCCGACACCCCCAACTGTTTTGGGACCATCGGGTGCAACCATCTTCTCGAGATCCAGTAGGAAAGTCTCGTTAACTGGGAGAAAGTTGTCGATATTCCCGAACAACGTTTTAGCCTCGTATGGAGGCAATATTGCGGTGTTCTTATTCCGGGAGAATTGTCGCAACGGGTCTGCATAGTCGTTCTTCAGTATTCGAAGCCGCTTGACGTACGAACGCTCGGTATTGACGAGTTCGTTAACCACATCAGTCAGAGCCGTCGAATCTGTAAGTGCGCGTTTACGCTGCAAGCCGTCCTAAGATACGAAGGAGAACGACCACATCTGAGTATGAGCACGCGAAGCGGCTCGCCTTTGTCGGCAAAGGCTAGCATGTACTACTCACTGGCTGGTGATGTTCTGAGAACGTAGTGTCTGTCGCGGAAGGCAGAATGTGGCTATCATTCTGACTCAACCAAGGGTCTCCTAGAGATAGAACCAGATCTTGAACATCTGCACAAATCAAATTGTGCTCTTTAGCTTTAGGCGTCAACAGCACCACACACCTTCGGGCAACCTTCTGCCACTATCGCATCCCTCAACAACAACCCCGCAATAGAAAACCCGTCTGGTCAGAGATGGAGCGGAAGGTTTACGAGGCGTCTCGTCCCCACTTGCTAATGGGACTTGTTTACGAGGAGTATTTAAAGACATGAATTAAGATATTCATGGAGGGATGATCAAAGGATGCAGTAAACGAAGTTAACTTGCACTGCACTCGTGCGACGCGTCAACACGTGACCGACATGGTCTGATCACGCGATGGTTCGCTTACGACCAAACTGGTTCAGCATTACAACCTCAAAAGACGATCAATGCATTCCTAGGTGTACAGTATGTCGTGCATGACGTGGCGACATAAGACAATGAAAAGAACGAAATAAAAGGGATTGTATGAATTGATCCTGGTATCATAAGATATGCGGCGATGAATGATTGTACAATAATGAAGTCAGTCAATGGTTTTATGATCATGAACTTTGCAGAACAGTATCCGGTGTCATGGGGGTAAGTCGTGACAAAAATGAGAGATTGCGGCGCATGCGCACAGTGCGTGGAGTTCCACCGTCCTGGCTACTTGGAGATGATGAACCTGTGGTCGCAGTGGTCGAACGACGGTGGAGACTGTGCGATCCAAACAACGACCGCAATCGCACTGGCGCTGATGTTCCAACCCCAAACTCCCCAGCAACTGAACCAGGAGCAGGTTGTGGAAACATGTTTAAGCGCAGCAAATCAGGTTGAGACATTGGACGATCTGTGGACGCCAAGGAAGGGTGAAAGCTTGGAACTGGATTATTGAGAGACATGGTGGTTGCATCCGAGGGAAGCTCTTCGATTGGAACATCGGGTGCACTGCGGACCCTTCTGCGAAGTGTCCCTTTCGACCACCACTTGAGTAGGCTTGGTGTAGTCGATGCACTGCTTCGATTGAGACGGCTCACGAGACAGGGGAAGCGTTGGCGATGTAGTAGAGCGCGAGAAGAGGACTCGAACATTCTCAACCATTGAACGGCTCCGCTTAGGCGTAAAGGCTTCCTTCCGCGCTGCAAGCTCTGGTCGAAATGGCACACCTGACAACACAGAGGCGGGTGCGGGCAGCGGCCCAGGGAGGATAGGGCTGGCAGTGAATGACCCTGGAACAAAAACTGGACGCAGATGAACACTGTGACATAGGGGAAGGCGACTCTGGGGGAACCTCCAATTTTCCTTCATCTCCATCCAAGGATGGAGCCCTCGAAACGGCAATGATCTTGAGCTTCGTCGGTTGGCGGCGTTTGCCCAGCTTGGCTGGTGGGATGCAAGGTACGGCAGGGACGTCGTGATGGCTAAAGCCATCTAGGTAACTCTTTCTCCTGGGCACAAGCACGCTCTCCCGCTTGGTCAGGCGGTTCTTTGCAGCCACACTCATAGCGCCAGCCATAGTCAATCCTGAACTTGACCTTGAAAACGACCGCGACACCGTGGATGCTTCGAAGAGCTCTTCTTCGTGGGTATGCGCATAGCAACGAGCGGAGAGGCAGCCCTCCGAGAACACGTCGAGAAGTCCGCGATCAACTTGCTCCCGTGCGGGGGCAGTGGCCCGAACAAGATGAATCGTATCCGACTCTGATAACGGGCCAAGATATGTCCTATTTGAAATTGTAGAGGAGCGACGGCTAGGACCAGGCTGATGACCGGAGTCGGATCCCTGAGGCAGGTCGGTTTTGTGAGATACCCGACCCGACTTCGGCGGATCGGAGTGGACACATAGCGAGTGCTTCTCGTCTCTGTAAGAAGATGTTTCACTATCCAGCTCGGGGATAGACTGGATAGTGGGCAGGGGACTGATCACCTCATACGGCATATCTTCTAAAAATGACGGCACGAAGGCCCCTTTAGACTCGCCTCGAAAACTGCAAATCGGTTCACCCATCCATGCCCCAGGGAGTTCGAGGACATGGTGAATAGCAGCCTTCCAGACATCCTTCTCGCGACGGCAAGACGCTGCAAACTCGAAGATGTGACCTCGGCCAGAAAGGACGGAACCAACTTGGTAGTAGAGCTAGCGAAGGACGTGTCAGACGGACGTATTTTTGTATATTGAGATCTACATACCTTCGTCTTTTGTCGCGTCGACCAGGTCAAAACCCGCTAAAGAAAACCAGTGCTTTGGCTCGTAAGTCCTAACTTTATGAACTTTGGCGAGCACAAGATAACCGCCAGGGTACAAGAAAGCCCCAAGGTACTTGGCTTTAACCGTGCCATTGCTACTAGCATTGAAGCCATGGTAGTGGATCACATCCAATGATCCCGCGAGATGACATGGGCCTAGGGATGACACGAAACCGAAAGAAAGATTTTGCGATGGATGTCTGGAATGGGGTGCCGTTACTAGTGCTAATCCCTGGGATATTCGTGAGGCAATGAGCGAGGACTTGATTGCTAGATCCTGCTGGCGGCGCTGCTTCATCCACGGAACTGGCGACTGTCCGCATGGCATTCAACGCACTTTGCACCACATGGACCCCCACGTCGCTCGATCCGCCTTCTACATTAGACACGGAGCGTGACTCGCGTGAGCTGCCGTTTGTGTTTCGAGGATGATCTTGAAGCTGATCAAGGAGTAAGGTGTAGCGGCAGATGCGTTGAACAGGTTTGATGAGGTAGTCCATGAATACGAGCTTTGACTTCCTGCCAATTTGCCCCCGATCTGAGTGTCCAGTTTCAGATGCACTGAGGACAGAGGCTTTGAGGTTGGCATTAGACCTGACGCGTGAAACACTCTGCTGGCGACTGGGTGCATCCAAGGCTGAAAGCGAATGCCGTCGCCTTTTCGCAATCAAGTCGTTTTCACTGAGAGTATCGTCTACGGCAGCGTCATCTACGGCTTCTTTGTCCGTGGTAGAGTGAAACGAGGTATCGATGCGCATTTCAGTAGCCATAGTGGTACATCGCTGCTCGAATGCCTCCCATTCGGCTGGGAACTCTTGCTGAACCTTTCGAACAACATCAAAAGCTTCGGGATGTCCGGAGCAGAATGATTGGTAAAGACGGAAATCGGGTGCCTAAAGAAGAATCAGCACGGGGACACGCAGCATCACACAGGACCTACTCGTTCAATGAACTTCGTGGCAACCGCATCGAGCGCTGAGCGCAACGTCTCCAAATTGCGGGCGTACTTTTTTTGCGTTCCCGTTACGTCCCTATCAGCTCCATCAAGAACCATCGGAAAGCCGAGAGGGGAAACGAGTGCCCTGAGTTCACAAACTAGTTGTTCGTGGAACTTGAGAATCTCCTCCGCATTGCGAGTTATCAAATCAAGGTCAGCGGGAGAGAATACGTGCCGCATCAGAGACTTGTCTTTTTCCTTTGTTACAGGAGCCAGTGCTGGCGGACCACTGACAACAGGGGGTATATTTTCGCAAGGAGAGAATGGCGCGGGGGTATGGTGAAAAGACTGTGTGTGCAACGCGGGGTTGGTCGAAGGCGGAGAGAAAGCAGACGAACGGGAGAAATGAGGCATCCCAAGGCTAGATGAGGGAGAATGCGGCGGTCGAGTTGTCAGACGGGGTAAGAGCCTAAGGTACACCTAAAATATGCAACTGGATTAATCTCGCGAGATCTAGTAATCTGATCGACTCACAGTAACAAGAACCTTGAGGTCAAAGAGGTATCCAACTTCCGTAGAGAGCAGCTCCAACAGTGCGTGACATTTCCTCACATTGTCCTTATTTCCTGAGAGATCATCCTTCGCCTGAAGCGGGTGATTGGCAGCTTCCGGGCTAGACTCCTCCCCTTCAGGTGGATCCTCACGATATCCATTCAAACTCTCGAGCGTTCCGTCATCCTCCTTGTCAGAATTATCCTCGGGCAAGTGGAACAATGGTTTCGTCCGCGGTGCTGATTGAGACGACGATGACTTGCCACTTCGATATGTTTGGTGTGGTCCTTGTTCACCGTGTTCGCTGATACTCACACGTAGCGGACTTCTGGACGACGATCTCGTCCCCCGCCTGGAGGTATTATTTTGCAGTTTATTCAGTGACAAAGGCGGTGGGGTGGGAGGGATGGTAGGAAGGGATTTCGAAATAGTCATTGGAGGGAGTGATGCTCGTCGCTTCGAGGTCAGCTCCAAGGATTCTTTAGAAGGCGCAGGATCTGGAAAAGATACGGAGGCAGTGACGAAAGACGAATGTGGTCGTGAAGACACAGAGGGTGAAGACCTATGAACATATTTTGGAGGTGGTGTTGGAGGTGTGGACATCCAAGTTGGAGTTTGGATAGTTATCTCCGTACACGCAGCAGGACTCGTGGTGCGCAGATTTTGCATCCCTGTCATCTTCCGTGTCGGAGTTCAAGTTGAAGGTAACTTCAGTTGTCACGCTGGCTGGGGGCGTGCTCAACGGGGATGCGATAATGGGTGTGAGAGGAGCAAAGCGCCGGGAAAAGCGTGGAGACTGCCGAGTAGAATGGAATGCCGTTGGAGAGGAACTGTCTCGCACAGAAGAGGCATCATCTGTGAAGGGCATAAGGTGTTCTATCGGCAAGGCTAATTCTTGAGTGAAAACAGTTCCATTCACTGTGCGGCGTTGGAGCAAGGAAGTAGGTGATGGAAGAAGATTTGGTAGGGGGCGTCGAGAGGGCGTGCGTGTGCGAAGTGAAGGAGCTAATTGCATCACGGGCGAGTCATTCTCCATTCGTCAAAAGAGTCTGTGTGATTGCATGAAGGACATGTAAGAAATTGCGCCAAAGAGAAAGCGCTAGACGATGTAAGACGTGAGAACGCTGATAACAGACCTTGGGGAGCCTCTTGACCTGCCCGCCAGACAGTGTCACAACGTTGGAGACGATCCGCAGCGGGAACGACAGGACTACCAGTGACAGCGACTCCAATAACTTGGCAAATAACTATCAAAGTTAATACGAACGTAATTAGCTTATACTTTCCTGACAAATGGTGGTCTCGGCCGTTGGTCGAATAATTTTTTGTTCTGGACTGTGCGTTGTCTCGCGTTGTCCGGTTGCAACCAGGGAAATATGATTAGCGGGCGTTGTAAACGAAGGTGGTTGTTTTATTAGTCCAAACAGAAGTTGGAAGTGGTGTAGGCCAAATACTAATGTATAAATTTAACAAGCGGTACATCAAGGTCTTCGTCGTCATTCGGGTCCCCCAAGATCTGTCGGAGATCAAAATTTAGTTGGGTCCGCGACACTTGACAGCTTGCCACAGACGCGTGTACCCACGTGCATTGATTTTCTTGACATATGATAAGATCAGAACTTGCAAGTTTACTGGTTGTCGCAATCCATACGATATACATGTAGGCGGGTCTATTCCTTTCATTTTTGTTATCGCAACTCCCGTCGGTAAAGCGGGAGTTGAATGGCGTTAATCACAGCATGCACTCATCCGAAATAAAACCAAGTATAGGCCTAACAGATTATATACATACTCTTACCTTGAATACAAAGAACTATTTTTCAGGACAAACGTTCTGTTCGATCCAAATTAATGAGCCGTGATCGGGATGACGTGGCATGAGGCAAACCGTCGGGTGAGTCGCGAGAATACGGGGACACGTGAATTTCACTGGGCTGGTAAAGACCGATCTTTTATCGCATCCCGTGAACTTGAGCAACTGTGACCAGAATCCGCGGGTTGAACATAAGTCAACGTTGTTGAAAATGTGGGCGGAAGCACACCATAACGACCGAAGTTATGAAATTCCAGTCAGATGATGGTTGATGTCCTTCTCTTCCTATGAAGCGCGCCCTCGTGCGCCTTGCTCTACGGTGAGTTCCCATGCACAGCTGTGAACCACTCCACTTATCGCCGTTAAAAATCGTACCGGTTATTCGGCCCCTAGGAAGACCTGAAGCATCATAAATAGTCACGTTGACGGCTGCGAATTGGTCTTATCATTATAGGAAGAGCGTAGAAGCCTAGTAGAAACACAACAACAAGTTAAGTATGCCAAGTAAGAAGTCGACATGACGAAGAATAACAAAACATAAGATAAGATAGCGCACCAACCAAACATTAAGCTCCAACCCTACAACCAACCCTGAAGATCAACCATTTCACAACGACCTCCTAATACAGATCCATGCTATCATCCGATCGAGGAACAAACGGAATGTTCTGTGCCTCCGCCTGTTCACGTCTCAACTTCTCCTTGTCAAGGAACTTGCACAGCGCTGCTACATTCGGACCGCTAAACACCCGGAAAACGGACTTCTGATCGGGGTCCAAAGGCTGGGGTTGGCACGGGGATGAGCACTATGACATCAGGGCCAGTAATTCGGGACATACCGCAGGCGGCGGGTCAGAAAACCGACCGACGCCGGTGCGCCTTGCACCAGGCACGCCAGTAGCAGTAAGGTGCACAAGGCGCTTACAAGTTCGGACGAGATGATGTAGCGACTTTAACGTGATGCGATCGCAGTATGAAAGGTGCAATCGCTCCAATGAAGGAGCATGATCCGCGAGGAAATAGATAGCATTGTCGGTCAACTTTGGCACGCGAACCAGAACAAGGCGATGAATGTGTTCTAGGCTCGCTAATTCAAATACAGACATATCAGTTAACTGGCGGCAGACTGATGCTTCGTCAGCACACAGTATGATTGCACAATTGGCAATGCTCACAGGCCAAGTCAACAGATCGAAGCTCGGTGCATGATCGTGCTAAAGACACGACGGCGTGGTCAGTGATTCGTGGACAATGTGCCAGATTGAGGTTGCCGAGATGAAGTCCGAGTTTGCAGATGCTTTCTACGGCCTTGTCGGTCAGGTTGGGACACCCCGCCAGTGCGAGTGATCGGAGCAATGGAGCATGTGTCACGATGCCTTCAACTGCGACATCTGTCAGCTTTGGACAATGACTCAGGTCCAACACACGAAGATCAATCGCAGTATGACGTAGGATGAGAGGTGGAAGCTGATCAAGCCAGGTGTGAGGACGAGCGGGTAATGGCTTCTCCCCAGAAACTGGGGGAGTAAGAGTTTTAATTGGCGAGGGCAGCGCACTATCCGTTAATTGAGGAGAGCGCGCTAACGTCAAGGTGCGAAGTTTCCTGGAGTATGACCAAATATCGCGAACAGACACAGCTGTCATAAGCGGCTGGTCGTTGAGCTCCAATTCCACCAGCTTCGGGAAGGTCTTGGCGATTGCGGAGACTGAAGCGTCAATGAGTACTACCCCGCTGAGTTGCAGCCACTGCAGAGGAGGTGTTTTCGCGACCAGTTCCATGATGCTCACGTCAGTGACGTACTTGCATCCTGTAAGGTCGAGACCCTGTATGTTGAAGTTTTCACGTGCGAGACGGACGATAGTCTTGTCAGACGTATCTGTCACCCCAGAGAGTACTACCGACTCTAGGTGACGACAAGACTTCATCTCTGGGGTAACCCATTCGTCTCTTACCCCGCAATTGGGGTCGCGAATAACCAAGTGTCGAACGATTCGGCGTTCTGATTCTGTTTGGGGGAGTCGATCGACAATTCTCTTCATGTCCTCCACATCTGGGCGATCCATGACGCGTTCGAGACGGATAAAAGTGCTTGAGGTATACAGGTCCTAACAAGGAGGATACCAGTTGAGCATAACGATGCTATCCTATCCTTATATTTTGTCGCTGTGTGATGGTTGTTTGGACCACCGGCGTCTACTTGTCCATACCCGGTACCGTCAACCCGCCCACAACCATCCACAACCACCTACCTGTAATACTCGGCGTTTCCCGATAACCACAGGATTGTCCAATGACCTCCATCAGTTCGCGGAGCTCGTCCACCATTACGGTGACGAAGCTGTCAAACCAGCCACCACTACAGCCGCCACCACCCAATCCATCTAGTCGATTCCCAGTCACACCAGCGGTACTGCGTTCCATATTCACATCCTCGCGCACACCCCACGAGGAAAGATCCATATCTCGTGTCGCATTCTTCAGGTAAAGATATTCATAATTTTTGCCATGCTGAGGTATTGAACGAGTTTGTAAGGTTCGCTGGCTTTCTGCTGAGTTGCGTGTGCATCAGCTTCGCTGCTGCGAGAGGAAGGGGAATGAAAGGAAGTGCTGGTCTTCTGGGTGTTGTTTGACGTCAATATGAAGTCTGGTGTCAAAAACTTGGTCGATTCTATTGAACACGTTGAGGCTCAAAGCATTAAAGTAGTAATAAGTGTGTGATGGTGATAGTAAACATAATAATGAGCATAATAGGTTTAAGCATCTGAATCGTCAGTTGACCCATCAGCATCTCTGTCCTGGCCATCAGATGCACTGTTCTGAGCTTCTTGTGTTCCACTTGGCCCCGCATCTCCAGTCTCTGCTTCCGCCGGGTCCTCGACATTTGCTGCGCTGGTGACTTTTCGTTTACGTGTCGCTGAAGCGGGAGGGAGGTGGGCTTTCTTGACTCGCAGAATATCCATGATTTCTGCATTTAGGATAAGCAACGGTCACTCGATGGCCCTGGAAGTACGAACCTTGGTGGGTCATGTCCTCGTACCCCTTGATTCCTCTCTTCATCGTTAACCAGCGTCGTTGGAGTGAGTGAGCACTCCATAAATTCCAATCTGAATCGGGTAGTGTCTTCCAGTCGATCTCAGTATCATCCCTGACGTTCATGGAATCCACCCTGCGAACATGATAAGCATATAAACTCTAATAGTAGACTACCGCCATACTTGTGGACCAGGATATATGCATCTTGAGCACTCCAACGTGGCTTCTGCCCTTCATTTTTGACGGTTTTGCTCAGCGAATCCGTCCTGCAAGATGAAGAGTCAAAAATATATCCCGTGTTACATTGAAGGTGCTGACCATTTGATTCGACACTGTTGTCTGCCACGCCTATTCCCCATCCTATCGCTGACTTTGCCCCAGAAGACATCGTTATCGAAATCCTTGCCTTGTTGGATTGTCATCTCCGTCACAATTGACGTCAGCTCTTCTTCTTCCTCTTTAGTCCACACGCCCGTCACCCGAACTTCGCGATTGGCGATGTGATTGCGATAACGGTCACGACAATCGGATGACATTCGACCCACTATCTCACTGACTTTTTCCCATTGTTGACCAAGGTCCGTAACGGCTCTAACAAGATGCGTGAACTACGGATGCATCAAAAAAGGTGACATGACATACCGCTTAAGTACAGCATCTTCTTCGGGCATCCATTTAGCCTTGCTGCTTCTTGGGATGAAACACCCGACGAACATGGTGATAAACAGCAATGATAGGGCGCAGAGCGAGAGCAGAAGCTGATCGAGATCTTAACACTCCAAAGTCGTACAGCATAAGGATACCCACTAATTTCCGACCAGAACGCGTTGTCTTTCCCTTTCTCACTCTTTTGGAAAATGATGTCCAGGAGTTGTTCATCGGTAAGACCTCGGTTCTGTCATTCACAAGGTTGAGTATTCATGTCAAAGAACGTGATAAATTAGCGCACCACTTTGAAGGCTTCGATAGCGGCGCGTAGTTGTTCTTCTTCAATCGCAGAAAACTTTCCCTTCTTGTAAACGAGACCTATTGTGAGAATTAGCGATTGTCCCCCCATCTCAAAGTCACTGACCTTGTGTTTTAACCATCTCGGCCAGTTTTGTTGCGTTCATCCACTTGTTAGCTAATATATGAGCATGATCTGCATTGCCATGATCGGGGCCTGGAAGGCTCATGTCTAAAACACGTTTGTGGGTCGTCTTCGATTTAGGCGCAGTATTCAATATCAGTCCTGAAGTAGAAGGCGGTTGCCCCATCGATTGAGGCGGAGGTTGTGGATGCATATTAAGATGACCAGGCAGAGGTGGGATAAACCCTGGGGGTGCATTCGCAGCGGCAGCAGCATCACCTAGTGTCTTTAATACGCCAGCAAGCTTGGACATATCGAGATCTTGCAAAGCACGAAGAATCTCGTCACTGGACGCGAATTGAAAGTCGGGGAGGGGGAACCCCAGGTTGGGAAGAAGGTTGGGAGGATGCGATGAAGACTGACCATACGGATGTGCTGGAGCGGGAAAGGGGAAAGTCATGGGATGATACGGCATGTAAGGCGGTGGCGGTTGATGCACATCTGGCATGATGTGGTGATCCTGGTATGAAGAATGTGCCTGGTATGGCGAGACATCCAGGTGCTGCGCGTCTGCTGTAGCGGAGGCTGCAGCAACTACAGCATTCAGAAAATCGACTGAGGTAGCCGTATGGCTGTCTGTTACGTCTTCCACTAACTGAGTGTTAACTTGCACGGTGTCCTGCACTACCTCCTTTGCCTTCCCTTTATCGCTGTTTTTCTTTTTCTTCCTTGTCTCCTTCTCCTTAATGGATATGTCGACATTTTGCTCACTGGCATGCACGGTTGACGCATTGACATCGTCTGAATTTTTCTTTCGTTTCTGCCTCTTCTGAAGCCCGTCTACTGAGACTGCATCGGTCGAATCGTTACGAGCCCGTTTTTTCCTAGACGACACGCTTTCCTGGGATTGGGTGAATGCATTGTTGACTTCGCCAACGGCCTGCTGCAGCGCTCGCTGGATGTCGGATGAAAGGCTGGGTGTCTGATGAACTTGGGCGGCCATGCTTTAGGTGATTTAGGGTGGGCCAACGAAATGGATGAGGGCAAGCACAAAAGACTCAGCATCCGGAGCTCATGCCGGAGTTTACAGCCTACTAGAGCATCATCCCGGCATAAAATACCGAAAATATACTAAATATATCTATGTAAATCAATCATCGTCAAACCACCGCTCTTCTGCATTTCTATCATCATCTACATCGAGCTCTTCATCCCAATCAACTGAATCATAGTCCGCTCCCTAAAAATTAAAAGTTCTTTAATTTTTCACGAGGAGTAACAAGACTGACCTCTAGCAAACCATATATGAACCGCTCCCTTATGCGTCTTTCAAACAACGACTTCGCCTCTTCTGGGGATTCAGACTCTTCCACCTCTTGAGTTTCAGCAACTTCGTCTTCTTCTTCACTGTCACTCTCCTCCTCAGGGACGAAGTCGTCATTGGCCTGCGTTCTCCGAATAAATCGTACTCGCTCCGCTTCCCGTTCCTCCTCAAATTCACCGAGAAGCTTGCCCAGCTTGCCCACTTGTTGTTCTGCACCACCTAGGAAATTCATTTTCGCCCATTCTTGTTCCTCCTTCCCTTCTTCTTCCCCTCTTCGCTCTCGGCCTTGCCACAATGCCGGCCATGCATTTCGGGCAGCCGTGAAGCTGAGAGAGTCTGGTCTTGATTCTGTATATTTCAATCTTCGATTGCGTATCTCAGTAATTGCAGTTCGCTGTTTTGGCGTTGTAACCAACGAGAACCGCTGTGTGATGTGGGGAGGTAGCTGGTGTATATGTCTTTTCAAGAACTCGACAGAACCAACGCTCGGAAGAGGCTCATAGTCCTGAGAAAGGCCGAGATAAGATAAAATTGTGGAATCTTGAAAAGTGGATTGCATGTTGACGTAGGGGAGTGTTTACGTAGCGCTAGGTGGAAGCTTCTGAATTAAACAAAGATAAACAAATTCATTCAAGTTTGTCTTCCGTTCTGCTGATGAGATATATATCGCCACCATTGCACGGTCGATTTGGCGGATTCGCTATGATTCACTCAAATTCGTCTGTTCATCCACAACCTTCTCCACCTCGATCGTTCTTCTGTTGTTGGGATTGGTGTAGACTCACCTTTCCAACTGTCGACGAGCTTGCTTCTCATGTTAGACATAATCACATCTCGAAACTTCAGCCGATGAGTAAAAAGGAAATCATGCTCATGAGGAAGCAGGATGCAGAGGAGGCTCAAAGCATATCTGTGTCATCGGGGAGCTCGGTACCAGTGCACCATTCCAACGGTGCGTCGCATGACAATTTACCAGCTCTGAAATACGCAACTTACGTTGACGTCATTCATTTTACCTGTCTGTGCATAGGTCGATCACAGTTAACGCGTGCCGATTCTACTGATCAAGGCTCGTCAGGCTCTCCGCCTGTCGAATTATCACGACCGCCTCCATCGCAAGTCCTGAGCCCAGGCCCATTGACGCCTCCTACCACCTATCTCCCTGCGTCGTCTCCTCTGCCGGAGCAAACGCCCCCACCGCTCGCAGTGCATGGGGCTGTTCTGCATCAACCCTCTCCTGTACTGCAAACTGCACCTGCAAGAGGGCATGGATTCCCATCTTTTGCTCAGCTGTCGTCACCAGCTGACACCTCATCTATCGCGTCTCTTCCACGATCACCAGACCTAAGCACGCTTTCTCTCCGCCCTAATGTCGCGGCTCAAATCGACGCCTTTGACCGGCGACACAGTAGACTTAGCGAGATTGCTCAGGCACATCCTAATATTCGATCTTTGGATCACTCTCGCTCTCACTCATCGAGCTCGTCGCAAGATGCGGTGGAGCAACAGCTCACACGGGAGGATGTGATGGACGTTAGTGCTCAGATCCAAGCACCAGAGGTGGTTCACAACGGTGCGGTAAAACGTGCAGCATTGTCTACCTCCGAGGACCCAGCTACCATCATTACGAGCACGATTGTGGACGGCGCTGACGCTGATCTCCAGTGGCCTGAATCCGAACCAGAGTACACTCCCAGGAGCCAGCCACGACAGCTCTCTCCGCCAATCGAGAGAGAGGAAGCTGAGCGCATGGAATATCGCGGTTCTCCCGTTGTAACACAGAACGACAGAGGGAGAACCTTCCGTTCTGGCACGCTTCATATTTCACCGTTGCCCAAACACACTGTACCAGGACCAGCATTGGAGCCTTCCCAATCGTCGCAAGACTCTCAAGAGACTTCCAATTCGGGTGTTTCGCAGAGTTCTGCACATTCTTATCCACTAGTGCTTCAGACGCAGGCACCATACCAGAGCCAGTCATACGACCTTTCACAAAATCAGGCGTAGTCGACGTATATCACGTGGTTTTGCGAATATCCTTCCATCTAGTGCTCGCCTTAGTTTAGACTTGGTGCAAGTGTGGCATCTCTGTATTAAAAGCGGTTCTACAATCTAAGCGCTTCAGAACGGATAATAGTCGCGCCGAATTATGTTCACAACAAAATGCTGTGCGTTGCAGTCTTGTTCTACGTATATCACGCTGATTGCTATGACGGGCATACATATAACATAAATAAGTGTTTCGCCGGCACCTGCACGGTGTAAATCATCAATGTATCATCCCCTGAAGGTTCCAGAAGCCCTCACCAACTGAATTTCTTACGGATTCTTATTTCCGCGCAACTTACAATTTGAATTAATGCTTCTTATTGTGAGTTGGACAACCACTTTTGACTCATCGCGACTCCAGCCAGCTTGTGGGGCGCTATCTTGGTATCTCTCCTCATTGGCGTGTGAGGTAACGGAACTAGAACATTCTGCTCCCGTTTCTTTCTGATGCTCGCTCCACCACCCACTCTTTACTTGTTCTGCTAGTACCATGTTAACACTTACGAACGTTACTTGGCTAGACCTATGTCTCTCTTGTATCGGAGTGTATCTGTTGAAACAGATATTCTCCGAGAAGAACCCTGTACCATATCCCCCTGGTCCTCCGGGGCGACCTTTCATTGGGAACGTCCTAGACATGCCTCAGGCCAGGCCCTGGCTTCACCTTCGCTGAGTGGGGTAAGAAGTATGGTAAGTGCCCTCCGTTGTGTCAACATCATGCATTTCAACACCTTGCGTGCAGGTGATATCTCGCATGTCGAGGTTCTAGGTCAACACATCATGGTGCTGAACTCTGTCAATACTGCGATGGAAATGCTAGACAAGAAGAGTTCTTTGTATTCTGACCGTCCTGTTCTTCCTATGGGTGGTGAACTTGCTGGCTGGAAACACATTCTGGCTCTTCTCCCTTACGGTGAACGTTTTCGTGAATACCGCAAGAATTTCCACCGCATCATTGGAAGTCGCGCCGCAATGGATATCTACCACCAAACCGAGGAGATTGAGACCCACCGATTCCTGAAGCGTGTACTAGCGAACCCCGACCAGCTGCAGGCACATATTCGACAGTTTGTGTTGTTTAATCCCTTATACTGGTTTGATGTTAAATTGTTATAGTACCGCTGGCGCAATCGTTCTGCACATCTCTCATGGTTATGAAGTGAATGAGAACAATGATCCCTTCATCGAGCTTGCAGACCGCGCTCTCGACCAATTCTCTCGGTCCACTGCTCCAGGTGCTTTCATGGTTGACATAATGCCATTCTGTAAGTATACCTTTCCGACGTTTGTTTGCAATAATGGATTAATTACGTTCAGTGGCCAAGGTCCCCGAGTGGTTCCCAGGCGCTGGCTTCAAGCGCATGGCCCGTGAATGGCATGAGACCGTCGATGAGATGGTTGATGCACCGTACAAGTTCGTCAAGGATCAGATGGTGATTGCACACCTGTGGTTTTGCGATCTGATGTTGAAGTTTGAATTTTACAGGCTGCTGGATTTGCCCCCAGATCTTTCACCTCAAATCTGTTGGATGGCCGTACTTTGTCTGCGGAAGAGGATCACATTGTGAAATGGTCTGCTGCATCTCTATACGCCGGTGGTGCCGACACGGTTAGTCCCCGCCTACATGTTCGAATTAAGACTGACTCCTGTATCTTCAGACCGTTTCCGCAATATACTCGCTTTTCCTGGCTATGATACTGTTTCCTGATGCGCAGAAGAACGCCCAGGCTGAAATAGACACAGTAATTGGTCCTGATCGCCTTCCCTCCTTCGCTGATCGCCAGTCTCTCCCCTACACTGAGGCGCTTGCCAAGGAAGTCCACCGCTGGAATGCTGTCGCTCCTACCGGTATGTTTCGGTCGTTTATCACATTCTTTAGTTGATGAACAGTATTCTTCAACGAAAGCCGTTCCTCACCGTCTCACTGAGGATGACATGCATGACGGCTACTACATCCCAAAAGGCTCCTTGATAATACCGAACATTTGGTTAGTACTCCCGTTGTCCAGGATTCAGTATTTGAGCAGTATTCAATACTTTGAATTGCAACAGGTTCATGCTCAATGATCCACAGACATATGCTAACCCCTCAGAGTTCAACCCTGAACGCTACTTAGCCAAGGATGGAAAAGAACCTGAGACCGACCCTCGCACGATCTGCTTCGGCTTTGGTAGACGGTAATAAATGATTTGCCGTAGGGTTGTCAGCGAAATGCTAACTTTCTTCTCCGCAGTATCTGCCCAGGTATGCACAACCACAGAAGGAACACGACAGTTTTCTGACGTCGCTTGCTTATGGTCGTACAGGCTTGCACCTCAGCTGATGCGTCCGTCTGGATATCTATCGCTAGTGTCGCTCGCCGTGTTTGATATTTCCAAGGTTGTCGAGAATGGTATTGAGATCACCCCTGAGGTTGACCCCTCATCGGGTACAATCAGGTACGTCGCACATCTTATCGTCTGCGGTGCTGGTTCAGACAGTATTGGTCGCTCCCAGCCACCCCAAGCCCTTCAAGTGCTCTATTAAGCCTCGTTCCGCAAAAGCCCTTGACCTCATTCAGCAAGATGCTAACTACTGAGTGCACGAAGATGTATCTGGAGAAATGGATACGTCCTAGCGATTGTTATTCCTATCGTCTATCAATTTGTATTTTGAGCTCGCAAGCAGCCACGGCAGGTCGTGATTGCGATCGTAGCTTGTTGAAGTCATTTACAAACCGTAAGTTCATGATCTGACTATACTCCACTAGTCTGGGTTCCAGAAGTGTGATCAGCATTCTGGCAAAATTCAAGGTAAGTAAATTAGCTTGAAGGTAATACAATGCAACCAGGGGTGGCAGCAGCGAATTTAGTGGACGTTGAACGTTGAATGACTTCCGAACTTGAAGCTTGTTCTACTGTCAGCGATCCGAATCGGCGAGTCGACCAACGTGGCTGAGCGGCGCGAGATTGGCGCTAAGCACTTGATACCAATCGCATAATCCTGCGAATATCGAAGCAACCCTACTCTATCTAAGTTCAAGCATACACCTGGCTTGCGTCCAACTACGTGCGCAGCCCTTCGCGACCATGAACTCGGCAGATGTACCGCCAGGAGACAATAGCGCAAACAGTCTCGCAGTAGTCAAACAACTTCCTCCTGACCTCCTTCTTATTATCTTCATTCATGGGTCAGTGTAGACGACGCAAGTCAGAGCTCTCCAATTAACAACACGTAGATTCAAGGGAACGGATACAACGTTCGAGAACTTCCCTGCGAGGCTAGAGCATGTCCTGAAGGAAACCATAGAGAATCTCAAGGTGGAATGTATACTCTTTCCCTCATATGAGGTCAGGCCATTCTTTTCAAGTTGCCGTTTGGGCGACTGACCAGGAGACGCATAGACCAAAGGACAATTGGTGCGCGAAAATTACTTTATTATATTTGCACGAAGATAGAGACTTCTGCTCAGAACGCTGCAGTAGAACACTTTGCCGACTGGCTAACTACTCTGACCGTACAAAGAGAAGTCGCGGATGGCAATGGGGGAGGAGCCGGAAAAGCCAGGATTGTGCTATGCGGTCATAGGTGAGCATAATTTCAAGCATATGATTGCAATTCCATTGATTCAAGTAAAACAGTATGGGAGGGTTACTTGCTGCTGATGCTTTACTGGCATTTGTGAATTCAAGACCTGACAAAGACGCCCCATTGTGGCCGAAGATCATCGCGTGCATAGCCTTTGATACTCCTGTGAGTTGCTTGACGGTTATCGCATGCTCTCCCAGCTGCTAATCTTTGCTAGTATCTTGGTCTTCACCCTGCTGTATTCAAGAACAGTGCGACCAAGGCTGTGGAATACGCCAGTACAGCCCGCACAGTTGTTTCAGACGTGTTTTCATTGTTTGGCAAGAAAGGTGCAGCATCGACCGCCTCTGAGCAAACCGCTGTTGCATCTATAACAGCGCCCCCCACTGCGGAAAGTGGTTGGGGAAAGTGGGGTCCTGCAGCGTATGCTGTTGGCGGAGCGCTGGTGGCTGGCGCAGCTGCTGGAACAGCATACTACCGCCGAGACGACATCGGTTCCGGATACGGCTGGGCTACTGATCACTTGAATTATGTTCGCAACCTCTGGGATGAGGAGGCATTGCGAAAGCGTCTGCGAGATTTGATTGATGCACAGGTACACCTTGGTGTTGTATTCCGGACGTACGTCCAACAGATCTCGTGATTTTCCTCGGTTTCTTTCTTAAGTTTTCTTGAAATTCCAGATTTTACACCTTACTTCCACCACCACCACCTTCATTCTCGACGCCGAGGACATTCGCCATTCTTCCTCCGCGAACATCTCCGATGGCTGCACACTTTCTTCCTGCAAGAAATACACAGGCTGCAGATGAAGTTCAAGCACACACCAACATGTTCAATCCAAGATATAATGATGGCTACTACCAGTTGGGACTCGATACAGCCAAGATCATTCGGGAAGCCGTCATGTCAGCTAGAGGTATCACTGAGAATGGCGATACCGAGGCTCGGAAGGACGTTGAAGCAGCTGTTGCAATGGAAGAGGCGTTGCCTGATCAGGTGGGGAGCGACGCAAAACCATAGCCAGCAGGGGTGACAATAACTCGTTAAGTGTCGAAAGTATAGCTGTAAACTATTGATGTTGCCTGCAGTTTCCTTCATATTATTGCTGGAATGTGAGCTGCATAGCATACGCGTCTTCTCCATCGGCATCTAAAGAATACGCGATCTAATAACCAGGTGACAAAGATGTCTGGAGACTCACAGTACTTTTCTTCGATGTTCTTGACAGTAAATCCAAGCGTGTCGCGATACAGACTTAGTGCCGCACGATTCGACTTGCGGACATGGAGAGAGACGAATGCCGCACGGTAGATGCTGCTCATCGCCTCCTCTGAAATCAAAGAATACATCAATGATCGTTCTAGCCTAGAGAAGACAGACTTTACGTGATTGAAGCATCAATTTTTTGGCTAGCCCAAGTCGACGGTATGATCTCATGACAGATATTGAAGTGACGTGCCCATGAGGAACATGGTCAGTCACAGGTTGGCCCTCTTGCTCCTCGACTTCCTCCCTGCGATTCGATTAGACTACGATGTCGCTGCGGAAACATTCGACGCACATTTTTGCCAGAATATAACCAACAATCCGTCCATTGTGATCCTCGGCCACATACGAGAGTGAAGGCCATGATAGCGCGTGATATAGATCTGGCGGTGGGTTCTGTCAACCTCAGTTCCGAAAGAAGAGACGCAGAAGAGACGAACAGTATTTCATTGTGTAGTTCTCGGGTAGGTTGTGCAGATTGCAGGCTTGCATACCTGCAAGATCTTCGACCTGGTGAAAATGAGCAATTCTACGCGCTCTTGGTAGATCGCTAGCGTACCCTGACTGCACGGACATTCATATTAGAACAGACTTGCCTCAGCTTCCCGACGGCGTAGCAGGATAGAGGGTGCGGGTTTCGATAACCCTTAAAGGTGCGGCTCGTGTGAGTGGTAGTCTTGCTTAGTCGAGGTCGTGAGAGCTGATGCAAACGAACCCACACTTCCATTGACCCAAGAACGATTTTGGTTGCCTCCAACATAATCACTATAAGTAGCATAAAATCTACAATGTACAACAGTGATATCGCTACAGGCAAAAGAACAACAACTTTGGTGACTGTAATAAATATTCCGGGTTTTGGGCTACAACAAAACTGGTTGCGCAATGCGTTTGGGGGAAAGAACAAGTGTGCCATCCATGTTTGCTATCTACTTACTGCAAACGTTCAGCACTCATTTAGCGAGGCTGACCGCCATTCCCAGCTGCGTCGCCGGTGTTATTTACATTCCCTTGGGCCCAGGGGTTCGAGGCATTCGACTCAGGGATCTGCCCATTCGAAGTCGACCCACGACCGAAGAAAAAATGCTCTGCAGCGTGAAAGGTATTTCGAAGGCTTCTCTTGACGCTCCTGCCTCTTCCTTCAGCTTCACGAGCATCTGTTGGAGGGCTGAGAGCAGCCTGAACGGAGTCTTGTAACTCCTGGCTGGTGTGCGACGGGATGTCGTACATGGGTTCAGGGCGCATGGGTGGCCATGGCACAAGGCGGTCGGAAGATGCGGCAGCAGGGGCAAGATAGTAGCTATTTGCCATATTTGCCTGGTCCATCATCGAACCATGACGTTCGGGGTTCTGCGCGAGGCGAAATTCGAAATTCGCTGAGTGCATCACCTGGGTGATACCCTGGGTTGAAGGTCCGGCAGCGGCATTGAATGACGTCGGCGAGGTAAAACTGTGTCTAGGAACTGGTGGACCGATGTGTTCGATAGTATCATGTTCTGTGCCCCGGCCATGACCTAACTCCGCAAAGTTGTAATCGGGCGTTACAGCGCCATTACTTCTAGCAGAAGATATTGGTTCTTGATATGTGCGGAAAAAGCCCGCTCCATTCGACTGGGCTGTGCCAGCACTGCGATTAGATGGGACGTCGCTATGAGTGGGGGAAGTGGAAATCTCAATGACGGGCTGATATCCAAACATGCGAGATCTTCGCAAAGCAGGATTGGACGGCCCCGCTACGGGTTGTGGATTAAGATATGACGTAGGCGGCAGTTGATTGTTAGCAGCGAACACGGCAGGAGCTGAGGCAACGGTGACATGACTTGGCCGCAAGGTCATATCACGCTGCATAGCAAGCTCGGGATGCTGTGAGATAGGGGTGATAATTTCTGGATGATGCATGCGGAGGGTGGACACGGCTGGTTGAGGCGTAGGGTGGAAGTTGTATCTTCCATCGTGCATAAAGTCTTCGTCAAGATCACCATCCATCCCACCCTCCATATCAGCATCCATGGCACCTTCAACAAATCCTTCGTCAAAGTCGTCGTCATACTCCGTTTCGTCATCGTCGGCATTCATATCTTCCGTGATGGTATTGAATAAGTCGGTCAGGAAGCTTCTCAGTTTAGCGACGCCGCTGCCTGAGTAGACACAAAAAGCCATCCTTTGGCTCATGTTGAACTCCTAAAGGGACGTCAATAGCTTATTAGACGTCATATTTGTGTCACTGACCTGTGGAGCTTGACGACAGAACTGCTGTAACTCGGTTTTTCTGAAAGAAGGAATACCAGTCAAGCTCAGATGAGTGAGCTTGTGGAGCTTTTGCAACAGGAAGTGAATAGCCATAACCGAGATTTGATCACAGTAGGACAGATGGATGCGTTCTAGAGTGCTGTGTCGCTCAGCGAGAGCGTATATCGCCTCGTCCGTCAGGTTGCTGACGCGCACAAGACCAATTCGTCTGAGCTTGGGTAGGCTGGACAACTCGAAGACGGACATGTCGGTTAGAAGGACGCAGTCTATTTTATAGAATTAAATTTCATTCCACATGAAAAGAAAAGAGGGACATACTTGCAAAGTCAACATAACGCAAGCGAGTGCAGCACCGTGCAAGCGTTTTAATGGAGCGGTCTGTAATGTTGGCCGCATGTCCGAGATGCAAGTAGTGCAGATGCTTGCCGAGAACGCAAATATTCTCTACAGTCCTATCCGTCAATTGGATGCATTTTGAGAGAACGAGGTTCCGAATTTTTGAGGCATGGGAAATAATTCCATCAATAGCATCATCCGTGATGAGCGCACAACCTGTCAGATCTAGCATACGAAGATGGTCCAAGGGCCTTGGAATCTCCAAAGGGGGAAGCCCTTCATCCTGGCTGTGAGGGGCGGTTGGGAAAGGGTTATTCCGTGGCGTGACCTGAGGCTTGACAGGCGCTGGGAAGGCAGCATCGGTAAGCTCGACGCACTGGGACAGCCTCATTTCACGCATATGTGTGGAGTAAGTCCAGACGTCACGAACAGAGATGTCGGTAATGCGTTTGCAATTATTCAAGTCAATCTCCAGAAGGAGAGGGCAAGACTTGGCTAGAGCTGAAACAGGACCGTCGGTAACCTGATCAACGCCACTGAGTTTGACGCGACGAAGAAGGGGACAGTTGGAAGCCAGCGCATATACACCAGCGTCGGTGACCTGTCTGCATCCTGCGAGATTGATGCCTTGAAGGCGCCTAGCGGCTGATGCCAGGCCGATGACGACATGATCAGAAGTTTCGACGACTCCTGTAAGATCAATGGCGACTAAATTTGGGAGGCAAGGCAATACGCGAAGAAGGGCATCTTCGGAGATAGAATTGCAATTTACGAGGGTCAAGCGCTCCAAGTGGTCGCACTGGGCTAAGCGGGAGAAAAGGGCGTCGGTGAGGTCGGCACCGAGGAAAAGGAAGTTGAGACGACGGATGAAGCGACTATAAGTGAAAGTCTGGTCGCCTCGACTAATGACCCTCATCATTTTTACGAGGGTAGAAAGCCTTGTGAATGTAGGGCGGTGCCATAGAAGCTCTACTGAGCATTCGCACCATGAGCGCGAAACTAGTAAAGAATGATAGAGATCCCTAGGGGTATGAAGGTGCTTTAGGATATGAATAAGGACCTCTGGGGGTACTTGAGACATTGGGGAATGAGATGAATGTATTCCTGCATCTGAGGGATGATGAAGGCGAGAAGCCCATTGAGCGGGTGATACAACGGATGAAACTGGACCACCAAAAAAGAGGGACTTGTTTATATCGTCGTCTTCATTCTCTGATAAAGAAGTTGTTGACTGTGAAGGTGAATTCGAGCGATAAAAAACCCTTGGAGTCCTGGCGGATGGCATACCTGCGCGCTTGGCCATGGATCGAGTCTGAGCCAGTCCGAGACCGGAATCCTTTGCTAACCAACTACATGGGAATTAAGTTCTATATTTGTTTTATTGTTTCCAAAAATAATAAATAAAAACCTTGCTTTTGCGCCTTTGGCAATGACCTAAACGCGTGCCTCTCTTTTGTCTCTTATATGATACCCAACAAACTAGACAAATTCGTCTCTAATACCGTCAACGTCGAACGTCCTACTCCCCCTGTACCTGCTCATACCCGTTTTCTCAAACTTGCTGGAAAATTCAATTCCCGTGATGCCCGTTCTCGCTCAAAAGATACTCCACTGCAATCCCCAAACAGATCTACCAGCTCATCTTTAATATCTAACCCTGAATTTCCTCCCCCTGGTCCAGCTCATTACGCAGCTCGTAGAGCTCTGTGGCTCACTCCCACAAAGGCTCACCACCGCTCTCCTCCCTCTTCATCACGTCAGAGATTAGAGCAGCTTCTTAGCAAGCCAGGTGCAGTGAATAACGAACAAGCTTGGAAAGATGGGATTGAGAAAGTTTGGAAGGGTCTTGTAAATGGCGGTCGTTTGAAACGGAGCCTTCCCCTGAATCTCGTGGTGGGTTACGCATAATCTCAAAATTATCAGTTATCAGCTTACTTCTACTCTCTCTCTCTCTCGTCCAAGATTAAAGTCATCCATGCTGGTTGGCTCAGAGATCCTGATACTTGGCCTGCTGGCGCAGTAGCCCCAGATTCTGATCAGGATCCTGCAGCAGACCAGCCTGGACCTTGTCCAGTTACCATGCTACCATCAAACCTTACCTCGCCTAATACCTCCTCTCAAGGAGTGGGAACTGAGGTCGATGAAATCAACCCTTCTGGACTTGTAATAGCTGCAACCTAAGGTGTAGGGGTGTTGTATATTTGAGTCTTCTCGGAACGAATCGATTCATGTATTACGTGCTCTCCGGTCAGAACTATGTATTAAATGCATTTTTACTTCTTACCATCCAATGATTACAAGGACATATGTGCGACGTTACATGCAAGGGAATTGCTGCCGAAAAATATACTGGCAGAGCACTGATCTATGATGCCCACCCCATGTCTAGGGTTCAAGTCCGCGATGGTGGTGACACCTGCTGTCTACTCAGTCACTGGTCATGAGTCGTCTGTAAAATTCACGTACCAATATAACGCCATCTCCTCGAACGAACAACATCTCCATTTTTCTCTTAGCCACCTAAAACGTCATAGATAATGCCTCCGATGTTCAGCGTAGGACTTCAGACTTACTTTGACTGTTCCCTGTCCTTCCAGAGCTCCCTCGATGGACTCTACGATCATGATTGTTTCTTCGACATCACTCAGAATGAGATTCATATGGCCATCATAAGCCTGCAAACCAAGGTATCTCAGTAAACGGAACTTGTGAAATATGTTGAACCAAACACACATGAAGTACGCCAGTAAGCTCACGATCCCCCCGTAACTTTACAAAAACACGTTCGCTGAGAGATAATCTGATGAGGTCGAATGGCTCCTGGATGCCTGACGATGAAGGATCCATTGAAGTGAAAGTGAGATTAGGTAAGCAGTAAATGGTCTTTCGAACTCAGCCTCCCTAAGTTATTCTTTCGCCAACATCAACGACCTGTAGCTATGCCGGTACGTTGTATCATTTCTATCTGGTGCAATAGCTACTAACCGCAGAGTAGAAACACTACTGTGACTACTGTGACGTTTTTCTCACTCACGACTCTGCTTCAGGTGAGTTACTTTCTTGTTATAATCAGATTCCCGTTCTCAGGCATTCTGTAGTGCGCAAAGCTCATAACAGCGGAAGAAACCACCTAGCAAACGTCCGGGATTATTATGCATGTGAGTAGATGGTGCCTTCGCTCACTGACAGCGTGTTGATGCATGATTTCAGCGCTCGGCCATGACAAAGCACAAAGTATCATCGATCAGATCACTGCGGCGTACGAAAGCGGCGGCGGCCCCCCTCCAGGAGGGTTCGGATTTGGACCTCACCACCTAGGTGCACCCCCTCCACAGTTTCCAGGCCCTCCCATGGGCTTCGGTGGTCCTCCCGGAGCATTTCCACGTGAGCATATGATCCTACTGTCAATCTACTCCGAAACTGAGTTTCTTTGCAGCTCGTCCGCCTTTCCCTCCCGGACCGTTCCCACCTCCAGGCATGATGGGACCACCTTTCCCTCCTAGTGATGGCATGCCACCTCCCTCAGCAATGGGTCCTCCTGGCGGTTTCCCAGGTGGTACGTCGTTCTCTCCTGACATTGAAAGTTCGGAGATTAAGTAGGCAATAGGTCCTCCTCCATTCCCTCCTAATGGCCCTAATGGTGGCGGACCACCTCTGGGTGGCGGCATGCCGCCCTTCCCCCCACATGGCAACTTCGGGCCTCCAGGTGGTGGTCCACCCTCATCAGACCAAAATGATGGTCCTATTGCGGGACCAGGCGGTATCCATCCTGACAGACTGAGAATGATGGCTAGCAGGTAATAATTTTCGGGCGTCAATCCTGTGGTGGGTTGTATATTTCCTAGTATATTTCTAGAAGGTAAACTATAGTTTTCCTTCCTTTTTTTGTCTTCTAAAATGGCTTCAGTTCTTTGTTGTGTCAATCTACTAGTTTTATACCTGATCATCGCACTGAAGCTTAAGTTCTCGGACTTGAATTTGATATCGAATGCCTTCTTGTGAACATGCCCGCAATACCGTGCACCTCGACTTATACCTTACATTCGGGCAGCCCATTAGCAAGTGAAGTGTTCTCGCAATCCGTCTTTATTACTAAGAAGGAATGACTATCTTCCTTCTTCTACGGGTCTGGTATGGTAGACAAGGCAATTCGTGTTGCTGGCGGCGTTTGGTAGCAGCTCACCGTGAAGAGTCTCTGTTGATGACCACTCCGCCGTACCTATGAGTGTTGAAGTCAACATATGTGGATAATTCGTAGGACGGGCAATGATCGTTCGCCGTGTCGAAGAGTAGTAGAAGACGCAATGAGTTTGGTGTTCATGGCGATCCCTACTTCGCTTTCACATCAGACGACGTTGTCGGTACAACTGTCCGCTGGAGTACTGCTCCACGTAGGCTAATGAATTCGAACTAAGATATAGGTCTTTCATCTGAAAAGTTGGAACTTCGTTATCCGAGTCGCGCTCCTTGGTTGAGCGCCGACGAACAACTTCAGTCAATCAAGAGTATTCAACCGAGGCGTTGTCTGAGTGGGATTTGATCTTGAAGTTTATAGAGCCTAGGTCAGTCGAGAGTAGTGACTCGACTTGGCCAGCTCCATAAGTAGAGGATGAGATGGTGGTCATTGCCAAGTTAACTGATCAGCGTGCGCCGCCGTGCGAGCTCTCTCTTATACGCTACTTCCTTTTCTGGAAACCCACTTCTTGGATCAATACTGTCAAGTCCACAAAGTTGCATGAATTATGGCAGTCTCAGCGTCCGACATACGCAGCGCACTTTCCTTACCAAGCTCTTCAACACCGGTTCCATCTACAACACCAGCTCCGCGAAAATCTCAAGGCCAGGTCACCAAGAAACCTGAGGGGATTTCTCGAGAGCTCTATGCACTTATTGGACCGTCCGCGCCTTCTCTTGTGGCACATTTAGCTAAGCCGCGCCTGAAGCAGAAGCCGACTTTTGGATCTGGTGGAAAGGTCAAGTGGTAAGTTTCCTGTCACAATCACGTGTGCGTGCTCAATGACATGGTGCATGCAGGGAGTGGAGGCCATTTAGGAATGGTGCACGCACCGATTTACTGCAACTAGGGACATTGGGTCAAAGCAACGGATGATCCAGATGCAGGTTTGTGCTGTTAATTCGACGCTGTACGAATACTGAAACTTCAATGCACAGAATACCCCTTTACCAAATATAACGTGGAATCACAACCATACACCTACTCACAGGAGGAATACACGCGTTTCCTCGAAGGCAAGTTCACTTCTCGATATACCTGCGCATACCTAACTTCTTATAGACAAGGACTGGACAAAGGACGAGACTGATCATTTATTTAGCATTGTGCGAGAATACGATACACGGTGGTATGTGGTGCATGACCGCTATGAGTTTTCAGACGGCCCCGCGCGCGCTCTTGAAGTAATGCACAAAGCCCTTTGCAATTGTGCCGTGCTGAACTTGCAACAGGATCTCAAGGACCGATACTACAGCGTCTGCCGGAAGCTCATCCGGAACAGACCCTGGGCAGGCGACGAGGCGAGTAAAGCCCAGCTTCTCAATAGCTATCAGTTTGATAAAGGTTCGCTGACTCTTGTGTCTTGGCGTTGGGTAATCCTAACCATTATCGCACCCCAGACCGCGAGCGAATGCGAAAAGACTACATCGCCAGCCTCGAGGACCGTACACCCGAGGAAATTGCCGAGGAAGAAGCCCTCTTCATCGAACTGAAGCGGTTGGAGCAAAACGAACGCAAGTTCAAAAAAGAGCGCGATGAACTTCTTCGCACGTTGCTTGGCATTGACTCTGGACTACCTGACATAGTTGTTGAAGAAGACGGGCCTTCTGCTCTCTCTGCGGAAGGATTCAAAAAGAGAAAGAAAAACGGAAATGAAATTGAAATACCTTCTACGCCATCAAACATCATCTCTCTAGGGCCTCCACCACCAAAGAGGGCTCAGTCAGCCAAGTCAGTAGCCTATGGTACGTCGAGTTTCAATCCATAATGCCAAGACAAGGCTTATTCATCTGCTTTAGACGCACAACATTGCATTATCAGGGTCGAACCTCCAGCTTCATCGACAACGAAAGTTACTCATGCTCCTGTGCACCTTCGCTCGTTCAAACTTCCCGCACCAAAGGCAGCGATAGCACCCAAGGTTACGCAGGCTCTTGCTGAGCTGGGCATCAACCATACACGTTTAGTCATGCCCACCCGTGAAAACTGTGCACAATTAGATTCGCTGATCGAAGCGACCACTTCCTTGATTGACACGAAAAAAATCGTAGATCGTGTAGAACAAGATATCCGAGTGCTGAGAGTAAGACTCGGGAGGGCAAGTGAGGGCGCAGAGGAAGATGGCAAGGAAGGAACGCCGATGGAGGTTGATGGAGGCACAGGAGCCGATGCCGATGCCGAGGGTGAGGTCGATGGCAGAGCGCAAAGTATACTTAGTACGCGGAGTGGCCGAGGGCGCAAGCAGGTTCGTCACTCTCATCACATGTTGTTGATGCCATCTAAGATTAGACTCAGTCGCGCCGATCGATGTCCGTGTCATCCATTGATACTTCGGCAGTCCGCGCGAATTGGTAAGAGACAGAAGCGAGGCTGACTAATCATATTGAAAAACCCAATTCATGTTTGCCTGAGGAACCACTTGATGTAGAGGCTACGAGATATAATAGATTTGATAAATGCTCCCATTCCATAGATCTAGCGCATCAGAAGCATTAAGGTTTTTACGTCTCCGTGAATCGCAACACGAAATTGACGATGATAGCAACTGTAGGGGAATGAGGGCACATCAAAACTCGCAGAATGAAACTGGGCTGACTGAGGAGTGCGGAGCATAGAATAGTCTGATTTAAAATTGTTTAGCAGGATGCTACAAAAATTTGCTAAGAACTTACAGGTCCAAGTCGGTCGTCGTAAGGTCCACGCCCTCCCTTGCGGATAGAAGCAGCCCTCCAATGATAAGTATACAACGCGTATATCATGACAGCCATAGCTTGAACCGGTCAATGAAAACCATGAACCCCGAAATGGCTGATCCGAACTATATGCTCACCAACAACAGAGAACATTGCCGCACTAATCCTCCCGACCTGTGCAGCACAAACAATTTAAGCCAGCGAAGTCATCAGGAACAGCTGACTGACGAACCTTGTCACCGAAGTTCAGTAGCCCCACTGCAAGACCGCCGAGGACAACAGTGAAGTGGAGCCATGATAAGAAGGTGCGCTCGTTGGCGAACGATACTTTGGGTTCAACGCGCACTGGGAGAGCGATGCGCTTTGACGCCGTGCGCTGTAGCAAAGGCTGGGTCGACATCAAGCCTATTAGTTGAGTGACAAGCGTGATTCAAAGGCAATTCAAACCGAAAACCGCTATTTCAAACGCTTACCGTAAGGGGTTCCGCAACTTTGTTACCATATCAGGACAATTCATTGTGTCGGCTTTTCAGCCGATGTGACTGATTCTATCATGAACTAGTACTACCGCTGATCAGAGTATTCCGCATCACCGAATTCCCAGAGTCTTTCGCCATGCTTTTTCTGCCGGAAACACATGGGCGTTTTCCGGTAGGGGCGACTACCTTTAAGCTTCCTGTATCCACCACGAAAGTGCTGGGCACTGCAAAGATACGTGGAGAAGGTGGAACTTTGAAACCTGCATTACAACTTGATGAAGTCGTCTTTACAGCCTATTATCCTGCGGACGTAAAGGATAACAACACCAAGAAAGGGATGGACTGGCTTCTCCGGTCAGTATCAAGATGCTTTCCAGCGAGTCAAACTCACAATTATATTCCACCAGTCCATTGCAGGCGTCTCTACATGGTTACGCACGTTTTTCAGGCAGGTCTCACATACTTATATTGTAGAGATGTTGGATCGAGTACTTTGACCAGGGGTTTTTTCCTGGCTCATATGGCCTATCCTGTATCTCTATGGTGCCCTGTTGAAAGTGCGAGTCTTTGACACGGTGCTGAATACCATGGCTAACTGCGCCGTCAGATTCCAGTTTATCCGAATGCACCTCTTTTGAGGCAGCCCCCCACTGTGTCTGATGGGCATGCTAAATCTGAAACCCGGCCTTGGCCTCTTGTTATATTCTCACATGGCCTGGGCGGTAGCCGGACAGCATACAGGTATTTATCCGCTGCAGCACCAAATTAAACTCATATCGTGTTCAGTCAATTGTGCACTCGTCTTGCATCTTCAGGGCGAGTGGTTCTAGCTATCCAGCACAGTGATGGCTCAGGTCACGCATTCATTTCATCAGCTACCGGACTTGGACTCTACGTCCAAGAGAGGGATTTGATGTCAGTATCCATATGAATGTTTTTGAGAGGGAGAGCTGAATGATTTTTCCTAAGTTGGACTTCAGACGCCAAAGATGATGAAAGAACGATGATCTATTTTCGACAGCAACAGCTGGCTTTTAGGCGACACGAGATATACCTTGCATTCCGTAGCTTTAAACAAGTAGTTCAAGATGGTTATCAAGCGTCAACCCATGGATTACAGATCATAGACAAGAATCCAATCGACTGGTCTTCGTGGTCAAGCGACGACGATAACCAGGCAGTCGAATGTGAAAAAGACGTTCTCCTTGCTGGACATTCGTTTGGCGGTGCTACTGTTGCAAGTGAGACATGTTTACAAACTGTGCAGTGACTTACACCGGCTGCAGTTCACAATCCTTTCTACTGATCCTCCTGCCGATGTGTGCGCACCCATTCCTGTGCATAGAGCCTTGATATTGGATCCTTGGCTAGAACCAATCCCTTCACCTGGCCCGTGCCCACCTCCTCAGAGACCAGGTGATGCTTTGCCGCAGTTGCTTATCATCAACTCTGAGAAGTTCACCCTCTGGAAGGATCATTTTTCGCGACTGGTCAGTGTGATGCAAGCCTGGGAGCCCGAGAAACGGAGGGTGCTGACCATCGGTGAGTTTCTTCGCATTCAGTGCACATCAATCGCACAGGAGTTCATCTGACTTCCGCCTCGGCAGTACGCTCGCAGCACACCTCGTTCTCAGATTTCCCTCTCCTCCCGCTTTTCTCTCGGAGAGCTGCACGCATAGTAATGGATAGGATTATGGAATTATCAGAGGCATTTATAGATGGTGACGTAGACACGTTTGTGGACGAAATTGCGACTAGGAAGATGGAAATCCGTGTAGTTGGGAAGAAGCCAGACGGTTCACCACAACGACAGCTCGTAGGCGAGGTCGGGAATATTATAGCCCACTGATTCTGAAACAACTCGAACAACTTGATATACTGGCGTAGATTATCAGATCATCAAATTGCCCATATCAGTTACGAAAGTTGAACGTCGAGTCACTGATCAATATCCAATAGACCTGACTCAGATCTGTAATGTAACGCTGTAGACAACTATACACGTTCAAGTTCTGCATCTTCGTCCACACTTGGACCCTCTAGTACTATTGGCTGTACCTGCACATCTTTCCTGCAAGTTGCATACGGCGGTAGGATTTGTGCCGAACCTCATCCACTTTAGGACCATCATCTATGGCTCCTCCCAAGTCCGACCCTGCGGCATCAGACACTTACATTCCCCTCTTTAAATCTATAGGTCTTTCCCAGGCCAAAGCGGCAGAGGCAGCAAAGAATGCCAAAATCGCCAATGTCCTTCGTAATCTGATTGTTTCATACGATCTTACCGAAGCTCACCTGGATGAAAAGCAGGCCACGCTCGTCACCGCACTTGCTGGCCAGCTAGCTAAGGCAGAATCTGTAGAACCTAGCGAACAAGATTTTGTCATCAAGGCAATCTTGCAGGGGAAGCTCAAATCTGTCGATCAGGTCAATGGTGAGCTTTGTTAGGCGACGCTTTCATCTACCAGTGACCGATTTATGTACAGCTGCTGTCAAGTATCTCGAGACACATCGTGTGCCTATCAACGAGAGTGAATTTGATGCAGAGTGTGGTGTTGGTGAGATCTGGTGATCATGATGTACGATCAATGTACCAATCAGATGTTACAGGTTTCAGCATTACATCCGAAGAGCTCTATAGCTCAGTCACGAGTTACATCCGCGAGAATGCTGTTGCTGGCTGGCCTAACCTTGGCTCCGTCATTAGTGGGGTCAAGGCCAGCCCGGCTCTTCGATGGGCGAACCCCCTTGAAGTTAAAAACGCCGTCGAGAAGGTGTTTACGGAAACCTTTGGTGCTAAGGAGGCCGCGAAGCCGAAAACCAAGGTGTGATGCATCCTTTGCTATCCCTGTTTACTGTTTTTGATTCCAAAATGCAGGAGCCTAAAAAAGAGAAGGCCCCGCAGCCAACGGCAACGGCATCAGAGACTGATGCTGGGTCTAGTTCATCCAATAGAAAACCCGTTTTTGAAGAGGGCTTCTTGGGCGCACTGCATAAGCCAGGGGAGAACCCCCAGATCAAGCCAGAACTTCGTGAGCAGCACCTGCGCGCTACTGGTGGACAGGTCTGGACACGTTTCCCACCTGAACCAAATGGCTATCTACACATCGGCCATTCCAAGGCTATTTTCGTGAACTTCGGTTATGCCGCACACCATAGAGGGAAGTGTTATTTGCGCTTCGATGATACCAACCCGGAAAAAGAAGAGGCCAGATATTTTGAGAGCATTATCGAGGTCGTCCGCTGGCTTGGATTTGAACCCTGGAAGATAACCTACTCCAGTGATTACTTCGATCAGCTTTACGCTCTTGCCATCGAGCTCATTAAGCGCGACAAAGCTTATGTATGCCATTGCACTCGTGAGTGTAGCTTTTGTGTGTTTATGGCGACTGTTTGCTGACTGTGAACTGCTCTGCAGAGGAGCAAATCAAAGCTGACAGGGGCGAAAAGGTATCAGCTCCTAAAGCCTGCGTGCATAGAACACGGCCGATCCAAGAATCGTTGAATGAGTTCAAAAAGATGAACGATGGTTATTATCAGCCCAAGGAAGCCAATCTCCGGATGAAGATGGATCTGACAGATGGCAACCCGCAGATGTGGGATCTTACGGCGTACCGTGTTTTGGACGCAAGCCACCATCGCACCAAGGATAGATGGAAGATATACCCCACCTACGATTACACACACTGCCTCGTGGATAGCTTCGAAAATATTTCGTGAGTACAGTAGCGTCCTCTCCTCGTTTGCTTTTAGTTGACATACAAAATCTCAGCCATTCTCTCTGCACTACGGAATTCATTGCTTCACGCCAGTCATATGAGTGGCTTTGTGACGCCCTGGACGTATACAAACCAAGGCAGTCAGAGTTTGGTCGTCTTAATCTTCAAGGGACGATCAACTCGAAAAGAAAAATTCTCCAGCTGGTAGATGAAGGTTACGTTAGCGGATGGGACGATCCTCGCCTCTACACCCTCATTGCTCTCAGAAGGCGAGGCGTACCTCCGGGCGCGATTTTGTCCTTTGTCAGCACGTTGGGCGTTTCAACGGCTGCCTCAAACATCCAAATTGCACGCTTCGAACAAACTGTGAGGCAATACCTGGAAGGCAGTGCACCGCGTCTCTTCATGGTCCTCCGTCCTCTCAAAGTCACAATTGAGAACGTTCCCGACGATTACCTCGTAGTAGTGGACAAACCATTCCATCCCAAGAATCCCCAGCTTGGATCTTCACAGATTCCATTCACCCGCACGATTTACATTGACGCAGACGACTTCAGGCTGGAAGACTCAAAAGACTACTTCCGCCTTGCACCTGGAAAGAGTGTCGGCCTATTCCAAGCACCTTACCCCATTACATGTACATCATACAAGACTGATTCCTCCACTGGTGAGGTGACAGAGGTATTCTGTCGCCTCGAGGATTCTGGCCCTCCTCCAAAACCCAAGGCATATATCCAGTGGGTCGCCGAACATACACCTTCGGGAAGTCCTGTTCGCATCGACGAAACAAGAATATTTCACCCTCTATTCAAGAGCGACAACCCACTCGCGGCCGTTCCTGACTTCAAAGCTGACATCAACTCTAACAGCATGGAAGTCATCAAGGGCGCCATGGTTGAAGTCAGCTTCTGGCCACTTGCAAAGCGGTCTATCGCAGACGCCCTCGAGGAGGCTCGGGCGAGATCAGCCACAGCCAAAGCAGTCCCAGGTGCGGGCTCCCATGACGCAGGCACTCCAGAGGTCACGCCAGAGCAACTCGTCGGAAAGGAATGTGTACGATTCCAAGGTCTGCGTGTCGCGTACCTTGCGGTAGACACGGACTCTCGCTTGGGTGCTCTGGAGGAGCCCTCAGATGTTCCTCCGGGCCTGAGGCAGGGCGACTATTTGGTACTCAACCGCATTGCCAGTTTGAAAGAAGATGCTGGAAAGGGGATGTAAAAGGGTTGATTTGTTCAGTTATGATACGACAGGTTTAGATCATTAAAGCTATGTAGTAGTCGGATTTCAGTGCACTCACGAGCATACTCAGATTATAGATCTCGCTGCGAGCACTCAATACAACGTTGCGCTAAATAGATAAAACGATTACAGCTTGGCTTGGCTAGTACATCATGTTGCTACCAAGGCATGGAGGTTGTAGATCTCTTTGCGCACCACATAGTAGATGTCGGAAACGTTACCTTCCAACTCCACTCTCCCTCGACCTGTCTTTCGGACGGCAACTGTGTCTTGTAAGGAACTAGCGGATTGATCCCGCCTCGCCCCAGCGCCACAAATTAGTACACCTTCACCAACCAATTCAGCCTGAACACCAATTGATGCTAGTCGGCTTTTGAGCGCAGTCAGCTTGAGTTCCCCTATCATTGTCGACTGCGGTAAAATCTGGATGGGTCGAGAACCTAGTATTCGTGAGGCACGTAGGATTCTTGCATCTGGCGTTGGGATCGCTGGCCCCGAGGGTTCCAAAATGGGAATAGTAGAGCTGAAATGGCTTCGCAACGCGTCCGGTTACATAGCCCACTTCGTTGTCTTCGAACTACCAAACACTTATTCACATGGACTCGAAATTGGAAGAATAAACTTACCCTTGACATTTTTATAGTGCTCAATAGTTCATCGCTCAAGGATATCGAGAAACTGTTCGTGTGTTGTCCGATCTGCACCATTTCTCCGACAGAAGGTGCGTATATATCTCTCGTCATGGACCGAATGTTCGCACAACTGTCAATGAGAGCGTCGGCAGCGGCAGCGTGGGCATGGACGATAATCTACACAAGTACAATTAGCATAGAAAACGCCATATCGACACAATTACTGACCATCTTTCTGGGATTGACTTGGGGCACGATCATCTTCACCGCGCGACCATCGTTAAGACCTTCCATGTCAACAAAGAGAAGTCGACAAGCAAGTTGTATCTCAACCTCTGAAGTGACGAACTTCGAAGGAGGTTCACGAGGGGCCTTACATTAGGTTGATCAGTTAAGCGATCATTCATTCCACCTAAAGAAAGTTACCTCAGTTTCGCCCTCAGCCTGGTTTCGTCTTGCCTCCCTGGTTGTGTCATCGTCTGCTTCATTTTCCAACACTTTACCTTTCCTGAGCCACATGCCAACATCAATAGTTTCGCCATACTCGTCCACCCTCCGTTTCTTCTCAACATAGGGGAACATACGGAAGCGGTGAGTCTGGCCACCAGCGCTCTTGAAGAATGATGTTGCTTTGGAGACATTTCCCTTAAGGTAAATGTCGAAGGAGAGCAGCTGTTTCGTTAATCCCTCATCAATGTCGAGCCCCCAGTCAGCATCGTCCTCATTTTTGGAAATTTTCCGTTTTCGCCGCGAACCATTTACAGGATTGGAGGTTTCTTCAATATCCATTTCACTTTCATCCAATGCGCGTTCAACCTCGTCTTCTTCATCTGAGTCTGAGTCTGAATCTTCGTCGCTCTCGTCTTCGTCCGCTTCTAGGATGCGTTGATTACGGGCCATAGACGCTTGATGAGCAGCTTCCCTGTCCTTTGCGGCCTTCTCCTTTGCAAGGAAGGCTTCCAGCTCTGCACCTTGAAGGGGAACCTTGGAGTTTATCTAGATGCAAATAGATCAGAAATGTACCATGTAGGTACAAACAATGCAAGCTACCTTCAGAGTCATTGCGCCATCCATCATGATGTTGCTACCAATTCTGCCCTTGTCCCACTTGTCATCACCTCTCTGAGAGTTATTCCATTTGTCAAAAAGGATACGCCCCAGTGTGCCCTCTTCGCCGCGACTAGTCAAGAGAACGACGTTGTCTGGAACCGCGGCGAAGTCAGAGAATAGTAGTCGTGATGGTCCATGTGAAAGTGAGGCAGGGACAGCAAGGATCAACTTCGGCTCCTTGGACGAGTAAGTTTGCAGAAGGGATTGAGGACTGGGGAAAAACTCCAAAAACCTGCACAGGGTAATTTTAGTTCACCACCTTCTACTTTTAAGTTTCACTTACCTGAAGCGCAATGCAAATGCCCCCAGCGCCTCTTCGTCTGCATCATCATCTCCACGTCTCCTCCTAGTACCTCCCGTTCTTCCGCTTCCGTCAACACCGACGTCTTCTTTACTCACTGTCCCCCCAAGCCACTCCATCATACTTCGGACGAAGGTCAGCATTTCACGCCCGTTACGTGACAACAGACATATGGGAAAGCGAAAATCGGCATATTTCCAATGCTGATCAAGTAACACGAGGAGCTCCAGAAGACGAGTACTCGAGTCACAAGGAAGTAAAAGGGAGGAACGTGACGACAGCGTTGCACTTATAGCATCTGTCCACCAAAGATATCAGCACGGGCCTATTAAAGTTAGATGAACGTTCGCACCTATCAAAGCAGCGTCGCGGTCCTTCCTTCTACTCGTGACGACGTTCACCCGGTCAGCATCTGTGATGAAGAGATCTGGTCGGGCAAGGGGTTCGAAGACACCACCTGCTGCGGGACGGTAGAGGACAGTGCCATCTATATGTCGTTCGCGCATGTGATTCAAGTTCACAGCATAGACAATCGTTCCAGCAGAAGGCGATCTTATTTTCCATATGGTTCCACCCAACGTGTGCCCAGCTGAGAATGGCGTGATGGTCAGACCTTGACACTTTCCTGAATGTTGGGCATATCAATATTCCGTTCATGATTGGTTCAGGTTAAATGTTACCTTGTAGATGGGTAGGCTGGGAATACCTTAGAGTATTCACCGCGTCAAATGCTTCGTGTACCTCTTGAACGGTAGCGACAAACTTCTTGGGCTCGTTCTTCAACTCTGGCGAACGTGGCTCCAGGCTCTCTGTCCCTTCGGCAATTGCAGACTCATCGTTTTCCTCCTCCACAACGTCAACTTCTTGTTCATCTCGAATTCCTTCCACATCTTCCATCGTTGCGATGCGAGCCATTGCCTGGACTGGAAGTGTGGTATAGCAGGGGGCTCGGAGATCCCAGTGAGAGTATGCATAGGCGTACAACCCCGCATGTGCCAGGTCACCATGGGAGAGCAGGACCAAGTCAATATCTGGAGCATATCTGCTAGCGTTAGATCGCGTATGTTACCTTTTAGCCCACTCACTTTCTCACTATGCGACAGTACTCTTGCCAGGGATAAGTCACTCCATCTCCCGACTCAGATTGTAACGTTTCAATATTCTCGGGGTTCCAGTCAGGTGATCCACAATCGAGGAGAATACGAATATCGTCAACCTGCAGCAGATACGCAAGAGGAACAGTGCTAGATGACCGGGCGGAACCAGAAAGAGGCGTGAATGTAATCATTTGGTATTAAATCCGATGGCAGACTTGTTAGGCTGCCGAACTCTTGCAAAAAGAAAGACAGCGCGTCTGGTGAAGCTTGTGTGAAAGTGGTTGACCGAAAAGGAAGTTCTGTGAGCGTTTGTTTGTTTCTAAAGACAACGTCCAAACAACCAAGTTATGACATGGCGGCTCACACTTGTGCAACACCGATGGGCCCTGCGACCGTGACCAGACCGATCGGAGGCTCTATCAGTCCCGCCACGGTCGCACTCGAGCCCAGCGAACTAAGTAGTCGTTGTTTGGACGTTCATCAGTTGGCATCAAGCCAAAGCTCAGGTATCGGCAGCTCATCTGCAGGTTCAATTAATCTGTACAAATTTCTCTTCAAAGAGTTTGGTTGCCAAAACCAACCTATATGTTCTGCCAGCACCAGTCGGTGTATACTGACAGACTAGCGGTTTTCCAGAAGGTCGAAGGTCGTTCGCCGTGTTTTGCAGGTGCTCGGGATCTCTGTCCTCTTGTCTATATGTACCTGACGCGCTGTTGAGACTGCTCCGTCGACCTCCACATTCCCATCAGCAATGGAAGGATGCCACCAAAGCTCAGTTCCGCTCATGTCAGCTTGGTACCCCTAACGTCATTGGGAATCTGAGTCGACGATGAATCTTCAGAGTCTCGTGGTCTAGCGCAGTACAAGTAAGTAACGAGTTAGACGCATCCTCTCACGTCTGCCCCGTACACTCTGGCTTGCTCTTCGACCGGTCGTGACAGCTGCTAGTGACATTCTCAGCAACATGCCGTATAGCACTTCTAGTGCGTTGAACCGTCTTTTCTGACCGTGCATTCATTTATGTGTCTCTAGTCGTCATAAAGACTCTCTATCCTCATGGAAATATGAAGTTAAAGGATGGGGATAGAAAAGAAGACGCCACCGATGTCATTTTCTTTCACGAGTGCGTCTCATTACGGTCAACATTATCCCTCATTGATTTATTCCAGAGCGTTTCACACCGTCAAACCCCTTTCTTCTGGGCACAAGCAACACCGTAGAATCTATCCAAGCATTGTAAGGGTGAGTCACCAGGCCCTTTATCGACCATGATCAGTACGAATACTCATATACCTGCTCTACCTTGGACCGATGTTGTCCCTGTGTGCGTCACACTTCATTCATGCAACCAGGCAGCAGACTTCTTGACCCAATGGTTCGGAACCAACGACATTAGACTCGTTATTGGAGGTTAACAGTGGTGGCAAGTTCGTGGTCTAGACGGTATCGATGCCGAGTGGATCATTGAGAAGTGCACTTGCCGTCCGAAAGTGTTCACATAGATGCCGGGAGGATGTACAGTGAAGAGGAGAAACTTACAAAACATATGAAGGAGTTAGAGACCACGATGGTAAGTTTATCGGATTTTGCACATCCCCTGACTGAAGTTTTACATTCACGGAGGCGGTACATCTAGCACGTAAAGCAGCCAGTCCGGCTGAGTACCCTGTACTAAAGGGTGTCATTAGAGACGGATTGCGGCAGAAAGAGAATTTACTGCGACCACCAAAGTCCATCTCCAGGTGTATCATGGTACGTTGCTACTTTCCCTTTGGGACCCTGTTGAAACAAAGGCTGCAGGAATGTGTCGTGTGTTGACAGTCTTCAGCTTCACGAACAATGTAAGATAGCTATGATCTCCTGTCTCAATTGCTGACGGGTTGAATAGGCAAAATATGTTTACCGTTCTTCTGCTGAATTTGTGAAACATGTCACCCAACATTCGCGGAGCACCTTGACAAAAATCCGCTCCCTGAATTGCATTGATCATCCAGGGAACACAAGCCTAAGCCCCATCCCGTTGACACCGACAAGGCTTGGCCCTGAGGCACCGTTGAACGCCATGAATGATCGTTCGGCGAGGAGTTACTCGGCGGCTTTCCTATCTCCTAAAACGCTCATTCTTGACAGGGAGACATATTCAATGAGTTGATGATTCGCAAGCGTGTGGATTTCCATGGTCAAGTTTGAGACTGTTTTCAAGTGGCTAGAAGGCCAAGAGGAGTGGGGCGGACGTTTCAAGTACTGCGGAACTAAGGTAATCAAGAAGAGGAAGGTTTTCGAAGCTTCTGAAAACGGGGCTAATTAAGAGGATAGAAGATGGAGGTCGTTAGACCTAGGGACGAACGTCTACCACCTGCTGCGATTACTGCAAGACTAGACACGGTGAGTGGGCTTTGTTACATTTCAGGTGTTTACTGAGCGTCTACAGCAAGAGCTTTGCTGAAGAACATTTACCACACGGCTCCAGCAACACGCGGGACTATTCCGAGACTGAAAACAGTGGACGTTGTCCGTGCGGCATTTGATCCTAGTCGGTCGGTTTCAGAGCAGCAGGTGCGGTATGCGACACAATCACAATCACGGTCTGAGAATGTGCCAGTCCATTGTGAGGTAAGATGACATGCGGTTTCCCGCATGTCAGTACACTAATGAACCTGCAGCTACTTCACGCGTAAGAGTTCCACGAAAGGTGTGGACGACACGCGACGCGTAGGAAATGCCCTTACGAAGGCTGGAGATAAGGCTGCTACTACTTGAAGTCGGATACAGTAGGCAGTGGAAAGGAGTCCAGGGTTTGATTATCAGTAATCATTAAAATCGGACGCATGGACTCGTATGTAAAGATCTATCGAACCCAGAGGATCAACACATGTTTCATTAACGTACTCAGTTCCCCGTTAGAAAGGTACTTACGGCGAGGCGTGGGAAGCGATTGGCTTAAGTAAGCGCCATGTGTTTGTCGCACTTTTAACCCTGCGCCCTTTCATCTGGACCATCACCCCATCCTCGCCTCTCGTCCAATCCAGTAAGCTTTTTCGACGCGTCTTTCCGTGTCTCATGATACTGATGTGCAATCGCCCTACTTTTCTAGCCCAGATTTTCCAGAAATAATGCGTGAAGTCATCTCTGTCCATGTCGGCCAAGCCGGCGTTCAAATCGGAAATGCGTGTTGTAAGTATCCCGCCACCTTCATCATGTGCAATCAACCACTTTTGTTATTTTCATCTGAACATTCAACGCGTGCTAGGCGCATGCAATTGGCCGAGATCTGGTCCCATTAGGTTCTGATTGTTGATTATTTATCTTTATTACAGGGGAGTTGTACACTGTGGAACACGGTCTCAGTGTGATTATCTTTCCTCGGGATTCCGCGAACAATTTACTTAGATTTTTATTGTAGCCTGACGGTCGTCTGGTCGAAGGATCCCCTTCTGCTAATGATGATGGCTTCAGCACTTTCTTCTCGGAGACGTCCTCGGGCAAGCACGTCCCGCGGTCACTCTACATTGATCTGGAGCCGAATGTGATCGATGAGGTCAGAACGGGCACTTACAGGAGTCTCTTCCACCCAGAGACCCTCGTCACTGGCAAGGAAGATGCCGCCAGCAACTGTAAGTCCTTCATCAGTATTGATTTAAAATGCAGTTCTATATTTGGTGTGCCCTAGACGCCCGTGGTCACTACACTATCGGCAAGGAACAAATCGATGTAGTAATGGACAAGGTTCGCCGTCTTGCAGACAACTGCAACGGTCTGCAAGGGTTCTTCGTTTTCCACTCCTTCGGTGGTGGAACGGGCTCCGGTTTTGGTGCTCTTATCTTGGAGCGTCTGTCAACCGACTACGGAAAAAAGTCAAAGCTTGAGTTCAGCGTGTACCCCGCTCCAACCATGGCTAACTCTGTGGTTGAACCTTACAACTCGGTGTTGACGACGCACACTACCCTTGAGCACTCCGATTGTTCATTCATGGTGAGTTTACGTAGTTCTTATAGTACAATTTCTTACTGTGGATTTGCAGGTGGACAACGAGGCAATTTACGACATCTGCAAGAAGAACCTCAATATCACGTCTCCTGGCTTCACGAACCTGAACCGATTGATCGCACAAGTTGTTTCGTCCATAACAGCGTCTCTACGCTTTGATGGGTCATTGAACGTTGATTTGAACGAGTTCCAGACCAATCTTGTTCCGTGAGTTCAATCCCTCCTAATACCATGCCCTCCGAATTTAATTTTGGCTAGTTTCCCGCGTATTCATTTCCCTCTTGCTACCTTCGCACCCATCATTTCAGCAGAGAAGGCACACCATGAGCAGAACTCTGTTGCTGATATGACCTTCTCGTGCTTTGAGACGGGTAGCCAAATGGTGAAGTGTGATCCCCGAGAGGGCAAATACAGTAAGAGTTTATCTTAATTGCGGGTCGTATGTTACTCATGCAGCCACAGTGGCCTGTGCTCTCCTCTACCGTGGCGATGTCGTGCCTAAGGACGTCAACGCAGCTGTCAGTGTCATCAAGACAAGGCGTACGATTCAATTTGTTGACTGGTGTCCCACTGGTTTCAAACTTGGTATCTGCAATGAGCCACCTGCTCACATTCCTGGTGGCGACCTTGCCAAAGTCTCTCGTAGCATGTGCATGTTGTCAAACACGACTGCGATTTCAACAGCATGGAGTCGTCTCGACCACAAGTTCGACCTTCTGTACTCAAAACGCGCCTTTGTTCACTGGTATGTTGGTGAAGGTATGGAGGAGGGTGAGTTTTCGGAAGCTCGCGAGGACCTCGCTGCCCTCGAAAAAGACTATGAGGAAGTCGGTATTGACTCTGCTGATGTTGAGGAAGCTGGCGAGTACTAAATACACGTAATCCCTCTTTTATCCTGGTTCTCGGAAGTTCGTTCTCGCATAATTTCTTTACTACTGCCATCATGATTTACGTATACCGTCCATTATATCCCGCTTGTCCTTGAGGTTTTACGCATTTTACCTGGAACATGAATCACGAATCACATTTTCTGTCTATTCGGACCGTCTAAAGACTAGAAGTCTGGAAGTGTCAAAAGGCCGGACGATGGTCCGTGTAATCTCCATAATATTTCCAAATTGAGACATTCTTGCAAGAGAAATTTTGATAACTTGAAGCGGAAACATTTTGAGTGACTTCTGTTCCCTCCCTTCACGACAAACCGGTAGTACCAGTTCATTAGCTCTTTTAACGATTCATCATGCGCGAAGTCATCTCTCTTCATGTTGGTCAAGCTGGTGTTCAGATTGGCAATGCCTGCTGTGAGTGCCCTTTGCGCGTAATAAGGATCATTCTAACTTTCAACCAGGGGAGCTGTACACCCTAGAACACGGCTTGAGCGTGCGTTCGCGACATTTTCCGAGTACACCTTTATCTGACATTTTAATGCACAGCCCGACGGTCGCGTCCTTGATGAGGCCCACAAAACTGACGCAGGGTTCTCCACGTTCTTCTCCGAGACTGGTTCAGGGAAACACGTTCCTCGCTCTCTCTACATTGATTTGGAACCTGGAGCCATCGATGAAGTTAAGACAGGTCCTTACAGGTCTCTTTTCCACCCCGAGACCATGATCACGGGCAAGGAGGATGCAGCAAACAATTGTAGGTCGCGGACTTTTATGTCATGATCGGCAGCTCATAGCTTCGCGCCTTCTAGATGCTCGTGGTCATTACACAGTCGGAAAGGAGTTGATTGATCCAGTCATGGATAAGATTCGTCGCCTGGCCGATAACTGCTCAGGATTGCAAGGATTCTTCGTATTTCACTCGTTTGGTGGAGGTACTGGATCTGGTTTCGGTGCCCTCCTTTTGGAACGTCTTTCTACGGATTATGGAAAAAAGTCAAAACTTGAGTTCTGCGTTTACCCTGCACCTCAATTGTCGAGTTCGATAGTTGAGCCCTACAACTCAATTCTGACCACCCATACGACTCTTGAACATTCCGATTGTTCGTTCATGGTTCGTTTTCTCATTCATCTTCTGTGTTGCTGTATTCACCGGATTGTGCAGGTTGACAACGAGGCTATCTATGATATCTGCAAGAAGAATCTTGGTGTCTCTCAGCCCGGCTTCACCAACCTTAACCGCTTGATCGCTCAAGTCGTCTCTTCGATCACTGCCTCGCTTCGCTTCGATGGTTCATTAAACGTTGACCTCAACGAGTTCCAAACCAACCTTGTTCCGTGAGTATCATCGCGTTTTCCTGTCATAAACAAGTTGTTGAACAGTTACAGATTCCCTCGTATCCACTTCCCCTTAGCAACATATGCCCCACTTTTGTCCGCTGAGAAGGCCACTCATGAGCAAAACTCTGTCAATGAGATGACCTTCTCTTGCTTTGAGACTGGAAACCAGATGGTATAATCGCATCGTATTTCAAGTCATAATTTGCTCACGTGATTTCAGGTGAAATGCGACCCCAAAGATGGAAAATACAGTAAGTGTGTCAGGGCTCTTCCATGCACTTGGCTCATCTTTGAACAGTGGCTTGCGCTCTACTTTACCGTGGTGATGTTGTGCCGAAGGACGTTCAGGCTGCTGTGGCCAGCATCAAAACCAAGCGAACCATCCAGTTCGTCGATTGGTGCCCGACCGGCTTCAAGGTCTGTACCTTGCCTTGTTTTGACAAGCTCGACTGATGAGCTCCCTTAGCTGGGCATTTGCAACGAGCCTGCTGCTACGATCCCCGGTGGTGACCTTGCCAAAAATACCCGCAGTCTTTGTATGCTTTCAAAGTGGGAATATTTGCTACATCGATTAGACTGTTACTGAGGCTCTTTCGTATAGCACGACGGCCATCTCTGTTGCTTGGAGTCGGCTAGGTGATTGCTTCAATAATCTTTACCCAGAGTAGAACACTGACAACGGTTTTCAGACTACAAATTTGATTTGATGTATTCCAAGCGTGCGTTCGTTCACTGGTATGTTGGTGAGGGTATGGAGGAGGTATGTATGCCATTCGATGTGTCTTTCGCTTGTTCACACTTTGTTGCAGGGCGAGTTTTCCGAGGCCCGTGAGGATTTGGCAGCACTGGAGAAGGATTACGAAGAGGTTGGTACAGACTCTGCAGATGCTGAAGAGGAAGGTGAATATTAGATGGACGTCTATTGTTCTAGGAAAGGCGACCGCATATTCTTGTTCGTAATCGTTTCACTTTTCTTGTTGCATTTTTTCGCTCGCTTTCGCCCGTCTGCCTGATATTCTTTCCGTCCTCTATCTTGGACGTCCTTCCATCCAATATAACATATCATCATATTTGCTATTTGGATCAGTTCAGCTCGCATCTTTGATTGTACATGAATTTCTACATGGGTGGAACAGAATGCAAGTCCCCCGTGTGAATGGTTTGAGAAGGTCAAGGTAATGTTGATCATCGGGCCAGGGAAAGCACCCGAAGATGGGAGCCTACATCAGACTTAGAGCCTGGACAGCTGCCGTTTATTTCGCAGTTTATTTCGCAGTTTATTTCATTACCACAACATGCACAAATAAATGTGACAAGCCACCGTCCAGCGTTACGAACCAAATTGGATACATTGCGCGACCTCACGCCACACGGTGTCAAAACCTTCGTGCTCGCTGTAGGCAACAGCGAGCTCAAGTATTCTACCATTTCAATAAAAAATTTGTACATTCTCATGGACTAAATCATTCAGCATGTATTTATTACAGTGAACAAAATAGATAGTATCTGATGGCCAATAATGAACAGTTTGGAGTAGCGAAGCACGAAGGCTGTGAATTGGACCTTGTTGTTGGTCGCAGTTGATCGTGATGACAGCGCTGCCCAGCGCCGCCGCAAGCCAATCTCATGGACATGTCACGAATGCGTCACTCATTGTCACCGCAAGTCACACATTGCCACGCCACATACAGAAACAAACTGAGAAATAAACTCGAAATAAACGGCAGCTGTCCAGGCTCTTAAGGTATACATCGTAGTTTGAAACTTTACCATCACGAGACCTGGTTGCAGTGATTATGCGAGACCATGTGACGGCTTGCTGTCATTACAGAATGTATTCTTCTCTGACTTACCTGTAGAGTAGAGCGTAAATTATCCACTCAAAACTCGTTCAAGAATTCATAGATGTTCTGATTGCATGACATGAAACATTCACCCAGCATTACTACAGGGACTGATGTGCATGATAGGATGTTAGCATTACATTGACCATCCGTCGAGTTTGGCACAAAAAAAATCAGCAGGTAGCTAAATGTAATTTTGATGACTTGTGTTCCAGCATTGTACTAGCGAGAGCAATATCGGAGTCGGGGACTTGATGCACAAACACGGTCACGATCGCAGTATAGTTTGAAAATTTATCATCTGTTGCAGGGAATACACGTTGAGCTAACTGCTACTCGTCTTTGGATCCTGGCGGTGTAGGTCGACGCGCTCCAAGCGCCATCGCGGAGGCATCCTCAGTCTGCCATGAGACCAGCACGAGTAGTAGCACAAGAACGCCTTGCACCAATGCACGTCTGGGAGCGAATCAATGTCAGACGACTCGTGCGACGGGTCGTTTGCCGTCGTGCTCTGTGTCGCGCCAGGGTGCTCTTTAGGCGGATGTCGGGTGTCATCGACTTTCTTGTATTCCGGCAAATTGGCAGCAGCAAGACGCTGTAGGGCATCAATTAGATGTGATATGAGGGGTGAGAAGAACCACGTTACAGTGAATTTGCGTCCGGCTGCGACTTCAACGACTGGTGGCCCTTCTTGGCTGGGCTTTGACCTACGGAAGGAAAGGTGCTGCTGCAGGAACTGCTTGACTCCGTTCGAGTGGTGTAGACGTTCCTCTTCTGGCCGTGCTTGCTGTGACTGCCTGCGAAACGGGAGACGATTAACGAGGTCCTTGATGCGCGAGTGCCGTGCGGTATCCTGTGAACCTCCATACGCGGATCGGCGGGGAGGATAAGTTCTTTCGACCTGAATACGCACTCAGTCATGCATTGAGTTGATTCAAAGTGAGGACTGACATCATCAAAGAACCCGCGCGGGAGTCCAGCGCGCGACTTTGAACGCGGGACGGTCTCCTGCAGGAGTGAAATTAAGGGCGGTACAAAAAGACGAATAGGGACACTGAAGACATACAATTAGTATGGATGGACCAGCGCGGCGGCGGTCATCCTGTATGTCACCGATAGTCAGTATATGCACATCTATATGTGAGAGTTGAAGGAACCTTGTGTGGTGGCTGTATGACAAGTTAGCATGAACATGACATGGCCGGAGGACTTGCTCACCTGTTTTGACTCCTCTGAATCGCTCTGAGGAACCGTCCATACACGAGCAAGGTTGTCGTGACAGCCAGTCACGATAAACTGACTATCGTCGGAAAAAGCCACGCAGTACACGACGTCAGGGTGCTCCAATGGCTCGCCGATAGCTTCGAACGTAGTCAGGTCAAAGAACCGCGTCGTGCTGTCGGCTGACGTGCTGGCAACTTTGGTGCCATCGGGAGCAATGGCCAGTGATTGGATGAGGTCAGTGTGCGCCTCGAACTGTTTGATGATGTCTCCGGTCGCAGCATCTGAGATTCGGATATCATGAATGTTTCCACTGACCAGACGGAGGCCATCTGGAGTGAACGCGATCCCCACTGCCTGCTGTTCTATCTTGAGGAGCTCTTCTCCGTTCGATACTTTCCAGACGATGATATGCTCCCCAGTTCCAGCTGCAAGTCTACTCCCATCGGGGGAGTATGACACCGACCACGCAGTAGTGCCCACGTGGAATGGTCCGAGGACTGTTTTTCCTGTCTTCCTCAGCCACACACGTATCGTTTTGTCGTCTGAAGCACTTGCAAACGTCTCGCTGTCCGGTGAAAATACGATGCCCGAAACGTTCTCCTCATGCCCCTTGAACGAGACGGGCACGCATTTCTTTGTCTCCACTTCCCAGACAAAGATGCTTCCGTCCCACCCCCCGCTCACAATCCAGCGCCCATCAGGGGACGCTGCAACCGTCCAGACTCCGTCGTCGTGACCCAACAAGGGCTTCCCAACCTGTTGCCCCTTCTCTGAATCCCACAGCCGAAGACTTTTGTCATGCGAGGCAGTGACGAGGAGACGGGTACCAGGGATGACAGCTACACTGTATACCCATTCTTCATGACCCTCGAGCGTCATTCGAGCGCGAGGTTTTTCTTGTCTAGTTGGCGGGATAGGCGCTTGGAAGGATGCCTCGTCTTCGTGAATGCGAGAAGTCATCGAATCTTTCTCGGTCAGGGATCAGCGCGGGAGAGTTCATGTATGCCACTGGCTGGTGCCTTGCTATAGACGCGTGGGTCTCGTTAACGAACTTTCGTAACTTCAGTCTAGTCTCCGAATCCACTCTGCTGCCTCTCGACAGATCCAAGTCGTTCCCGATGGTGCTCTTGAGAGTGAGAAGATTGTTTTGCTCGCATAGTAGTGCTTCTCTAAAACACTATCCCCCAGGGGCATAGCTCCCGCTGCCTTGTGTATTTTTGCTTCATGGGGTGATGATTAGAGCGCTCTAGTGTGTCAACTACATTCATCTAATCTATGTTGACAACGACATCTACGCCACCATTTGCCCCCATCTTCATTGACACACTACAACGACAAATGTGAATACTTAGTCGATACTCAACAGTTTTCGCGCACCTAGACAAATTCTCAACTAAATATGTTGGGCGTCTGGCTTCCATCTGTTCCTTGGTGTGTGATGTGATCAATCCAATCACAGCACATCCAGCGGCAAGACCACTTGCGACACCTGCCGGAGCATCTTCTACAACTAGACCTATGGGACGGGTCAGTGCCCTAAAACATTGTTCAGACACAACAACTAACAATTTCCCGGCAGAACTCCACATTTTTGTGCGCCGAGGAGATACGGATCAGGACTGGTGAAGGTGGTGAGTGAATTCTGAATGGTTCAAAGTGTGATACGATTCCGTACGAAGGCTTCCCCTGTTTGACATCTTCAGCAGTCACAAAGGCATCTGGAGTCGAGATTCCAGCAATCTCTAGAGCAGCTGATGCATATGTACGGGTCGCAGACGTAACAATGGCCCAACATGGCTTGGGATTGTTCTTTCCGGGGAGAAGCTTTATAGGGTTATGATCAGCAATCAAGAACCACTGACAAGGCAATATAATATGAGGCAATTCACCTCATCTATGACGGAACGAACTCCAGGCAAAATGGTGATACCCTTTCTGCCATTCGCTTTGGATGAAGTTACGATGGCCTTTTCGAACCGTTCAGCCTCGCTCTGTCGGAAGACTCATCAGTATCACGCGTGCATCCACAGAAGAATTGCCCACCTCGAGGTCTGCTTCACATGTAAGCCCGCAGTATTTCCTCAGATTGTCGACAGTCCTAACACCATGCGAACCTATTGTGAAGAGAAGCGACTAAGTCGCATGTAATCGGACGATCCTACCCAAGAGCCACTCACTGCTCAGAATCTTTTGAACATCCAGGCCGGGATACGTCTCAGCAAACGTCTCCCAAGCTCCGATTATGCCTGCTGTCGAATCTACCAGTGTGCCGTCCATATCAAACAAGCTGCAGATATTATTCAAGTTTCTCTCTTGGACAGTTTGACTTGACTTACACCGCATCAACATGGAAGGTGATAGCACCCATCTTTCCTGGTTGAAGTATAGAGTCCAGGAGGTGTCAACGTTCGTTGTTAGCGTGCTTCATGCTGCCGATTTACTGTATTACCACAGATTACCACCCTAGAATATTGACCCCAAAATTGGTAGTGTGCCATGGGTCCTCGGCCGACCCTACCGTGGGGGAGATAAAATCGTTTTGTCGCGTTTTGTGTCTTTTTTTGGGCACACATTATTGTTGCATTATTACGTCGTGTGTGTAGCATGGAACTAATCATCAGATGAGTCATGAACCACATCCAAAGATGTTTGCTCCGAAATGACCTTGACTTCCTGACCTCGGTCTAGCATTCAGATTCTCATTTGCTAAGTTCTTCTGCAAGACAGGAATCACATGATAAGACTGCTCGCGGCGCAGGAGTAATAAGGTGTTCGAGTGCGGGCTATTGGCCATAGGTAATGCGGGAGCGTTTGGATTGAAAAACGGATGTCACACATACGATTTCTGTCTGTGAACGTACAGTACGTCCAATATGGATGTACTTGAGCATTCTACCGCGTGTTGTTTGCATCAGAGGCTGTTGCCAAACAACGCCAGCCTAGACCCCGAATTAGGACAGCATCCTCTCAGCAGTCGCAGTTGCAACCATGGCTCCTCAAAGGCGTCCACAATATACCCAAGAAAACATCGAGCAGCAGTTGCAGCAAATACATCTTCTTGATCCGTCCTCATCTTCCGAGAACCTTGAACAACTCGGACCTATCATCAAGCAGATTCACGCGAACCGCCAGCAGGAAGTATACCTGCGCAATCTTCAGGCTCTCATTGCAACAAAGGACAGCGAGATAGAGCAAATTTGCACAGACAACTATCAAGAATTCATTTCCTCCGCTTCGACTCTTTTCACAGTCAAGTCATATACTACCAACCTTAGGGAAAAGATTACAACTTTGGACGCCAGTGTATCCCAGGTCGGTCGAAGCTTAGTGGAGAAGAAAAGATCATTGCTACAGTCTAAAAAGACGGCCGCTAACCTTGATGAAGCAATTGATACCCTGCAAGCTTGTCTGAAAGTCTTAGACGTGGTGAATCGAATCGGTGAATTGATCAAGGAGGGGAAAGTATTGGAGTGCCCTGCGGGTATGTAACATCCACCCCTATCGTTCGTCAAGTGTCTAAAAGGAGCCAATAGTCACTGGAAGACATACAGAGTCTGCCATCCAATTCGCTGTCCCAGACACCATTCTACCAACATCTCCTGTCATCTCTGCCTTCGCTACGGATCCAAATCCAGAATGCAGTGACAGCCTCGATGAAGCAGTGGTTACTGGAAATCCGAAACGTTAGCGGGCTAGTTGGCAAATTAGCATTGGAAGTAATGGACCTCCGGACGCGCAAGTGGAGATCACGTCGAGAGAAAGACCCAATGCTGAGGTTGAGCCGTGTTGGAAGCGCAGTGGAAATGGTGACTCAAGAGCGGTCGGACAGTGAGTTCTCTCCTTACCTACATATAGTTGGTCAATCCTCAATATTTAATGTCAGCCAATGTTCTCGACAGCGAGAAATTAAAGGTTGATTTCACGCCGCTCTACCAGTGCATACATATCTACACGACTTTGGATTCAATTGACAACCTGCGAAGATCTTATCAAGCAGATCGTAAAGTGCGGCAGTGTTCTGCTTTCTCTTCCCACCAACTCAATCTAAATCTAGGCACAATCAGACCTTATTTTACCGGATCCACTTCCGCTTGCCTCCCTTGTCAGCTTAACTCAGGAAATATGCGGATTTTTTATCATAGAATCGCATGTTCTTGAGACAACTGGCAACTTCCGCTCTGAGAGGGAGGTCGAAGAGTTATGGGAAGCGCTAGTGTCGCGTCTTTCGTCAGCCATTAACGCGTCTTTGGCAAATGAGACCTGACCCAGATTCGTTCTTGAGGGTCAAGGAGTGTCTCATTGGATTCGTCACGACGCTGGAGGTATGCTTCTATGTCAAGTACAAAAGACGCAAAAGTGACCGCCTTGCTAGTCCTACTCATATGCCACTCAGTCACTGCATTCACTCGTCCTTATGTTGTTCGAGAAATATGCCGGTCTTCTGGAAGGCCAGTTCAGTCGTAGGTTTGATGATGTAAGTGATCCAGGGTTGTTCTTTTGTCGGTTCCGCTGAAAGTTTACAAAAATCCAGATCATCCTCCAAGACGATCATCTCCCCATGCAAGTTACGACATCGTCAGAAAGAGATTCTGTGCTTGCAGTTGTATGGTTGGGCCCGTCAGAGCAAGAGGCTCTTGCAAAGTATGTCATCAGATCCTTCTGGAAATAAGCCGCTCAGGGGTTCCCGTAGGAGCGCACTCCCTCTTAGTCTGCCATGGTCACAGGGTTTCTACCAGTGCTGCGAAGATGTACTATTTTGTTGTTTCCATTTCGTTTTTGAGCTGACTTGTAAATATACACTTGCAGATCCGAAATTTCATTCAAAAGTTTTATCACTTTGTTGATGGAGTGTCACAACATCATGGCAATATCGATGAACTTTTGAACAAGGTGAGCGCAGTGTGGACCATAACGTCGCGCAGCCAATCAAATTTCGTTGAACAGTCGCTGGACAAACTGCTTTCAAACCATATCAGCGAAAGCATTTGCAAGCGCCTAAGTAGCACATCAACGCTCACCCAAGTCGCTCAGATTGTCTCGAATCTCGAGCATTTTGAGGTTGCGTGTGCGGAACTAGAGCGATCACTGACGAGTCTCCGGTAAGGTGTTCGTCATAATCCATGCAATTTCCTCAAGCCCCTTCCGTCAGGTCAACACAACGGGGCGGTGCTATCCGGCTGTCCTCTTCGTCTTCTTTCGCCGACACTGTCACCCCTGCCCTCAACCGCGTGACGGGTCTTATCACTTCTAAACTGGATGACTTCTTTGATTTGGCCGAGTACGACTGGGCGCCGCAATCCCGCGACGATACACCCAGCATGTACTTGTACGAGCTTATCAACTGGCTCACAACAGTTGTGGACTCTCTGGTCATCGAAGAGGTGTACAAGGACGAGGCATACCGAGGAGCAGTTGGATATATCGCTGAGTGCTTAATGGTGAGCTGTTGGTTCGTCAGAATGCATCAGGCGCTCATGGCTTTTTGCAACCAGAACTTCATGGTTGGGCCTAACGTTCCAGCAATGAACGAGAACGCCATCTCAAATATTTTGGTGGATACAGACTTCCTGGAAGGGGAGTTCGCCCGTATTGGGAGGGGCCATCTTAACTCGGTTTTCGCTGAACTTCGCTCGGTAAACGTGTCCACCCTCCTTTCCGGCTTGGCTGACACTGCAAATCCTGCAGATGGTGTCAATCGTGTTAAATGACGCGGTACAAGACTATTTAGTACCGCAAGTCCGGCAGACAACGTATTCCGTTGTCCGACCGAAGAGACTCCAGACACTCCTTGAGAAACTATCCAGGCACGGGGCGAGTCGGCGTGACGCTCGATCGCGAGAAAGAGGGGAGAAACGGAGGAAGGAAGCGGACGCCGTTGGGAGGGTATTTCCTGGAGAGAACCGATGATGCTGTGATGTCGCATACCCTTTTTATTTGGACGTAATGATCCTTGCGGACCTTGCGGTTTGTTAGCTGTTTATATAACTTTCTGGATCACTCTTGAGAGTAGTGCATATCAACCTCTGGGGCTCAAAATTTACACAAAAACATAGAAGAACACCGGTAATTCAAGAGGGAGCGTAAAGCGGAGGTAGAGGAACAATAGTAGAAGGGCATTTAATTTTCGATATCGTAAGGATCGTTAGACAACGCGCGTGCAAGACCCCAATACGACAGAAAACCACATATCGCTTAAGACCGACGCTTAATGTTGGTTGCCAACCACTCCAGACCCTCGTACAGGCCATCACCGGAAGTGGCGCAAGCAGCCTAACGGCGTCTAGGGTCAGTGGATATGAAGATGAGAGAGATAAGCGACGGACCTGGATATACCATGTTCTCTGCCTAAGAGCTTGCAATCCAAGCTTGTCAGTGATCTCAGCTGCATTCATGGCGTTGGGGAGATCTTGCTTGTTTGCGAAAACAAGGAGGAGAGCATCCCGCAGTTCATCTTCGTTCAACATTCGCTGAAGTTCCTCACGAGCCTCCGACACACGTTCCCGATCGTTCGAGTCAACCACAAAGATGATACCCTGCGTGTTCTGGAAATCTGGGGAAATCCAATGAGTTCGAATATTGCCATAGATGAAAAGACAGCATACAGTGCCTCCAGAGAGGGCGGATCTTGTCTTGTCCTCCGACATCCCACACGGTGAAGGAGATGTTCTTATATTCGACGGTCTCGACATTGAATCCTTTAACATAGTTAGAGGTGGTTGTGTTTTGGGGAATTGAGCACAGCTTACCGATGGTCGGGATGGTAGTTACAATCTCGCCCAGCTTGAGCTTATACAAGATGGTGGTCTTACCAGCGGCGTCAAGACCAACCTAGATGAAAGTCAATAAACGACATCGTGACTTGCAATCATTTCCGACCATCAAAATTCCTGCACAATAGTACAACGTCAGTTTTTAGTCGATGTCGGGGATCGTGGTGTAGATGGTAAGGACTTACGCATCTCCTTCTTGCCAAAAAGACCGGCAAGGAGACGTGACACCGAGAGACCCATGTTGAGCTAGGAAGGACAAGGACGTTATTGAGTTGTAAACTGGAGGTTAAGAACAAGTTTGTCGTCGTGTGTGAACCACCCTTTTGAACTCCGCTCGGTGGCGGTTCTCCTTGGTAGGACTCGAGTTCCACGTCTACTTACCGGTTACATATCACATCACCTACCATTATTTAAACTAACTCAGCCTTGGCACGGCCCTTGAAGGCCACGCAAGGATACCCTTACATACGTTGACACTAGCCAAGACGAAACCTGATAACACTGCACCATAGTATTGCGAACATACTAGTAAACCTAATTTACTTTCCTCGTGCTACCAAACCACCTAGAAGCAGGCTTCACCTAATCTGCCAACGACCCTCCTTGAGATTGGTTGCCAACTATTCTAGACCTTCGTAAAAGGCCTTCATCTGAAATTGCGCAAGACACGATCACACGGACAAGTAATGCGCACCTGTATATATCACCTTCTCTGTCTGAATGTCTGCAAATCCAGTTTAACGGTGAGTTCACTGGCGCTCATGGCGCCAGGCAGGCCCTCAGTGAACAACGAACAAAACCGCGTCCCATAACCGCTCGTCGTTCATCAAGAAAGTAAACTTCCTCTTTCACTTATGCAATGCGATCGCGATCGTTGAAGTCGACTACAAAAATCACGGCCTGCGAATTGCCATAGTTAAGTTATTGAATGAGAATCCATTTGCACAATCGCACAGTGAACGCCCTACCACAATACTACCAGATATGAGGATCCATATTCTGGCCCATAAGGTAAACTCCATGTTCTTGTACTTGACAGTCATTACATCTTGCATCGATGCGATAAGCTGGGGTAGGTCGCGCTAACTCGTTTTCCTATTGTAGGAACGGTCGTAACGATCCCGCCGAGCTTGAGCTTGTAGAGGATCATTGTCTTCCCCGCTGCGTCGAGTCCAATCTATCCATTCCGTGAGTATCTGTCCCGACATCATATTACTCAGGACAATATCATCAGTCCTGTTAATCGACCCGTTTCGAATCTCGATCGAAACCTTGTGACAGGCACTTGTCTTTTATCGGGTGAGTAACCCTATAAAAATGAGAGAAATGGCAAGTCCCATGTTGAAGAGTTTCTGTGGGGATCTAACCATCCATGAGACGCCTTTATTGAGCATTCGAGAGTATTCGAGTCTTGCGACGCGTTCGACAGTGTTCAATTGAAAGTACGTAATCAGACGTAATTCTGGTAGACTGCTGCGCTTACGAGACGCTAACTCGTCGACCTTTGGCAGCTGTGGGGAGGAAATATTCAACGGCACATTGACTGTTTTCAACGCGTTGCTTTATGACTTACCGAGGCTCTCTCTAACTCTACATTTATGTAATGCGCAGCTTGCTTTCGTGTGATATGTTTGCCATGTATGTATGAGCAATCTCACAAGTGAATCGCCTTTCCAATGTTGTTCAAGTTCTTGCTCGACTTGTCGAGCGCCTCGAGCGGGGCAGTGGGGCATCTGGTTAATGACGACCCAGACGAGCTTTCAAGTGTAGGATTGACGGACTGACTTGTGCACAGATTCATGACGAGATTAGCTTTTATCACAGCCTCAGATTAAGATCTAGCGCTAATGGTCCACAGAACATTGGCGTGGCAGGTCTGAGTCCATGAAAATCATGGTGGCAAAAAGTACTATTTCAAGAGAGATTTAACGATGTGAGAGTGATGGAAAAACAGAATACAAAGTAAAGTTGAGCATGCGCGGAAAAACTTGATAATGCGTAGGAAGAACAGAATGATGCCGAAAGACCTGTTGTACAACAAGAGAAACAATGCACTACGTTCTACAGGAGTACGATTAGTGTGTCTAATGATCCCACTAGGAAGGTATTCAATCGAGTGGCTTGTGAATTAGCTTACTTTTCCAAGGTATGCCGCCATCTCAATTGAGCGACAACCCGGTTTCTTAAGTGCCTTGTAGGGCGTTGGTGACCTTCTGCCGCCATGAGAGGTAAATTCCGCAGGACGGGCTGGGAGCGTATCTACAGAGTTCAAAAAGAACTAATTGCTCTTGAAATCCAGCGTTGAGCCAAACTTGTTCGCGGGCTAATTCAGACCAGTGAGTCCCATCGTAGTCACTCAAAAATAGAGTGGAACCGACCTTGTCTGACTGTGTCTATGGCGTCGGTCGCGGCTATGCGTTTCGTGTACATGACTAGGAGAGGGATGTTCAGCTAGGCTGCTACTGAGGTGACCGGGAAGACAACTGACGGTATGCTGCGACTACTGCCGCACTCCGAGACAAACCTTGTAGGCAGTGTACCAACACGGTTCCTCGGGCTTGTATGGCTCGGTCAATGAACTGACACACTGCGGGCAAGTGTATGAGGAGATCTGCAGTGTCGACATCCTCTACAGGAATTCGGAGAAAGGTAATTCCACTTTCGGGCAGCTCAGCAGGGATGGGGTCGTTGCAAACGGAGACAATATGGGAAATGTGGCGCTCCGTTAACGACCGTGATGATCTTGCTGCATGGATACTGGATAAAGAAATAGAACATATAAGTCTAAACTATCCGGCGCTCCGGACCCATGTCATACTCACTTTCCAAGATACAGCTTGCCCTCGATGATGGTATCGACGTTCTTCCAGCCCATGTTGTTAGCTGATTTGTTGGAATATCTGCGAGAATGTCTCACTGAGGTTTTGCTCAAAGTCATCGTTGGTTTTGTACCTCCTCGCACATGGTCTGTTCAGACGGCTCGGAGGATGGAGTAGCCGTGTCTATGGTCACCATGGTTCAGTGTTCTGTGAGGAGGGGAAATAGCGGTGTGGTAAACGGCTTCATCACAGCCAATTTCGAGCGGGAGACGGAAGAGAGAAGAAAGCAGTGCATTGTAGAAGTCAATTTGGCAACGCTTCTGAAAAGCGCGTTCATCGCCACCCAAGTCATGACGCTGAAAACACACTATACATATTTTGAGATCACTATTAACTTTACGGTGAACTAATTGTAGCTTACGTCATGTCCGGGGGCACCCTCCAAGGTAATCCTGTGCTCGACATTAACTTCTCGCAAGCTCAACATGGGAATCGGTAGGCTTCGGTAGGATGCTGTAAATGTCTGAATAAGGCATACGGAGATAATATTGTAAGTCCGCGAAGATGTAATGTTGGTCCGGTTATTGCAGTTTCCCGACATCGTTCACCAATCCAAGCCTACGAGGTGGCAGGTCGACTTTGACTCTGTGCGTCTGCAGTGCTGGCAACGAAGGCTGTCTCCAAGCGACGTCATCAGTGTGCACCGTTGATGACTTTTGAATGTGTTTACTGCAAAAATCCATGATATCTCTATATCATCGCGAGTAAGCGGGTGGATCTTCCTTATGGTTTACCTGGAGCGTGTTTTACATACGCGGGTCTAGGTAGAAGAAAAATTCAATATGCAAACATACAAAGTTCGAGACTTTGCGAACATTCATCTGGAACGAACAGAAGGCGCTGTGGAAAGGCGGAACATGCAAAGATTGATAGGCACCGGGAACTGGACATACCTAAAGCCGCAGGCTGCTGCCCTTTCGCAGATTGGTGGCTAACTTGAAAACATGAAACTTGTGTTTGTCTCACGCTGGAGGATGGCCCCTGTTTTCGCTTGCTTACCTGTCCGAGGACAGGTACGGATACCATCACGGGCCGTTGGTGGATATTGGTATCACCTGGTGTCAATTTGGTGTGCTAATAAACCAGTTGGTTGATTGCCCCGCAGAGCGCCACGTGAATCAATGGTGTATCGCTGTCGAGTCTGCACGTGAATCAATGGTGTATCGCTGTCAAGTCTGCACGTGGCGCTTGCCCGACACGTTTTTGCAGCGGCGAGCTGACCAAACGATCCAATCAGGCTCGAGCTTTGACACTGCAGCCAGCTGTGGACCTTGACTTACTTGCCGTGGCCAAGGAAAACATGCCTATGGCGTGCTGATGCCACGCTCTGGCGGCCGCATCGCCGAGTGGCATGTTTTTCATTACTAACAGTTGCCAGCCTACCACCGACCAACGGAACAGTTATTAGGCACGTTCATCAGCCAGAAGCCATCATTTCGCTCTTAGTCCTATCTTTCCTTCATATCATTATCAGTATCCTGCTATCGCTCTGAGATGAAGTTCGAGGTTGAGTGGAAATCATCAGTGAGTTGGTCTAGAGTCCTCTGTCCGTATTTCTACTAATGACCAGTAAAGCACTACCACTCCGATGGTCGTCGCCGAAGCAGGCCTAAGGCATCGACTTGGCACGGATGGCTCGTCAAATGGCGCGCCACATTTAGTGGAAACGAGTCCCTTCGACGAGAAGGCATGCGCGAAATGCGTGAAGCTAAAGCCACGCAGGAGTACAAGCGACAGCGGAAGCTTGCTAAGAGAGACAAGAATGGCCGGGCAAAGTCGGGACTGCTCTCGCTTTTCGGCTTTGGCAATGTAAAGAAAAAAAAGACCCGTAGACCCGACACGCTGGCTCGGGGCACGCAGAGGAGCACCAGCAGCCGGCAAGCGGTCCTGACGAGACCTCCTCCAGTCAGCCGACGACCTACGGGACAAAGTTCACGACAACCCTCATATAATTCTAGTAATTCTCGAAGGGATGTCGCACGAATGAAGTCTTCCAAGAAATGATCGCACAGCATTCTGACACGTTAGGAGACTATCTATTATAATAATTATGTATCTGAGCACTCCACCAGGGACTTATTCATTGATACACGGAACTCATACTGTGCTGTAACCTACTGTAACACATACCCGCCTCTCTAGGAGTGTCATTTTAGATACCGGGCCATAGGGGAACAATGCTGATGAAACTAGACGTTCAACTCGTTGGCGGGCTCAATTGATTTGATCATCTTCCATGCCATGCCAAGCCGAAGGCAGGAAGGCAAAGGGACAATCGACGGGCGTATTTACTGGGGTCGGGGGACTGGATAACAGATAACGATGCCATAGCATGCAATGAATCGCCAGGACATAACAGCATCGGGTCCTTGGCATAGTATTCTGCTCAAATGGAAAGATGAGATATGATACACGTGGATATAAGACATAGATCTGCATGGGCAATTACGAAGTGTATGATCGAGATTAACCGTCAAATTTGAAAAGGATGCTTCTTTTTTTTGCGTCTTTTGCGCTTCTTCTTGGGACTGTCCGGGTTGTCATCCTTACCGGATCCATCTCCTCGCTCCGGCGGACCGTCAAGGTTCAGCAGCGGGACCGTTAAACGCGAAGCTTCCGTAGGTGGTGCAGTCAATTGAGTGGACGTATCCGGGACATTCAATTCGCCATCCCGTTTCAACTCTGTGCTGTTGTTTACGTTCATGTATTGAGATAACAGAACAGTGACTTACCTGTTTGCAAAGTAGACATTGAAAATGGACCGGATATCGAAAATGAAACGGAAGACGATTCGCTACCGAGGGGAGGTGGATTAACAGGAAGACTTTGATTGCCGGATCGATCTGGGCTGGTAATGATAGGCTGGTAATGGGGGATCGCCAGCTCTTGGAAGCTCATGCTTGCTTCCATGCCAGTAGCATGCCTCCGCCGTTTCTTCTCCCTCTTTTTCGCAGACAAATCTGTGTTAATTTGAGTCGCTCCAAGCGAAGAAGACATGGAATGACCCTCACGACCCTGTTCCAAATTATCATCCCCGGTCTTGCTATCCCCACAGTGCGCTTGTCGATTAGGATTATGGGTTAATTGCGTGGCAGGGTTCACAACAATTTTCGCTTTCGCCTTTGATCTTCCTACGAACGGATCAAGTTTCGGTTTCTTTCTAATTGTCCCTCCCCTTCTTTCTTCGTCTTCTGAATGCTCCGGTTTTGGGGTATTATCATCTTCAGTGGCGCGCTTCTTTCCTTTCCCCATCAACCGATGCTTCAGACGCGCAGCGTCACGAGCCGTTACAGAGGATTCGGGTATCGGAGCACCAACACCGAGTCTGCTCAAGGATACAACGTGAACCGTAGAATCATGACTATCATCTATACCTACACACCTGGGAGGTCTTCTTAGTTGCTCATCGAGTAACTTTTGGGCGTCTACCGCGCTTTTGCTGAGATTAGCTTTATGTGCGGGCTTTATCCAGGATGAGACTAGATCTTCCGCAAATGACATGGACATATTGATTTTGGCCTGCAACGTTTCTGTATCAATGTCGTCGTCAGCGACCAGGTCCATCGTGTCTGTCGTAGTCATCCTGCCAGAGATGAATAGTGAGATGCGTGGTATCGTAGTCCTGAGGCATGCACAACCACCCCTGTGTGCCATAAAATTTAGATGTTTGGCATCATTTCCCGCGGTCCCACATCTCGCCTACGTCAATCACCTACTTATGTTCTCCTAAGCTGGCCACTCACATCGCCATACACAAGCCTGGAATGATTCCCATTGGTATTAAACGCAAATGGGAAGATGTGGAGTTCGATTCAGACGAAGATGAACCGTCTTTCGGAAAACAAACATTGCCCGTAGCCAATCTACCAATGAACTTTGACCGCGAACCGGAAGATGGTTTGGAATATCTGTTCACGGTCAGGTGAGTTGATAGGCTCGTTGCCTTTGGTTCTCTGTTAATACCTCCACAGACGCGATGCACGGCGGCTACCGCACGTCACGAGAGTCGCTAACCCATACGAACTGCCAGAACTTGTTCCGCCCCTTGGTCTTGTGCAGCCCGCCGACAGTACATGCGGCCACCTTCCCTCTGAACATTGGCGCTCTACTTTCTTAACACACTTTCGAAATTTCAGAAAGGTAAATACACGCCGTCCTTGTGCGCCTGAATGAGCGATGACTATGGTATCCAGAATATCGCTCAGCCAACTATCCACGTGCATATCGATCTACATGGACCACGCAAGGTGATGCCAGATAAGAAAGAAAGAGATTTGTGGTGGACATTTCTCGCCGGTTTACCGGAATCTGACTGGAACCCCCCCAAAAAACCAAAGAAGTCATCGTCAAAGAAAAGCAGATACTCCAGTCATACGCGAGCGTTCTGCGACGAGTCAGAGGTGGAACATGACATCAATGACGGGCAACATCATCATGAAACTCAGGAGACTTGGCGAATCAATCCAGAAGGCGATGTTGAACTGGCGGAGGATAAACTAGCAGATACACCACCATCCGCAGCTCAGCCACTGTCAATTGGTTCTGCTTTATCTATGTCACCAGCGGAGACAGAATCCAGAAGCACGGGTCCACTGTCAACCTGTCCATACCCTGAACACCCTTGTAACCCTCGTGAGATCACTCCCTCGTTGCTGCGAAAAATAGACCATGTACGTATGGAAAGGCTTTCTGACAAAGTATTTCTAGCTAAAATGATTGCAGAACATGTCCCTTCACCTTCTGATGTATTTCGCTCACTGGATGAACATTCACTTGCAGCACCCCGCTGACCCGACCTTTGCGATACTCGAGAGTCACGCACGTTGGATGTTTGCATTGTTGGCCAAAGTAGAAGACTTCATTTCAGCAGATGACATGAGCCAACTTAGGAGCCTAGCTCGCGTTTGTTTGGAGCTACTTGTTCGGCGACAGAAAGCCGGGGAGGCTGGAGTGCCTGACAACATGTCATCCAAAATTGGCATGGCCGAAACATCATGCTGGATGATTTTTACTGCCGTCTCTGGCATATGGGGCCAAAGTGACCTTTGGCGGGACGCAGAAACGGTATTGGCGAGTACTTGACGTCGCATGGTTATATCACTGATTACTTTAGAGCTCATTCAATGGCAATCATGCGAACTGAGCGGCCATCCGGCTGAGCACTGCTGACCTTCGTCCTGTCAACGCCACTTTGTTTGTTGACTTCCTCCAAGTCGGAGGCATGGTTGTGATAATGTTTGATATGCGAAAGGAATGAATGATCAGTGCGTGATTCCGGTGATGTCGGGCGCTCTTTGCTCTTCGTGCCTCTCCGTCGCCGATTACCATGGATGACACTCGGGCCTTCCTCAGCCTCTTCGGAAGCCGAAACTATAATTATCACTGAAGCATATCACACGCTGTACAATGAACCCCTAGGATGTTTTTGATCACTGGGTAACGCCTATTATACTGTTTGCCAGGGGGCTGTTCGACACCTAGCTTTCATGTCATCACCATGCATTGATGCCATGTCTTGGCGATCCATCCAACAAGGAACAGTGAATCAACCATGCCGTGGGAACTAGAACATGCGGAAGCTTGATCGGGCCAGCGTCAAGTTGAAATATGTAAAGGCCAGCTCTTGCCTTTTGACCACGTTCGTTACCCTTCAAAAAAGAAGTCAGACTTTTTTTTTTCAGCCTTCACCATCGCCCACTGGTTCTGCAAGCATGCGCTCCTTCACCGCTATCCTTTTGGCCTCTATCACGTCGACTTTTGCCTACCAGGTCACCTCTCCTGGTGATGCTCAGGGTTGGACAACTTCTGGTCCCAACTCCCTGACGTGGGTGCGCGTCGACACCGACCCATTGAACTTCACGGCGGTGTTGACCAACCAGGCATGTGTATTGTCACGCGCTCTACTAAGTCATTCTAATACTCTTCGTTCAGAACCAGGCCGTCATGCCTCAGGGTCCTCAGGTCCTCAACGCGCTTGTTGACGGCACCTTGGGCCAGATCATCTGCAACCCTCCAAGCGGAGGCTGGCCTCAGGGCTCTGGCTTCCGGGTCAACCTTGCAAAAGATGCTGAAGATCTCAACACTTTGCTCGCTCAGTCCAACCAATTCAACATCAATTCAACAACTTCTTCAGGAAGCTCTAGCGCAACATCTGGCACTTCCTCTGTTTCGTAAGTAGCATCATTTTACCTCAGTGTATCATCTCTGACCAGTCCATTCATAGCTACCCGACTACCGCGGTAACCCCGACCACTGCCGTCGCATCTAGCACCACTTCAGATACCAGCACCACCCCCACTAGTACTAGCGGAGCCATCATTGGGATGAATGTAGAGACGGGCTTCCTGACCGCTGTTGCAGCCTTGGCTGCCTTTATCACCACTCATTTCTGAACATTTGCGTAAACACGGATCATACTCGGATATTTTTTTTTTGTCCACGAAGTGGTTCTTTTTGGTTTTCGTAATGGTTACGGCGATACAGACATTTGCTTGCATTTTCTTATACCCTTTCACTCGGATTGCAACGCTGATCATTCATCATTATTGTATCGTACATCCTTCTCGTTGTGCTCTCGAGATTTGTCGCCAATGATCATATTCAGCAATTGAGTAGCTTTCTCACCAGTCCGACGTGATCGGGTGGTGTCTAGGAGTTTTCTCACTTCACCTCTCAAGCTCAACTTCCAACCCGCAATATGTCTATCAATTCATATGAACATCTGCTCCCTCCCAGCTGGAAGACTCAAGTCACCAGCTGGCTTGCAGAGGATACCCCATCATTTGATTATGGCGGTTACGTTGTCGGTGAGGTTCACCGCGAGGCATTTCTTTTCGGGAAAGGCAAACAGACCGCGGTCTTGGCGGGACGACCCTTCTTCACTGAGGTCTTCGCCCAGCTTGAATGCGAGTACGTTCTCGTTTTGATCATATCTCAATCCGCCGTGATTTGAGGGACCTGCAGGGTTGAATGGCATATACAGGAGGGCGAGACCTTCGAGCCTATCAAGCATATCGCTACCGTTCGAGGCAAAGCTAGGCACCTTCTACTTGGCGAACGCATCGCCCTCAACATGCTTGCAAGGTGCAGTGGCATTGCTACGAAGTAAGCCGATTTTCGTAACTATTTTGATGGTACCTATCATACTTACGTCTTGGTCTTCTTCTGAAGATCTAAACATTTTAAAGATCTCGCAGCGGGTTATGGCTACAAGGGTATTATTGCTGGGACCAGGAAGACCACTCCAGGTGAGCTGCCCTCTCAAACAGCTCAACGGATCTGCTCACAACCAACCAGGGTTTCGGTTGGTTGAAAAATACGGGATGATTGTCGGGGGTATCGATCCTCACCGTCATGATCTTTCAAGTATGATCATGCTCAAGGATAATCATATATGGTCGTCCGGTGCGCCTCAATCTACGAAGTACTTAATTATCAGCTAAGGATCGCTCCAAGGATCAATCACTGCTGCAATCCAACAGGCTCGTGCAGTGGGCGGCTTTAGTTTGTTGCTTGATGTGGAAGTTGGTTCAGAAGCTGAAGCAGATGAGGCAATTGAAGCGGGCGCTGACATTATCATGCTGGACAACATCGAAGGGGAACATCTCGTAAGTGTTGCTCGAAAGCTCAAGGAGAAATGGGTTGGGAAACGGAAGTTCCTATTTGAGACGAGCGGTAACATCACCGAGGGTAACCTTCAGGAGCGTGCAGTCAATGGTCAGTAGATGTTTGCTTCTCAATGGTCTTTACTGATCACAATAATAGATATTGACATCCTCAGCACAAGCGCTGTTCATCAGTCTGTACAACACATAGATTTCAGTTTAAAGATCCAGATGCCTAAGTCATAATGGACATTGGACATACTTCATGCGTATAATTGATCATGGAGATCGAAAAGTCTAAGTGCATTTAAACCTAAGATGTTGGCCTGATGTTCAACTTTGCGATCTACACCAGCCATACCCCGGATGGCCGCTAGATTGTTTTCTACGCTTGGCCACTTCTGGCTTGCTTCAAGTGGCGGGAAGAAGGGGTGGTCGGTACCAAACAAGAGCCTGGTGCTTCCGACTTGAGTATCAACGGCCCCCCCGCCAGTCTGGAATGTAGATGCCCGAGAAATAGTTCGGCTAACGAAGGTCAACTCTTCGGAACCGTATGCAACAGCGTCGAAATAGAGTTGTCCAAGGTAGTATCTTGCATCATGTTTCAACCTATTGGCAACGATAGGATCATGCTGGATGCATGAGGCAAGTCGAGATGATAGCTGAGGTAAAGCCCCTCCGGAATGGGCTAAGAGCAAATGGAGGTCTGGGAAACGATCCAAAACGCCTGAGAGAATGAGGCGCGTGATGGCCTAACATCAAAGTCAAAATCTCATTCCTGATGATCAGACACGAAATAACCCTAGTTACTCACAATGGTTGTCTCGAAAGGGAAACCCAAGGCCAGTGGCAATACGTGTCCATTTTCATTATCTCCAAAGGCTTTAGTGTCAACACCGTAATGCGGGTGTATGAAGACGACAAGCCTCGCAGCCTGAATAGCATCCCAGACTGGATCCAACGCATTGTCATCGAGGCCTTTCCCGATGCCCTTGGTTCCCATAATCACGCCTCGGATGTGAGGGAGTGATTTAAGATGCTCTATAGTTTGAATGATGGTGGACACTTCTACATCTGGGACAAGAGGGAGAAGGCCGAAACCATAGAGAGTCTTGAGACCAGAAAACCCCTCGGCAGGGGGAGAAGTCGCACAATACTCTTCAAGGTTATCGTTTAGTTCTCGAGCCAACGTTTGAGCCCGATCCGCTGGCAAGAAATCGAGCCATGGATTGGCTGAACTACCAGCGAAAAGGATCAGTTACCCCGTATCCAAAGAAGTGAACGAACAGACCTCACGAATGAGATGTTTATACCATGTCTCCGCATGAATTCGAGCTTCTCGTCTCGATCCCAGTACTGATATGTTCTTTAAGTGAATTGGCTTGCATGTCTAATAGACTGCGGGCATACCTGAGGACCAATTGGACGGCCAGCGCTCGGCTCTCCATCCAAAATCAACAGTCTCTCCTCAGTCTCTCCCCCGGCATTTGTCCAGTTCAAGATACGGGGAGCCGAAGTTCTTGCACGTAGTTCAGCTGCGTATCGTGGCAAGTAAACATGGGTGTGCACGTCAACAACCGGATGCCTTATGTTCGCCACACTCGAAATGCTCTTGAGCAGCTCAGTCATGACGCGCTGACCTGGTCTTGCTGGGTTCATCGATCAATACGACAGAAAGAGTCATGAATTGGCGCTGAGAAAGATTTGGCCGACCGCCGACAGCGCGTAGTGATAGAAAGTGCACGTGTAAGTATTCCAGGCCCGGAATCTTCTAAACAGTGATCACGTACTCATGGGTTCGATTTAGGTACCATTTGTCGGCGATGCCATCATGCAAGCAGCACACCTGTCCTTGACTTTCTTAGCTAAAAGGCGTTGCAGGCAGTCGCCTAGTGCTTTTACTTCAGAACCACCATGACCAGCGATCTGCAGATGCGTTCCCCGCTATCTAGAGCGCGTGTAGTTCACGAAGAGGTTTGTGATATTGTTTCTACGATGCCAATACGGTGGCTCAACTATAGCCAGTGGATGCAGGTCACAGATTCACTCCGCCGTATAGGCAATGAGCTCAACCAGGTGGTCAACGACTCAGTGAACGAATCTAGAGCACACAAAACTCGAGCCATTGAATGGGAAGCCAGACATCGCGATGTTGTCACAGAGAACAATGCATTCAGAGCCAGTAATGAGGAACTGAAGCGCCTGCTCGAGCTCGGCGAACCTGATGCAGGGAGCGCGATTGAGGGTAGAGATGCCGCATATCGTAAATTGCGACATGTGCGGCGTGTCATGCGCGAACTCTTAGAGGACTTGACGGTAACGCATCTACTTTCTTTGTCGAATTACGTACCTGAAATCAAAGTTTATTGCACAGCCGGATTCTGGAAATAGTCCGAATGAAAGCTCTTCCCTGCTATTACAGGCAGAGCCACGAGACAGGGTGCAAGACAGGGAGCTTGGTGCCTCCCCGTCCCCTTCCGTTCAAAGTCGTAGAAACGATGTGTCCTCTAGCAGCTCTGGTTCTGGTAGCACTGCCCGCCCGAGATCTACGGGAAAAGGTCGCAGCTCGCCCGGAATGATACCAACTTCACCATCAGCTTCGACATCACGTTCTCGTGCATCAAGGACAGGAGTAAGCGGAGTTATATCTGATCCCGGTTGTAATCAGCAAACATCATCTGAATACAACAGCTCAGGGTCGGACCCTTCTGTGGACCTGTCTGTACATGCTGCGAGAAACTCTTCTGGGGGAGATGATAATGATGTTTGGAGGCTGACCTCATCTCGCAGCCCCCGGAGTGCGGAAGTCATTTGTCTTGTTGACATGCAGTGGCTTCGGGAACGGCTGAACCTCGATGAAGATACGGTCAGTAGTCTGAGCATATCATAGGTACGATCTAATGCTGCACAGATATACTCCCTTGAAAGGTGCCTAGCTTTCCCACTAGCAATTCACCCTCGCTAAGTCCATAATCAGTCTGGGACAGGCGGATGGGCATTGTTTCCACATGCAAATTGTGGACAATATGGCATTCGTCTATGACCCGTTCTCGATGGATGGACCAGGCGAGTCGCTCTTGATGGACTGGGGCACCCCAGACGCCAACGAGACTGTGCGTGGGTACGTTGTCAAGAAACGCCCGAGAGATCGTATTCTCCACACATTCACCTTTCCTGTGAAAAGGGTAAGCTGTCACCCGCGATCAAATTTTGATCATCTTGTTTGATCTTGTGTAACAGGGAGTTTGGTATTATATTGGTGCGCACGCATGGAATGTGAAAGACCTTTTCGAAGTTTGGCCTACACTGAATGATAAAGTAAGTTTGAGAGTATGCACCAAGATGGCTGACTTCAATTTCCGCCAAGGCCAAGGAAACCGTTACTGCAAAACTGCGGAGACGTTGCAACCGCAGGCACTCCCAGCAAGATATTACTGAGATGATCCAAGATGGACGGCTGCAACAATTCTGTGTTGAAGTGAGCAGTCGGTCATTGAAGGCTCTCAGCCGAGAATTTGCGAAGACACGTTTAGGTTATGAAGGAGGGAATATCGCCCAATGATATTATTATCTTTTGACGTCAACTTTCGTTGCCATGTCCTATACTTGGTGCAACGGTGACAAGAGTTGTTAATAGCGTATGTTTTGCTAGGTAATAATATCAGGAAAGCCATGACATGAGTGATTTGCATCCCTGAGTTGCATCCTATATGATTCCTGTCAAAGCTGTAGTGTCCGCTGACCCTGAACGCTATAAAAAGTGAATTACCAAATTTGTCAGGTTTAGTGTGCTACAGAAGGCGGCGAACGGTTTCAAACCCCATCACGATCAGCAATATCCTGTAACCTGTTTCTCAGGCCAACCGATTGCAACCCAACGTTTGGCGGGGTGCGCAGTTCATCGTAACTCCCTTTCTCTTTTTTCTTTCATCACCATACGATGCGTTGCTCTCGTCGGGAGCGCGCTCGCACATTCCTTTTCACTACGCTCTTGTTCGTACTCTCCTTTACCGCCACCCTTGCAGACTCAGCAAATGTTCATGGTTACCGGGCCCATCATGCCTGGCGCAGACGGGCACCTCTAGATGCCGTTCCCAGAGATGTGCCAACAACATTGACGTCCCAGGACTTGCCAGTGCCTAGTATTAGCAGTGTCCTGCAATCCGTGCTCCCTACTGTGACTACTCCTCCGACCTCACTTTCCTTGATTCCAGTGCCATCTCTGACGACATCTTCTTCGTCCACTCCTTCTCCAACAAGTCTGTCAGCGACGAATCCTACGACAACCTCTAGTTCTTCTAGCTCTTCGACCCCTACGCCGTCAACCAGTAGTACTACCAGTACCACTATCCCGACAACAAGCAGTGGGACTTCTCTTTCGTAAGTTTCAATGTTTCTCCTCCCTCATGTTATCTTATGTCCGATTACAGACAATCTACCGTTTCTCAGTCTTCCTCTTCCTCTTCTCAGTCTTCCTCTACTGCCAAACCTTCCACATCCGCTGCTGCTGCTGTCGGTGCAACAACGCTGGTTACATTTACATCAGCCACGCCAGTATATTCAGAACCAGCCACAAGTTACGCAACTGGAACGACAACTTCTTCTACTCCTTCGAGCACGTCCTCTTCCAACTCTGGGTGAGACATTATATATCACTCATCGCTAATCAATAGCTGATGTTTTCATCTAGATTCTTCTCAAACACAGGAGCAGTCGCCGGAACATTTACTGTTGCTGGCCTGCTCAGTGTTGCTGGAATTATCGGAGCTGGGATGTTAATTGCAAGACGCCGCGCCTCTCGCTCGTATGAAGATGATATGGAGTACCTCGAGAAGCGGCCAGAGCCTGCTATAGAGCCCTCTCAGAGTCAGGATTTCGTCGTCGGAGATGCCGAAGATTCCTCAGACATGGATCACTTCGGCAACTCAATGGAAGTTACCGTCCCGCCTGCCGCACATTTCTATTCCCAGCAGGATGTATACTTTGCTCATGGTCAGACAGCCAACACGAGCGAAGGTTATGAAAACCAAGGCTACTATCCACAGGAGACGTACGCTCCCCATGACTATGGTATAGCATACCCCCCGATGGAATCTTATGTGGCAGAGGATGCTTACGGAGGGATGGATGAAGCGTATGCAGGGATGCCAAACCCCTTTGGCGAAGTTGCATCAGAGTTACCAGCTGCCTTGCAGCCCTCTGGTCAGCAACCTCGAACGGTAAATCTTCCTCCTTCTGCGTATCGTCCTCAGGATCTCCACCACTCCCTCGATTCCTTCTACGGTTCTTCTACGGGAGCTTCGCACGGACACGTCATGTGAAATTATATCAAACGTCACATACTTGATGCGTGCATTGTGACATTCTGCATGTTGTCGTTCAAAATCACAGTGCAAGCTTGATTCATATTTCATATTTTATTTATGTATACCTGTGCGTTTGCACGTATACCTTCGGGTTCATAGGGCTGGTGTTAGACGATTGCACTGTACGTTACACGAGCCATTCAAACCCCAGGGCCTTTTTTTGGGACACGGATTCGATTTATTAAGTGAATATCGAGATCTTGACGCTGGATGTCATGTTTTACCGTCTATATTTTGATGGAAGTCAGTTCAAGTTCTTACTAATATTATTTGAACAACTCTTACTTTAATACTTACTTATCAGCAGGTCTGGCCTCTGGACATTGTCTATTTGCGCGACTACTAGTATATTAGTTCCAACGCTTTGTGTTTTATGCGTTTTTGATTATTTTCATGTCCTTTCACGTAAGTCCCGAACGCATGGTACAGGAACGACTGGTCTGTTCAAGGGGCCCCGAGACCGTTCGAGAGTCGAGACGCCCTTCATCGCTCGCGGACTTCGAAATCTGTGGGGCAACAGGTGACAAAGCAACGATTATGAATTGGAAACAACAAGCACCTGGAGGACGGCGCCGGCAGCAACACGTCGAATTAGTAGATCAATTAAGGGTTTCACCTACGCTTGGAACAAATATGCTCCACGCCGGAAAACTGACGACTACATGGTACCCTTGGCGGTTGTCGCGACAATCGCGCAGACTCTTCTCAACCCACACACCCGAAGCATTCCTCGAACCTCTCCAGTCTAACCTCGGAATAACATGTCTATCCCTCAATAGACCACAAGCGAAGAATGCCATATCAATGAAACTACTTCATGTGAACAGAAATCCACTTCTGATACAGTCATACGCGCTGATTTCACTCGTCAGGAATTTCGCGAATGTTTGGACACCGCGAAGTATGATAAGAGGTTCATATCTCATGTTGTCTAGTAATACTGGACCACACTGAGTCACTTTGGTGCAGCATACGCGCGCTGATAATACGTTCTACTACCATGGGTTCCTTCTGCGCAGGCGCCGACCTTGCTGAGAGACGTACCATGTCTCAAATTCAGGTTGCGAAATTCCTTTCCGACTTACGTTCTGCCCTTGGTCAGTTGGAAACCTTACCAATGCCAACAATTGCTGCAATCGATGGGCCTGCTTTGGGAGGAGGGTTGGAATTGAGCTTTGCCTGTGACTTGCGTGTAGCTGGTGAGTTCGGTCACTTCATGAGCAGAATCCGTCTAATACGTGTTGCAAGGAAATGGTGTGACAAAGATAGGTCTTCCAGAGACACGCCTCGGGATTATACCTGGAGCAGGTGGTACTCAACGTGCTGTTAGATTACTGGGCATGTCGAAAGCAAAGGATCTAATATTTACAGCCAGGATGTTGACAGCCCAAGAAGCACTTGAATGGGGTAGCGAACCTTCTGTATCGCATCCCTACGATGTTATCTGACGAAGGCTGTAGGTGTAGTGGATTATGTATCGTCTCCCTCTACATCGGCCTTCGAGCGGGCAGTCGACTTGGCTCAAGAAATAACTAAAAGCGGTGGGCATACCGCTTATTCCAGGCGATTCCATTCTCAAATATTTTGAACAGCTCCGTTAGCGCTTCGAGCTGCAAAGCAGGCAATTTCACGTGCTGCTGACCTCTCATTGGAATCAGGTATTTAGTGTTGCATTCGTCATTTATTGGTTTTGGTTGATGTACGAGGAATAGGTCTGGACTTTGAAAGAGCATCCTATGAGGTTCTTCTACCCACGAAAGACCGGTTGGAGGCACTGGAAGCATTTAGGGAGAAACGACAACCTATTTTCAAAGGGGAATAATCTTCAACCTTTAATTTGGAGTGTGCTACGTACGTGATGACAATGCAATGAATCAAGGTATAACCACGCGAACCACGGGCCTGAGTGCTGAGTGCCGACTCCCCCGACCAGTGAGAGAAGGGTTTTTTCTGACGGGTGCTGGGCAGCTCCATGTAACTTTTGTGTTGTATAGAGTGGTGGTGAAGGTTGGCGAATGCATCCTCATAATATATTTATGGGCGCAAACACTCATCCTCGACTCCCACTAAAGTGGGAGAGGGTTTTGTCAGATGCAAATGTCCAGGCACCTGTACACTGAACCGCAGGAAATTGTTTGACAGGAACTGTTTAGAGCCAGTTCATAGGGCTGTTCACTGTATGCCTTACGACGGGACTTTATGTCGGAAATTCCTAATTTGGCCTTCAGTGCCTTGTAAGGCATTTCAAGGTTTCAAGACAAAATGGGGTTTGAAATGGGTTTTTATAATAGAGTTGTCCTTGAAATTGCCATAGAAATGCAGTTGCAATCCTATTGCAATGGCTTTGCAATAGCTTACAATAGTACAGCAATGGTATGGGATGTTGCAATTGGCTCACAATATCATTGAAACTTATTGAAAAATAGCGAGAAAGTGTGCAAATCAATTTCAAGAACAGCTGATTGTGTAAATTTGTGACATACAGAGCTGTAATATGATCACTGTACCTGTACCATTGGCTGTTTCGACCTTGAGTTGATGGTATGGGGTACAGGTATAAAGGTCCTATATGTTGCCATATTTGTACAGCTATATATGGCTGTAATACAGTGTAAGTATCATAAGTTTGTTTATCATCTATAAACAAATAGACTTATATATGCAGTAGCCATATGTCATATGTCTTATTTTGCAAGAAGTCATTCTGGACCTAATTTTCACACTATGGAAATCCTCAAAGTGCTGGTATGTTTTCTACTGTAATCTATAATCAACCATATTCTAACATGTTCCATGTCTGTCCAGATCATATACTTTGCCCTGATCCAGGAGAAACCATGACACCAGTCAAGATATCTACTAGTGCTGTTCCTTTCCTCCTATTGCTTGCTTTCCCTCCTTCCAGTTCCTGTATTGTTGCTTGATGTCATCTGATGCTTCTGACACTTGTGTACCTGCTGAGAATCAAGCTTTTCAGGAGGTTTGAGGCCATGGGAGATGTCCCAAAAATCCTGAGTGCATGAATGCTCTTATTTGAGCTGAACATGAAGACCACAATCAGCCTCTGCATCACCATCACCAATCTTGTTGTTTACCCAAGAAGAGCACCATTATCAACAACAACTTCTTTTCAACTCTCCCAATTGAGGATGCTTCAGATGCTGATGATGGTGATTTCACAGGGGATGACTCTGAATCTAGGTCAGAGTCATCCTCATTAGGCTCTAACAGTGATATCCAGGAGATAACAAATGTGGAGGTAAGTTATTTCTCATGTTTTTCTTGACTTGTACCATATGCTACTGTATATGGCCATAGAGTATCCTGTACCATACCATCAACATATTTTTTTCAACTATAACAGACAATTATTGTTTAACTTTATATGACAGCACACTGTATATGGTATAGTGAATAGCCCTACTAGTTCAGCAACAAGATGTTGACCAACATTTGGAAAGTGTCATGTGAGAGGTTCTCAGCTTGGATCGTCCCAAATGTTGGAGCTCAAACCTTACATTTTGTGCCTGCACATTGACCATACATACCATACATACCAATCTGATCAACTACTATCATCACCAATAAATCTGCACTGGCATTGCCACCCTTACTGCCATCTGTGCCCACTTTACAACAGTCCTCATGGCTCAACCAGAGGTAGCACAACAGCCTGGCAAGGCACATTGGCAAGAACTGGAGATGGATGTCCTGCTTCAACACTTGATTGAGAATTGAGCAGCAGGTGGTGACAGTGGAAATTTCACTGGAACTACCTTTAATACTGCAGCAATTGCTATCAATAACAATGACACAATCCAAATGGTGGGGCCACTGAAGACAGGCAAGATGGTCAAGATGAAGTGGACCTATGTATGTTATCTTGATTTCAATTGACTGTGAGTTTACCAGGTTGTTAGCTCAAAAAATCTACAATAAAATTGAGATTTACTGCAATATATCTGGCTTTCACTGGGATAATGTGCAAGGAGCTTAAATTGAGGATGCTGCTGCTGTCTCTGTGTGGGACACATATGTGGCTCAAAAGGTATGTCATTATCATGTGGTTAGTCTTTCTCTCATATCCTTGTGTCATATCCCATATGTAGACCTTGCCAGACAGTCACCAAGTCTTCCTCTAGTCCCCTCAGCAGTACCAACCCCAGCACTCCCCAGACCACATCCTTATATGTCCAGACCACACCCTCCTATATCCGGACCTGGTCCTCTCATGTCCAGATCACATCCTCCTCCATCTGAACCTTGTCCTCCTACATCTAGACACCACCACCTACACCTGGACCTCTGGACAACACCTGTATCTACCTCTGAACCTGTCCTCAACATCTGTCCATATCTGTACTCTGTCCCCTGTGCCATATCTCAATGCCCAATACTCCTACTTCCACTTCCATTACTTCCTCTGGCCCAGACCAATGGTCCTAGTCTCTAATGGATCCGTTCAACTGGTTCCTTCTTTATTCAGATAACCCATTTGCTTCCAGCCATTTGACCATATACATACCCAACTGATTACTGATCTGTTAGACATCTTCATTTCTGGCTCTGTTCTTCTTATGTTCCACCTCACTTTACTGATCCTTTGTTGTACTTACTAATGGATGTTCCACATGCTCTACATAGCCCCCTGGTCTTTGCTTACTTATCCTTCAGAACTACTTGCAGCATATAAGCCTCTGTACATTTATGTATTCTCCTTAGTCTGAATATTACTTCCCCTCAAGCCTTTGCTCATTAGTTTTCATTACAGCTGTGTGTGTATATGTATAATGGCACTGGCACATTGTGGGAAAATCACTGATTGAGATTTGGGACTGAGAAAATTTTAAACAATTGCACCACATCATATGAAGGACCGTATTGGACAAAATAAAATCAAATTGATAAAGTAAATAAATCAACGTTGTAACTAAAACTCAAATTAATTTCATCAAAGTCATCCACGTGGCTTCTCAAAACTCTAAGTCCTTTGACAAAAGTCATCCACCTGGCTACCAAATCAGGAAGTTGTGCACAAAAGTCACCCATGTGCTTTCTCAAAACTCTATTAGTGGCACAAAAGTCATCCACATGGTACCTCCAGTAGCTGGTAAGTTAGTCCTACTATTTTGTCCTCATCGTTGTCAACATTGAGCTCACTGTCTCATAGCGCCCTGTGTTGGGTCACATGTCACATTCCTTTTATGGTAATTAATTATGGTCTGAATTTTGTTGGTCACATAGGTTTTTCTCTCGGGTGGAGGAAACTCCATTGAACCTCCAACAAAGTCGGGCGCTATCATATCATTCCATCCTTTAGTCTCTCTCGTGTCTGTTGCGTGCATCTGGGTATATTATCGTCTATGCTTTGATTATGATTATGTGTGTGACAGCATAGGAACTTGAACAATACATGGATATTCATACGTAGCAGGAGTTTTGTGAAAGCAGTGTGACATGTGAGTAAGGTAAAAAAAGTTCACATTGAGGTGTAACAGTAAGAGCAGTGGTGGAAGTGTTGTGAGATGAGAAACTGAAGGTACAGATTGAGCAGGCGTGGATGAGAACAGTGCGAGATGATGCGTGAGGGGAAGATCTAATGCAGACAGCAAGTTGAAGGCATGGAAAACTGGACAGCGACCAAATGGTCAGTGATGAATTACGATAGAGAGATAGGAATGCAAGCATTGAAACTGTCTTCACCGGCCTCCAACAAGGCATAATGAAGACACCGATCTAAAGCAGTCATGTCTTCAGGGTTATTGGGGGGTGGTTGTTGCAAGGATTCAATCAAGGGCATATTGACCCAGACATCCAGCCTATACATGCAGGTGTGCGGCAGGGGTGAATGATATATTTCTCAATCTGGAAATTATCTCAGCTTCAGTAGGGAGGTGTGGAGATTCAAGGACTTTACATTGTACTGCTGGCCAAATGTGGCTGCCTCAGGTACTGTCTGAACGAGGTTGATCTATAGCGGTGTCACAAAGGCAGATATTGTTGAACTGGAGCGACACATTACCTTGAATGTGCAGCCAGTTGATGGCAGGAGATTGACGCCACTCAAAACCTTGACAAACCTACGTGCACGATAATGCTGGTCTGGGGTATCATCTGAATCAACAAGTCCAGCAAATGATGGATCTATTGGGTGTCCACAGCCCTGAAGATAGCATTTAACAGCTATTTTGAAAGATCACAGTAGTGGTGAGAGTAGTGCTCGGAACATCGCATTCTCATCTACCTCAAACTGCAGGAGTGGAATTAGGGCATCAGCAGTTACCCGTTTGTTGAATATATCTTTGATTATTCCTTTCGAATGGGATGACAAAGACTAGCAATAGCATTAGTGTTGAATCATGATGTAGATATATAAAATTTGTACCTTTGACAGAGATACCAGTGATGGAGTGAGAAAAACATCAAAGCCGTCCCTGAATGCACAGAACTCAGGTGATTGTAGGAATTTTTCTGATCGATGACCAAGTAATGCACTTGAGAAAAAATCACATCAGATCTGAGGCCAATGGTCGCTGGAAGCTTGGGCGATTTCATTGTACTTGGATGGGGTTAGCATTGAGACTAGGAGAATATACAGTTGCTCACAGATGAGTCCATGCGGGCTTGAAAAATGCGCACTAGTTTGATGCGATCTCCAGGCTGCTCAGGCATGGGTCCACCATGTTCAGCTGGCAACATAGCAAGTGTCAGTGCGAGGGTTTTGAACATATGTTGAAGCCAGGGCATATCAATGATGGAATCAATGGTGTTGACAGCACATTTGAGGAGCGCTGGAGAGACTGGATCTGGGCCATTGCCTACTTTCAACATGTAGATAGCAGATAGGTGTCTGAGAGCAGATAAAGCATCAAGTTTTTCATCAGAAGGAAAGCGCGATAGCTTCAGAGCGATGTATTCATCATCCAAGGTTTCACAGGCATCCCCATCAGTATCTTCCATTAATTCATCGCCACCATCATCACCAGAACACTCAGGTTTCCATGAAACACAGAGCATTAATGCCGTCTCAAGGATCTGGTGCAGTACTCCATCACCAATGCTATCTGTGGCAGCTGCATGGCCTCTGTGGGTAGTATTTTCAGCATGGGGTCAAATACATATCACTCATCAAATCAGACTTACGCTCGTACTTGCCATACCATTGAGAATATGTTGGAACGGTCGTCTGGTATATCTGGGGAAATTGAAAAGCCTAACACATTGCTGGGTGCACTGTGTGGTGCAGGGTCATGGCATTGATGCTTGATCCAGCTGACCAGGCCATTGGCAGCTTGCTGTACTGATTGGGCTTGAATGCACAGGATAGAATTTGAGTGCGTAAGTGAAGCAGATGCATGGATGCTTTGGATAACCTCATCAATGTATTTAAATTCAGCTATGTCGAAAGGAATGAGGGGCGATCCAATGTTATCATATGAACATGGGCATGGGCTATGCATAGGAAATCATCGAGGATTTCTTCTTGCCTCAGACAGAGGGGTGTGCGCTTCAGGCAGAGAGGAGCTACCAATATCCTCAGAAGATGGTACTGAGCCTTGTGGAACAATGGATGATGTAAAAGGGTGGAGACATAAAGGAGAGATGGATTGTTGATTACGGCAGCGTGTAAGTTGGACAACAGGGCGTAAATCCATGACTATGTCAACAGCTGGTGGTATGGATGGCAGGTTTGATGCTGCAGCAGTGGTCCGTAGTGAGGGATGATGACAATGTAGCTGGTTCTGCACTCTGTTGACTCAATAAGATATCGCCAGGGGATGAAGACACTGAGCGTCGTTCAGAGTAAGGTCTCAGGTGACCAGGATGATCTGAACTGCCCACGAGATTGAGATCGGCCTATAAGACATAACACCAATGTCCTCAGCTGATGAGTGTCTGGGCGATGCCGAACAATCACGATTGTGGTAACAGGGTGTGTTCAATATATTACTGCCCACAGATGGGCCACTGAAAGAAGGAGAGCTCGCAGGTGATGCACTTGTGGCAGGTGTTGATGGGATGGATGGAGTGTAGATGATAGGCAATGGCAATGGCACTGGAGTGTGAGCCTCTAGTTCACGTGGGTTAACTGAATCTTCTGGTGGGCAGGCGGAGTTGCATGGCATGGTCGTGAAGCAATCAGGGATGTCAGGAGGGTCTTCATAACCTTGAACAAGATGGCCAATGATATGGTTGGCAAAGCAGTGGTGCTGGTATGGAGACCCTTTAATCAATGGACCAATGATGTCCCCACCTTTTGGGCCTGTAGGTAATTGGGTTAGCGAATGATGCTTGGTTGAGTCATGTCGATATACAAAGGTATACCAGCGATACACTAGAATCCTCAGGGCTCTTAATGCGCTCACACCTCTTGAAGAACTTCCCAGCTTCTAATGTTTGCCAGCAGAAACTGGAATCTACCTTGAGGTGTCTCCTTCCCTGAGTCGCATTGGAATTGCCTGGTTGCAAGAATCTGAAAGGCAGTCCATGGAACCGCAGTCGAACTTCACGATTAGGTGCATCTGTGGCTAATGTGAGAGGTTCAGGTTCCCATGCTGGAATTTTAGCCCGCCATCATGAGCCATCTGCATCACCACATGGAGGATCTGATTCATGACAGAATCAGTATCACAGTTGTCCAGTAAGAGTGACAGGCCAGGTGAGTCCTCGCTCAGTGAGAAACTGCAGATCAGACGCCAGTTCTTCCCCACTCTGCAAACATTGGACCTGGCTGTGTTCGTCATGGTCGGGTGTGTAATTCAGCATGCACTGCACACAAGATTAGAGTGAGTACAGAATAAATTGCACTTAGCACCTACAGTCTCAAGGTATGAGAATCAGTCGGATATGTAGGGTACGCATGGGAGTGCTGACTGACAATTTCACGGCCACGGCCACGAGTGCAGTCCCTGCGAACCATTAGTCATAGAAACACCCGACATGGGAACTCCAAAGGTGGTATGACTGTGGGTGACCTGCAACTGGGAAGCTTGACAGGCAGGTACATATCCAGTGACCAATGAAGGTCCAGAAATCACAGGAGGCTGGTACAATGGAATTAAGTGTGCTGGGAGATCAGAAAAAAAAATGTTCATAGATGATGGAGTGGTTGAAGGAACACGATATGGCTGATTTTGGACAGAAAGTGAAGTGGATGGTGGTTGAACTAGTGGGCTGGACTGGGGAGGTGCCAATGTCATTTGCACATGCTCACTATAATGCTGGCCACATGTACATAGTTGAAAATAGTCTTCAATCTAAAGAATCAAATGTATAAGTTAGATGTTGAAAGCTTGTACCGCATTGCATACCTGGGTGCTACCAATACTTTGAAATTCAGAGCATGAACCTATCCCTCCTCGGTGTGGGAATGAAGGACAGTGTATAGGTTCTGCTGGGGGTGGACTTGGGTCATGAGACATTGATGAATGACCGCAATAGCACTTATTATAGTGAGGCTTGACTTGAAATGTTATAATGAAAGAAAAGAAAACATACCTTGGACAGATCGGCAGGCTGGGGGAAGAATGACGAACAGCCAGGGGAAATACACTGATTACACTGGTAGCGGACCAACATAGTTTTACTGACAAAAAAGTTGGGGATCAACTACCATGTTGTGATGAGAATTATGAATCTATGCGCACCAGAAAGTAGCAATTAGTAAACTGAAATTAGGATCTTTGATTATAGTTTCAGCTCTGACAAGTGGCAGTGGATTAGATGTGTAACAGTGAAAATTGGAGATATACACACACCAGAAGACTTGAGCAAAATAAAGCTGGATGGTCAGGAACTTCTTAATGAGTAACATAAAGCAGAATAAGGGTAATGGATTAGTGCACCAGGCAGACGATAAAAAAGAGGGAAAAGATGCAGTGACTGCGCCAGCATGCTACATGAGATATATAAGCTCATTCAGCATTCAGAACGTTCAAGCTTTCAAGATCGAAGCATCACATTTAGCATTCCCACAGGTTTGTGGACCAAGTTCTATGTACTCAATGTCATCGCAATTGTGTAGTACAGTGTGCACAACTAAACAAATCAAAATTACACACCATAGACCCGAAGACAATGAACACACCAGCCAAAATCACGACTGGCCCTCCCACCCCACCCTTCCCTTAGTCAAAAACTCCACCTGTTCCAGCTCCTCAATGGCCTTGATGCCTTGCCATCTCCGCACAATGGTGGTTGCACACTCAACAAGTTGTAAAGTATCTCTCCTCACATGGCACTACAGGCCATCAGCATTGATGTGAGGCCAACCTCCGCCATGGCAGCAACCCAGTTGTCCATGAGGAAGGGTAAAACTCGAACAAGATGAGCAACAATTTGACGATGAGCTGTCTCATTGCTACATCTCCGGGTTTCTTGTCAGAGTAAAGCAAAGAGACGAGTTGCACGAATGGGGTTGGGCACGAGCTATGCAAAGCAAAGCAACCTTCATCGTGCTGGTCAAAATAAGAAAATGTCAACTAGCATAGAAACTCACAACTCGAAGACGGCCAAATTGCGATTGGAAGCTGCAACATCATCTCATGTGTAGTAGACCTGCCCCTGAGGCTTCATCACAGCTAGTCCCTGCCTTGCTGTGGTAGATACATGACAGTTCGTCGAGTCTCAGCCATCTCCATCAAGATGATGCTAATGAGACCCATTTTCTTGCACCATGCACATTGTGCGTTTGGTGTGTGGATACCTGAGATAAAATTAGCAATCTTCCAGTGCAAGTAGTAGAATGCCTACCGCATGCCTGGAACATGAAATGAGGAATCCAGCAGGTAATGATGTAACAGTAAATAAACCTTAGGATCATAGGTGCCAGCGCGCCGACTTACAGCACAGCCAGCACCTCACCAGTAAAATTGACCTAGAATAAAATATAGAATTTGTAATGCTGACCGCTGTGGGGTCATTGGGCCCGCACGGAGACCTCCAGCCATAGCAGAGCATATCTCACCCACAGCAGTCAAAAAATGAAAATAAAACATAGAGTGTTCCCAGGGTGCCTTGGTGCCCAGGGACCTAAGTGGCTCAAGTTAACGGCGGATGGTCACGGATCAACGCCTGAGCAGTTGAAAGTGTCCCACTAAGGGGAGCCATGCATGGTGTGCGTATTGGCCTCTGGAATAGGCAGACACCCAGTGGTACTAACTAAAGAACGGTAACAACAAGTTCGAAAATTTGGTTCTGATAGTCACTGTCCTGCTGGACGCAGCTACAACTTGTTTGGTTTACAGTCTCTAACCCCTGCAACAATGCACCATAGCAAAAGCTCTGCACGAGGGTAGTGTAGCATAATCGCTGCATTCCACCATGCTCATGAGACATACCTCATCCCAGGAACTCTCAAGCAGGTGTATGGTATAGTGATCTCACTTTGCTGACCTCGTCTTTGTGTTGATGTCTTCTGCAGGCCACGCCCCTGCAGCAGCTATGTTTGCTACAAATGCTCGGTACAAGCATGAGGCGTTCCGCAGGTCTGAATTCGCTCAGCGTATTCTGGCTGAGAATGGGATCAACATTGTGATGAAGGTTTGCACCTCTATGTCCCCCTGATTCCTATGCTGATTTAACATAGAGTGATCACCCTGTTCTCAACTCCCGCTTCCTATTATATGAGGTGCAGCAAGCGTTCATGTACGGCCTTCAGGCAAACCTCGCTCTTGCAGCTGTCATGTCGACACCTGCGCTCATCATGGGGCAAGACCATTGGATTGGATTCGTGCATGAAGGTTTGTTGCTACCTTTTCAAGATAGAGCACATGCTGACATGACTCCTTCCATGGTGATGTCACATATTGTCTGGAGGATGATATCCACTTCCCGCGAGCAATGCATTGGCAATCACAAACACAAGCAGGCATATCTGTCCAGTGTGGCTGCTGAACATGCCAATACATCTACTCCATACATGACTTCTATCCTTCAGCAAGTCAAAGCGGTCATGAAGCGCCGCATGCAAGTTATTGTTGGTGATAGGTTCAAATTCTTCATATGATTGGTGTAGGTGGTTATTTTTCTTCTTGTCCAACCCTCAGTGACACTAGGTGATAGTTCCCAGATCTTCCAAGTGTTAATTATGGGCACCGTCTTTCTGAACGTACCAAATGACACCTTGGCCTATTTCTCCTGTGAAGGTGTTCTGTTCTTGTAACTATCTTCCTCTGTCGTGATCTTAATTGCACCTCACAGCTCTTTCAGTTCCCTCTTCTTCAATGCTATTACATCTTTTGCAGAAATCCCCTCACTGTTCTTCCAGTGTCCTATCGTGCTTCGTCACCAGAAAGCCGTGTTACATCATCCTTTTATTCAGAGCCTCACCCATACTATTGTTGATATTCTGGTCACTTTGATCGTTCAACTGGTGTTTGCTGTGGTACTCTACTTCCTGGTTGGGTTGCAACATTCTGCCGCACAGTTTTTGTAAGTTCTTCAAGCTGTTTGCTCTTCACTTTAATACTCACCCTGCTGCACAACAGCATCTTTTACCTTTTTATCTTTTTAATGTCACAAACCATGAAATCATTCTTCAGAGCCATCGCTGCAGGCTTTAAAACTCGTCCTAGCGCAATAGCTCTTAGCAGCATCTTTGTTCTCTTGATATCGCTCTACAGTGGGTACACAGTTCCTTGGCTAACTGCACCAACTGGCTTGCGGTGGATCATGCGGTTGAACGAGCACCGTAAACGCACCACCATCACAGTGGAGCTCGCTGCCAAGGTTTAAATCTAAACTCTTGAGGCTACAGTTGTGCTAAAAAGACCAACAGCCCAAACTTCTACTCTTCTTGGATGAGCCTATGTCCGGCCTAGACTTGCAATCTGCCTGGGCTATTGTACATGTCCTTTGTGAGCTTGCTGATCATGGTCAGGCCATTCTCTGCACGTGAGTGCCATTTCTATGTGTGGGTTCTCAATGCTTATGAACTGTACCAGAATCCATCAATCTTCAGGAGAGCTCTTCCAGGTCTTTGACAGGTTGCTGCTCCTTTGCAAGGGTGGACAGACCATCTACTTTGGTGATACCGGCGAGAACTTGTCGACTATGCTGAACTACTTTGAGCATAATGGTGCTCCGCACTGTGGCTCCAATGACAACCCATAAGTAAGGTGCAGTCATATTAGGTCTTGCACTTACCAGGGTATTGAAGGGCGGAATACATGCTCGATGTAATAGGTGCTGGGGCAACTGCAGTCTCCACTACTGATTGGTACAATGTCTGGAAGTGTTCACCAGAAGCAGCACAGCTTCATACACTGTCTTGCAATCCAGATTCGCACAGTGCACACTAGTCAGCCAATTCAGCCCAGGAGTGGCACTATCTACCCTCGATGCAGGTTCTGTTGTGTGTTTTAGGTGCATGTATAGCTGTTACAAAATCATAGTACTAAGGGTAGCTTTTATGCTAACAGAAACAGCGAGTAGGTTCCCATCTGTTGCGTCACATGACAATTGAGCACTGAGTGACCACTGGGAGCCCCTGTGTATAGTTATAACCATACCCTGTATATATGGTTGAGTTTGTACCTGTTTTTTCCATGAATTCACTGATTCCCCTTCTCGTGCACTGTAGCTTATATAGTGTGACCTCAACTCCTGCTATACAATCTGAGGGCTGCCAATATGCCCTCAACCTTGACTACCATGGAGGATTACCTGGCATTCGAACAGCTTCCCCTCCTGCTGCAAAGTACCATACTTGCATTCAACCAACTCAAAGATGATGTTCATGTTGCCTTACTAACGCAGCTTGGGGATGCAGCATGACTCCAACTGCATGTTGAAGCATGTGAGCAATTAAAACATGACATTAATTTAGTGAGCTGCACCACATTTTGGAATGGAGCTCACACTGACGGATTTCAGCATCGTGCTTTAGTCCCTGAACCCACTTACACCACCATGAACGACAGCTTCAAAGATCGGTCAGCAGATGAACCTGACATGGTGCCCATCGAGGTCATGTCAACTGTTCATACACGTCAATGTGGATGTCCTCGAATTGAGATCAACCCAGATGTTTTGGCAACTGCCCTTCAATTTGCAGGACCCACAAGGCTTGGTGCTCTTTTGGGTGTGGCTCCATGCACTGTACGATGGAGAGTATTAGAACACGAAATTGTCGAACCCGGGAATCCGGTTTACGTCAAGTTCACTGATGATGAAGGCAAGACACTTCAATATTATACATCATCCACTGCAGCACAGTCCTCACTCCCTGATGACGAGCTTGATGCTATCATGTTGCAGATTCTCACTCAGTATCCTTGCTTTGGACATCGCATGATAGATGGCCAGTTACGCCACATGGGGGTCATAGTGCCTCGTTCTCACATCCAAGCATCATACTCTCATGTTCATGGCCCGCTGTGGGGAATTCCCCCACTGTAGGTGTAAAACCCCGTCCTTTCTGCATCATCTCACATCAGTTCCACATATTCCGCACATTCTGCATTTCCCGTGCATTGTCCAATGGGTTCCGCATTCCCATGCATCCTTCAGAACCCGCCTGCACTATCCGATATTCCCGGGCATCATCAGACAACCTTCACATGTCCTGTCCCCATCCTTCCAGGTCCATTGGTATGCTGTATCTCTCTTCCCGTTGTTCCTAATGTTATCCGGATCACACTGACACATGCCCTTATGGCACGGACCCCTATTGCGGAGTATTGTGCCCATGTGCACTGCCTGACTTCACTTCCACTTCCTGAGAAACTTACTACCTGTACCTCAGTGTTCCTTGAAAATAATATTCCCTTTAAGTAGTGGTACTCAGGGCTTGGGTGTTTTTTATTGAATCCCATCTTTTACCTTCCCACTTTTCCTTCACCTTACTAGAGGACCGCTTTGACTTATGCCCACTATCAATCTAACCTTGTGATATACTTCCTTCGACTTGACCTGCAAGTTCCGACAACTCCCTACGTTCTGCATTGTATCCAGTTGAGTTCTGCTTCATTCTGTTCCATTCCACTTGGGTTCCGCTTGAGTTCCGCTTGTTCCACTTGAGTTCCGCTAGTTCTGCTTGTTCTGCATTTTTGCAGATCCTCATCCTACCTGTGGTAGGGTTGAATAGGGTCGCTTAGACAGAGATTAGCACTCCCCAGTAGCAATCCCCTTTAGGGTTGAATGTGCTTGTTCTCAAGTGAGGCAGTAGGCAGCAAAGACCCAACTTTGTAGTAGATTGATTTCTCTCTGCTGCACTTGTTGTACCCACACTGCCTGTTGCTGCCTTTGGTGCATGTTGTATCACCCACTGAGTTTACAATGTAAAAGGGTACAACTCGTTGACACACCATGACAGCCAGCATGGTGTGTTAACTTTTTTTAGTATGATGCATATGGGACTGTTTTAACAATTTTGTAGGTCTGATTCGGTGGAAGATTGTCGTGCATGGTTTCATTGATGGATTTTCTCGATATATCACTGGCATCCAACCACACAATAATAATTGAGCAGTAACTGTGATGAATCTATTTCAAGAGATCATTCAAGTTCATGGTCTACCAAGTCGTGTGCAAGGAGATCATGGAGTAGAGAATGTTGATGTCGCAAGATTCATGGAGGAAACACGAGGGCATGGAAGGGGTTCATATATTTGGGGCAGGTACTATGGTCAGTGTTTTCTAAATGAATTCAAATACTAAATTATCCAACAGGAGCATACACAACATATGTATCGAAAGATTATGGGTCAACTTCACACAGGGCATTGGTTCAAAGTGGAAGGATTTCTTTCAAGACCTCGAGGCTACCAGTGGGTTGGATGCTGATAATATTCACCACATCTGGTTGCTTCACTTTCTGTTTCTCGAGATGCTGGGCTGAGAGGTTCATGGCTGGGCTGAGGCATGGAATAGTCACCAAATGAGCACCCCTGAGCATGGCATGGCCAGTCCCCACAAAATGTGCTTCTTTAGTATGCTACACCATGGTGCACGTGGATTCCAAGGCAGTGCTACATTTCAACCACCAGAGGAAATTCTCCCAGATGATGATGCCATTGCTGAGTATGGCATCAACTGGAATGACACCGAAAACCATCATATTCATGCACATCACCATACAGCAAACCAACTCACACACAACCCTCTCGGAAACAATCCATTTGTTGCATACACGCCAGAGACTCTCAATAATGTTCAGGTTGACGAGCCGAACTGCCCACTTACACGGGAACAGCTCATGTATCTTCAGGAGGTTGCAGCCCAGTTTGTAGATGATGGAACAAATCTTGTGAGGCAGCATATTTGGGAGAATGCACTAGTATTATGCATCCAACTACTAACTACGTAGATATTGATATGTAAAGTTGAGCACTCAATATTGAAACTGCATCAGCAAATCTTCGGTATGACTCATTTAGCACACCAAGGCAAAATGTACTAGGATTGTGTTGATTTCGTAAGGTAATGCAAAATGGTAAAAACGATGCAAACAGAAAAGCTGAACAATTGTATGAGTACAACTGAACTGAGGGGCCCGGGGAAGGATGATTGAAAGTGTTATGGAAACACCAGGAATAGTTTGCGAGAGTATGAGTCGGAATTCAGATGACATAGCTGAATGCGGCACATTCATAAAATGCAGGGATACGTAGGCTCCTCTCAACTATAGGTTGAAGTCAGGTCTCACAAGGAATGTTGCATACATCACCTGGAAAACCTGGAAAATGAGAAGTCAGCATGACGAGACCATCTACATGACTAGGCAAGAACGCTCACCTGGTTTTTCTCGGCTGAAATTTGGTAGTCCTGACTCCTGGTAGAACCATCGGAAGCTTGGTATCATCTTCTAGTAGTTAGCAAAATAGTTCAACTGCCATGACCAGGCTGCAAACATTTACCAGGATGACGATCCACTTTCAAACGCTGCATGTCACTTGAAGGCAAGACATGAAGGTATTAGAATGGTCCACACAACACCAAGCCTATCAGTGTCAACAGAGCAGCATTTCAGAACGGTCGGCCAACACACATACCTTGGCAGTTGTAATGTATAGTCATTAATGTCAAGTGCCGAGCACCGCCCGAGATGACAAGGTGCCCCACTGGCAGGACTTGACAAGAAATCAAGGGAACACATTTGACTGATGCTTTGAACAACAATGGCCCGCATCATCAGGTTGATCTGCCCACAGTAGCTCATCCACAGCTGTGAGAAGTCCTTTCTCAAGAGAACCACCCACTGCAAATCTATGTTCAGCTCCAACCCCATCGACGAGCAGCGATGCCCTTGGAAAGAGTTTCACATATGGTGCATGCTTGGAGATTAGGTCCCTATTTCATGACAAATACAGTGTGATGTCAGTGCATGCAGTTTTGTAGAATGCAAGGGCGTACATCTGCATCTGGAGAGCAAGTTGCTCTTCAATCGCTGAGGGGTCATTGGGGTCATAGTTGGAGGAAGGCGCAGTGTGGATGGGATAGCCAGAGTAGGTGTTGTTGCACCGAACATGCGAAAACAGGTAGGAATAGGGCGAGCAGAGGTGCTGGGCTGGCTTGCACACTAGATATCAATGGTGACGGAGCAGCAATCTGGCTGTGAGGTGTGGGTGGTATGGGTGCGGCTGGACAAGGTGGCATTAGACAAACTTGGACAAACACAAAGTTGAGATTTCAAACACCAATAAATAATTACCATAGAAGGAAGGTGCTGCTGCCAGTACTGTGTGATGCGTGACCCGATGCACGGTGCTACGTAGCTCATCATTGACGACAATGAGGACAGGAGGACAACACAGTAGGACTCTACTGAAGGTACCATGTGAACAACTTTTGTACTAAGAATAGAGTTCTGATAAGCCATGTGGATAACTTTTAAGAATGAATTAGAGTTTTGAGAAGCCACATGGACAACTTTTGGTTATTTGTTTGAGATTTTCGAACATAACACGACTTTTGGGTTATCAGGTAGATATTTTATATAAAAATGATTCAATTTATTATTGTCTCATCTGGGCCGTCATAACATCAGACAACAATACACTTACATACTACTAGTATGGTCAACCAAAAGATCTTGTCTGATGTCAAACACGCTGCCATTCACATGTATGAGCAAGATATCCTTAGTCTTCATGAAATCCTTGATTGTGTTGGCTTCTTGAGACAGACATTCTTCTGCATCCGAAAGCTTTATCAGCACACTGGTGATGTAGTCAAACCATGAAGTGAATTCACAGGTCATCTGAGGAAACTGAATCTTGAGGATGTTCAGTACCTTGTGGAACTGGTCCACCACTGGCCAGACTGGTTCCTCAATGAGCTTACTTAACTCATGTTATGCAACTGCTTCATTACACTCCACTATGCCACCATCCACTGGGAGCTCCATTGTGTAGAAGTTTCCCTCAAAAGGCTCTGTAAAATCACCAAAGAATGAAATGAAGATCTCCATGCTGACTACATGCAACAGATGGCCCAATACATGCCTAACAAACTTTGCTTCATTGAGGAGACTTTGGTAGATGAACATACCTCATTCCAGAGATATGATTGGGCAAAGAAAAGCAAATGTGCCAGCATGAGAGGCATTGTTGTGTGAGGAAGGTGGCTGACAGCTGTTGCAGCCTTGTATGTTGATGGAGTCATTGCTTGCCACATCATAGAGGGATTGTTATGTTAGAAGGGTTACTTACACTTTCTAGAACATTCAGTTGTGAGCTCCTACACTCATACTAAGTGTGACAACTCTTCAACAATATTAGTCTCAAAGTGATCAGACCAGGACTCAAACAACAAATAAGGAAGATAGAGGAGAAGAGTCATGACATAGCCGTCAAGACAAATGTCAAGAGGGGTTCAGTCTAGAGTCTCACACGAAGAGGGAGTGAGCAGTAGACGTCAAGTAGATTCTCTATGGAAGGTACAAGAGGTTTAGACTAGAGAACTACTGACTACCTAACTAGGGTTTATATACTATGAGAATCGTGCATGAACCAAGACTAGAAACAGTAACTAACTAACTAGGAAGGCAAGAGAAGTTTCAGACATAGGGTTTCGGATCACGAGTACTGATAAGAGATCTTGAATCATAGAATGGAAGAGAAGAGACAGCAATTAAAATAAAAGATCTATTGGAGATCTTTAGATAGAGATCTGAGATCCAACAGAAGGAAGATTGATCGTTGCTTTGATTAGAGATGGGATCAGCAATGTGAAAACAGTGATGTGGGCATAGGGTACTGGTGATTCTGTGATGGGTTGATGGGATGAAGGGTGATAGAGGTGACATGTGTGAAGAGGTGAAGTAGTCATGTGACTCGGGCGCTTAGACTTAGATGCTACATTGAAGTAGGAAAAATGGTTTGTTTGGGGAACTCATGACACTAAGGTGGCTATCACATTATACTCATTGTCTGTTATGACTAATGTTCACCAAATGGCAAAGGTCACCCAAACACACCAGGACTCAGTTATAGTAAGAGAAAGAGTATAGGATCGAGCATGAATATCTCAGTCTGCCAGGTTGTAGAACAAATAGGTTAAGTCTAAGGAGTATTGACTACAGCTACTCTAACTATATACATAACATTGAGTCAGAGATTTCTGAGTATGAAACAAATCAGCCAATGAGAAAAGAGTCATATGATAACTGTGCATGATGTAGTATGATGTAGTGATATATAAGCAATGGTGTCAGAGTGGAGATTAAGTGATAGGAAGCAATACTGTCATATCCACAATCCACACAAGTATCCTCTGCCCTCAATTAGCATCTTTCACCTTCATTCTCAGTCCTCCACCTTCATCTAGTATGCACCTCCACTGCTAGATACATGTCTCTGATGTCAGGCACACTTCTCTGCCCATGACTTGATCAAGGTACGAGGCACACATCAATCCATTCTGAGTTCCCTTTGTATATTCCGCTTTCCACCTAGTCTTTGTACCTTGTATTATCTGGTCCTCTATTCCAATTAAGCTTGTTATATACTATAGTTCATTGTTCCTTTTATTATTACTTTGTACTCCGCCACAATTCCTATAGTATATAAACCCCATGTGTTTCAGTAGAGTTTCTACAATATGAATATGGATTTGAACCTATCCTAACCACCTCTGAATCAACTTAAAGTCTTACTCCTTGTCTAGTCCGACCTTGAGACTAGTCTTGCTGACCTCTGCCTTTGTCTTCTGACAGTCTTTGCATTATTTTCTATGTTGGACTTAGTCCCTCATAGTCTTACCTCTGTCAGAGCACATCAGATGTAGTTCCCTGCAACCATACCCCTGTCGGAGCATGTTGGAGTTGATCTTTGGCAGCCCCTATCTGTCCTTCAAAGTTAAGGGCACCATACTTGCCTAAGGAGCACAGCACATGAACTGAAGCTAAGCCCCTCCATAACCTCCTTCCTACCTACTAGGCACAGTTCTGACAGATACTGTTCTAGCCCATGGAGTAGGGAGCCAATCAGAGATACAGTGGGTGATATGTGAAGTGGTGAAGTTGTGACATGGTGATGGTGTGATAATGTGAAGGGAAGCAGAGTCATGTGACCGGTTTGGGAACAAGAAGTAGCTGGAGTAAATCCAAGGAGTGAGAAATGATTCATATTGGGAATTCATGACATTACCCCCTTTTTAGGATGAGCATCCTCGTGAATACAGGATGGTCAAATATTGTGTTGTCTCCATTCTAAGAAACCAGGGGTTTGTAGGATTGAAATGATAGAGCTAGCAATTTGGTGCAATTTTGGGGTGTTGGGATGTGTGGTATGAAATTTGCTAACTAATCTGGGGGAATTCTTCAGATTTTCTTCTTTCTCCATGCCACTTCTTCCAATGGATATCCTTTCCACTTTGTTAGGTATTGCAACTGTCATCGGAATATACAGGACGATAGCACTCCTTCTACTTCATATTCTTCTTCAGTTTGAATGATTTCAGGGGGTGAATGTGTTGGAGTGGATTGAGGCGTCAATTCAGAGGTTTTATGCAGAGTGAGTAATCCCACATGAAATACCAGGTGGATGTGATATGATTCTGGTAATTTTATCCGGTAGTTTACCTCACCAACTTACTCAAGTACTTCAAAGGGGCGAAGACAGCAATCTGACAACTTCTGGCTTGGACACTGTTGTTTAATGTTCCTGGTGTCTAACCACACTTTTTGTCCAACATCTAATTTTGGTGCGTCTTTTACTCCATGATCATAGAAGTGCTTCATTTGATCATTTACTATTTCTAGCATTACCTTTGCTTCCTCCTGTGCTTCTTTCATTTCTGCTACTCTCTGATTGGCTTGAGGAACAGTGTTAGAGGAATTAGGAGAGATGATGAATTCAGGATTATAGCCATAGAGACATTTGAAAGGGGAGTGTCCAGTAACTGTGATAGAGTTGTTATGGGTGAATTCTGCAATTGGAAGCCATGATACCCAATCATTCTGATGGTATGATGTGAAGAGCCAAAGGTATTGTTCTACTTCTTGATTGACTCATTCCATTTGACCATTGGTCTGAGGGTGATATGCTATGGACATAGACCACTTGGTTCCTAATCTCTTTGAGACTTCTTGCATGAATTTGGAAATGAATTGTGTTCCTCTATTGGAGATCACCTTCCTTGGTGTTTTATGCAACTTTCATATGTGTTTGAAAAATAAGTCTGCAATTCCTTTAGAATTAATGTCTTTGGTGGTAGGTATGAGATGCAATAGTTTGGTAAAGTGATCAATGACTACAAAGATGCTGTTTTTTCCTTTGGAAACAGGTAGGTCTGTGATAAGATCACAACTGATGATTTGCCATGGACCTTCTGGTATTTCATTTGGTTTTAATGGAACATGGGGTTTAGACAGTAACACCTTTGTTTGTTTGCATCTATTGCATCCATCTACATAATTATTGACCCATTTCTGCATTTGAGGCCACCAATAGTTATGAGACACAAGTTCAAGAGTTTTGGCATGTCCCATATGTCCTACTGCAGGTGAATCATGAAAGATTTCCAGCACTAAGTGATGAATTTCTTTGTTGTTGGGAACATAAACCAATCCTCTGAATAGAATGAGTCCATCTTCAGTATTCCACTCTTCAAGTCCTTTTCTCAACTGTACAGGTGCTTTCTTGAGGGTTTCAATAGCATTTTGGACTTCTGGGTCTAGTAGGTCTGTGCAATTTCTGATGCATTTCAACAGTGTTTGCTCTCCTTCTATCAGAGCCTGACCTCATTTTTCAGCTTTGATTTGGAAAAACTCGGGTTTCAAAAGCATGCGGTTGGAATTGTCATTTTATATCCCCCCCCCTCTGTGGTCTGGCCTCGTAGACAGAGCATTGGCAGTATTGTTGACCTTCCTGGGTTTGTGCTGCAGTGTAAATTCATATTCTGCAAGGGACAAAGAGCACCTTGCTTGTCTGCAAGTTAAATTCTGACTTGTCATGAAGTATTCAAGGTTTTTGTGATCCATCCAAATCTCCACTGGGTTGGGTGCTCCTTGCATGTAATGCCTCCACTCTTCCAAAGCATGAATAATAGTTAATAGTTCTTTGTCATGAATATCAGTTTCTTTTTGCATTGTTCATTGACTTGCTAAAGAAAGCCACTGGATGCCATAGTCCGTCTTCTTTAAACTGAGAAAGTACTCCACCAGTGGCATAGTGTGACAACTCTTTGACAATAATAGTCTTAAAGTGATCAGACCAGGACTCAAACAACAAACAAAGAGAATAATGGGAAAGAGTCAAACAAGAAGTGAGCGATTGTTAGGTACCATGCCGGCTCAAGAGGCAGAGGGGATCAGGGCTTGGCTTCAGCTCTTGCACTGTGCCCTTAGCCGAGTATGTGCCCCAAATTTGGAGCGGATCCGACGTTGTCCGACGATAGGACGAGTGGACCGCTTAGGTCCGCTTTGAGGGTCAGGGAAGTAAGAGCTGCTAGTGGTGGACCGACTAGGAGCGGAGCGGAGAAGGTGGGGAACGATGCGGAGGGTGGGTAGAAACCAGGGGGATATTGATAGGAGCAGAGATGGTGGAGGATAATGTAGAGGATAGGAAAAGGGGTGATAGGAGGATATTGATAGGGGCGGGGTAATAAGGGAAAGACTTAGAGCACGGCTCTAAGTCCGGAGTAGAGGGTCGGAGGGTCAGAGGTGACAACAAGTTGAGACTTGTGTCCAGAGGAGGCAAGGTCCTACTGAGAATTCCCGCAAGAGGTGACTGCGAGAAGACAAGTAATATTAAGACTAAGGAAAAGTATCTAAGTACAGGATATGTTATATACTTCTATGTGAGGCAGTGATCAGGATAACTATGTAGTAAAGCTATGTACCAAGGATATAGTTTGTAAGTACTTTACATAGGCGAAGACATAAGTCAGGAGCGGATATCAATATGTACGCGTTGGATCAGTGATCGGGTGGTAATAGGAATTACCGGTGATCCGGAAGTAAGAGTC